TCTCCCAATTGCGTGGATCGATGCTCTTGATGTCAATCACTGTATATTGTCTGGTCCAGGTTCGATTATTTACAGACCGCCGTCATAAAGCTGGAATAACAAACAAACAAACTATATGTGTGTATTATTCAAATCCTCCTATCCCACAAACAATGACGTCCTCGTGCCATCTTCCCAGGTATCTCACATCAATCAGTTATTCAGGTCTGTTACTATGTGGAACTAGACCGCCCCGCTCCATTGTCTTAACTGTTGGTTATATCATATTCCTGTCACACTTCCCTTATCAATACTGGTAGTGGGGGCACGGGTGGCCCAGTCGTTTAAGGCGCTGCGATTCGCTGTGCAGAGTTGCGTCCCTTGGGTATGCCAGAAACCTATGATTGTGGGTTCGAATCCCGGTTCGCCCCGATTATGTTTCTAGGTTTGTCAGCACCATACCCGTGCTCGTGGGTTTCACCGAATTGGTAAACGACTGAGACCTGCATCACTTCGGGCTTTCCTCCCACATTAAGCTGACACGCCGTGATATAACTGGAATACTGTTAAAAGCGGCGTTAAACCCAACTCACTCACTCAATACTGGTAGTTCCACATACAAACCGCTCTGTCAGCTTGTCCGTTATAAGCACAACCCTCGTACTTTCTAGACTGGTATATATCGATTGGACTATGGTTATCCGCGGACGACTTCCGCCTTCTAACAACGATGAAGATGTCAATGTCAAATGACGCACACTGTGAACTTATATTTCGAATTGTAGACCCACAAAATAAAACGTTTGCACCTTCGGTATTGTATACCAGCACATGCCGACAATAATGGCAATTTCACATAAAGATGAATCGTTTTCGTTACAAATTGTATGCCTTTAGTATCAATACCGTGAACGTGCCTTTCCTGTAAAACCTCGGCAGTTTTAGTGTGCCTTTTTCTGTGCTTGTTATTCGTGCATAACGACTATATTTACTTTAGTGATGAGGTCGCGGATGGCTGTATTAGAGTCAGTTTTGGGTGTTAAAGAAAAGGAATAATTCCTCGTACGTGAGGTATCTAAGAACTTTATAAAACTTAAAGTGTCTGTGGAGAGCGGAAGGTCCGGGGTTCGATCCCCGGCAGCGTCATACTAAAAGACGTTAAAAGATTGTACTTGTTGTTACCCTGTCTGGTCGGCTCGGAGTCAGTATACTGTGTCTGAGTGGGGTATTCATGTTAAACTGCGCCATGGTATCTCAGTGGGCTAGCACTATAAATCGGCATCAGTCCGGACTAGTACAAGCACACACACACACACACACACACACACAAACACACACACACACACACACACAAACACACACACACACACAAACACACACACAAACACGTGCATGCACGTCGCTATATGAGTGCAATAATTTTGGACGCGACGTTAAACCCAACTTCACCTCACCTCACTGCTTAGGTTACAGAACACGCTTGCTGCATGTCTTAGTTACCTGCGAAATATGGCTGGTAATGTTCAGGTGGGGTATGCAAAACAGCTTTTCATTACACGTGCAAATGACTAGCTCGGCACAAAATGACTATAGATTGTGTTTGTGTCACCCTAGTAGCGTGTGTGACCTCCATTGGCTGAGCAGGCAAACACTCTCCTACGAACTGAATTTGTCAGTCGCCTGATGACGTCACGTGGGATGCGTCGCCATTCTTCGTGGAGGGCCTGGATGAGTTCATTCCTGGTGGTTGGAGGTTGTTGTCGTCGTCGAATGTGCCTGTCCATGAAATCCCAAAGGTGCTCTATGGGATTAAGGTCTGGTGAACGAGCTGGCCAGGGCAACACATTGAAATTGTTGACATTAAGAAAGTTTTGCACAATGTTAGCAGTATGTGGCCTAGCATTGTCATGCTGGAACACAATACCCTGTGGTTGTTGACGAAGAAATGGAAGCACAACAACGCGTAAAACCTCATCCCTGTAGCGTACGGCATTCAAGTTACCGTTAATGATGACCAATGGCGTCCTCTCATCAGCACAAATGCCACCCCACACCATGACACTCATACCACCGAAGGGTACGTCCTCTTCGACACAACAACGAGCAGTACGTTCGCCTCTTCGACGATACACACGGTGTCTGCCATCAGAATGGAACATACAGAACCTACTCTCGTCAGTGAAGAGGACACGCTGCGAATCACGTCGTTGCCAACGCCTAACTGTTCGCGCCCATCTCAGTCTTCGACGACGATGTTCATTCGTCAACAGTTGCCCTCTGTAAGGTCTATAGGCTCTGATCCCTGCTGCCCTTAGTCTTCTGGCTATTGTCTGCCTGCTGACCACGCGACCCAACGCATTCGCTGCCGATGACGTCGCAGGTAGGAATCGATTACGCAGGTGTAATGTGCGTAGGTAGAGATCTTCATGGGTCGTGGTCACCCTTGGTCTGCCTGTTCTTGGCCTGTCTGATGTGCGACCTGTTACTCTCAATCGCTGGACCAAGTTGACAACGGTATTACGGGAGCAGTTGAATAGCCCTCTCACGCTGTTCTTGTGTTAACCTGGGCATTCCTTTGGTGCTTTTTCTTCATACTGCATCTCTAAGAGATAAACTTCGCAGTTTTTCTAGCGATTGTACGCGTGCAATTTTAAAAAAAACGCGAATAATGATTTTACTTCCAAAATCACTTTCCCACAACAACACGTGCACTACACTTCAGTAATTGCACGAGTTTTTATTCGATGGGTTTAGGCGACTGGTTTTGGCTTGGATGCGTTTGGGTGAAAGTATCTGTGTTTCAATAATTTCATTTTTCAAGTTGCCAAGTTTCTTTTGGAGGTCAGTTTATATAAATATTTCTTAGTGTTACAGACCGCCTCTGTGGTCTAGTGGTAGAGCGTCCGCCCGGAGAGCGGAAAGTCCGGGGTTCGATCCCCGGCCGCGTCATACCAAAATACGTGAAAAGATGGTACTTGTTGCTACCCTGTCTGGCGCTCGGCATTAAGGGGCTAAAACAAGGACTGGTCGGCTCGGAGTCAGTATACTGTGTCTGAGTGGGGTATTCATGTTAAACTGCGGCATGGTATCTCAGTGGGCTAGCACTATAAATCGGCATCAGTCCGGACTAGTACAAGCAGCTACACACACACACACGTGCATGCACGTCGCTATATAAGCGCAGTAATCTTGGACGCGACGTTAAACCCAATTTCACCTCGCCTAGTGTTACATCCTCACATATTACGTTACGGGTATACATGCCCCCATAGAATTGCTCTGGCCGTTGGGGCGGTGGGGTAGCCGAGTGGTTAAAGTGTTTGCTCGTCACGCCGCAGACCGTGTTTACTTCCCAACATGAGTGTTTGAAGCCCATTTCTGGTGCCCCACGCCATGATATTGCTGGAATATTGCTAAAAGCGGCGCAAAACTATACTCACCCACTCACTTTTCTGACCGTAAGAGGTGATTTGTGGATCGGCTGGTCTGACTCGGTTGATTGGGTGTCATCGTACCCATCAGACAACAATAGATTCTTTCTCGATTATTTCATGATGACGTCGTCGTATAGCTGGAAAACAGCTGAGTGCGGCGTTAAACAACAAACAAACAACAAACAATTATTCTTTTTTAAATTCATTAAACGGGATCATATTGGGCTCGAACCTGGACTATCTGCATGTCAGCGTGCTAGTACATTAAATGATAGATACAGGAACTCTCGTTCTGAGAGACTTGAGGAAGAAAGGTATTGGCCAGTTGTATGAGGCGCAATAGTTTGCTGTTCAGAGTTGCGCCCCTTGTACGTGTCAGGATTTGTTGAACGTGTGATGGAATCCAGGTTGACACGATTCTGGTGCACACAAACCAAGGGTCATACTAGTAACATATCTGTTCACAGTGACGTACGTGTGGGTTGCCCACGACCACATAGCAAATACCTAAATGTCATTCGTGGTCTTCAGCAACCCATTCTTGTCGTAAAAGAGTTCGGTTGATGCGTCTCATCGTAACCCAGTTGTGTAGATTGATGCTCGTGGTGTCAATGACTGAAATGTCTAGTCCTGAGTCGACTGTCTACAGACCGCCGTCATATAGCTGGAATATTGCTGAGTGCGGCATAAACAACAAAACAATCCTAAATGTTTAAATGCTCACGCGTTAGCATGCAAATAAGGGACCACTGATATATGGACATGGTACTTTCGCCACTAGAAAAAGTACCAAGTATCAATTTGAATCAGTGAATACATGGACGTTTGATTGACTGCAGTATAGGATACCTGCAGCCATTGACGCGAGAATGCCCCCTCCTTAAGAAATGGCATGACGGCAATGTTGATAGTAGGGCTGGGACGAGTCCGAATTTACTACCCGAGTACCCCCCCCCCCCCCCCCCCCCCCCCCCAATCTGGTCATGCATACACTGAAGTTGACTCAAGTAATATCTTTATTCAAAGATATGAAAAGTCAGAAGAAATGGGAGCATAGTCGGAAAGAATTGCGAAAATTAGTGACTTGTTGTGTAACCATAGAGTTCTAGATAATGTTTGTCATTGAACAATATATCACGTGACTATCCCAGGTCCGGGTAGTCCTGTGGGTACCCGGGTCCTACTCTGTACCCACCCGACCCGGGTACCCGGGTACCCGAGTTACCCGACTCAGCCCTAGTTGATAGGTACTCTTCTGTACCCGGTCCCACAGAGCGACTCTAGAGCTACATTACCATACTTTACAACGACAATCGTAGCGCTGAGATTTTCAGTATTCAATAAGAAAAAATATATTTAATTTAGTTATTACATATATATGTTATTGTATTCGACATCTCACACTCTCCCCTACGTATGTGAACATCCCCGATAATTAAACAACCAAATCTAAACCACCTTGATTTATGATGGAAAAATCAGTTCCCTTCTTTTTCCACTTGATATAATCAGCAAAGAGTAGGCAAGTCATGAGTTATATCCCCTGATTTTAATGTTTTGAGAGGGCGCTGACACAGGCACATGATCATAAACATGGCGGCTGCAGCTGGAAGAATTGACGAACTTGTCAAAGATTATTTGCTGTTTCGTGGCCTTACACAAACACAGAAGGCTTTCGACAGTGAGCTGAAGAATGATAAGGAAAAGGGATTACGGGTAACATATATTTTGTAATTGCAAACGTGCTGTCTTGGGAACTTGCATCATTAAACAAATCGTACATTTATAATCTTAACAGATGATCTTTGTCTTCCCCATGAGATGTGTATATTTGTTCATGAAAATTCTTGTATTACTCTTGTATTGTGGGAACTTGTTAAGTTTAGACTGATCATGCTGATGGGATGTATCATAGATGACAAACAAAGACAGATAAGATGATATAAGAGGGTCCTTATAGGGGGGGTGACACAAGTCGGTAGCCAGTAGAATTCTGGGGTCAGTAGTCTGTATATCTTATTTAGTCTGTTTGCAAACCGAAATCTAAATTGCGAAATCATCTCTATGTGAATGTCAGTCTGTTAGGATATCATGGGAACAGCTGGTTCTGCTTTCGTTTCATTAATCTTTTTTACGATACAAATTTGACTCATCTTACGTTTACACCAGTTTTTTTTAACTCTTTTACTCTAAACAGTATACCCCATCAGGATCCTCATATATATTATTTTGTGATAATCAGTCTGTGTCACTTTAAATGTACTAGTCTAGACTTGTACATTTTTACATGACTTTCTGCAAAACGTATCCTTTTCCCCAATACCAAAGGAAATATTACTGGACTAGAAATATTACTGTGTCCTCTTCATGTTATTGCTAGTGGCTAAAAAGCTTAAGCCATTGTGGACTGCTAAAGTATCACATGATATCAGTATGTCACAATAAATTCCCTTCTATCACACGACAGACATGTATAACATTGTGATCTTCATGGCCACTAAGAGGTTTTCTGTTGACAAATATTGATCTACAAGCCAGTTTGTTGTGAATGCTGCACTGAGCAGTTTCCACCTCTGTAAATAACCAAGTACAGAATCGACAAACCAGTGATTGATATCATGTGTAACGTCTGATGTCACTGATGTATGATGACACATTCAACCTAGTCACCAAGCCATGACCCATAGTTCAGCTTAGTGAAAGTGGCCTGTAAATAATAAAGTATAGACCAGACAGACAAGTGACTGTTTTTTTAGAAATATGACCAATATCACAAGTAATTTAAACCACATCATTATGGTCCTTTGCAGGTAGACAAAATCATCGATCAGCTTCAAGCATGTATAACCAATTATGACATGCTGAGTCTGAAGGACTACTGGGTGTACCTGAACCGCCGCCTGTTTGCCCGCCTTGAGCAACGGTACATGACGAGTGTTCGCAAGCTGGAGGTGGGGCTCCTCAAACTGTACATCATCAACGCGGCTCAAACAAACAAGCCAGACAAGGTCGTTGAATTCTTCGAGAAGATGACACCAGAGCTACAGAACCAACCAGAGTTTCGCGAGTGGTTTGGTATGTTGTCAAGAAACTTTCATTTTTAACATATTCAATCAGTGTTCCCACTGGATTTTGAAACTGTCAGTCAGTCCTGATGGACTAATAATTACCAGTTAATTAATGTTAAGCATTGTAGTAGTGGAGCGTGGTTATTTAAGTGGAGGAATTCTATTTCATCTGTCATGTCTTGATGTGGTTTTTGTTCAGGAGTCAAGAAAAGCAAACTATAGCATTTATAGGTAAAGTTGGTAAACACTGCTAATTTAATTTTAGGTTTTCTTTAAAAAACTAAATTAATTTTATCATCATTTATCATTGTTTATGGCCTGAAACTATTAATTAATCCTATTTATAAAAATGAATTTCAGCTGTCAATGCATTAATGATCAAATGTTTTAAATATCATTCGATTTCAGCCTTTCCATTTCTACAGAGCCCACAGGAGAACCCGCTTTTCTCCATGTATTTCACCAAACAATGGCAGGACACTCTGATCCTGTCTCTACACAACTTCCTCAGCGTCATCCTTCAGGCGATGCATATCCTTTTGTCCATAAGTCTGATCATTCCATTGATTGATCATGCATTGAGCACAGAGAACTGACAGACTGTATGTCCACACAAACTGTTGAAATATTGTAAATCGTGAAATTAATGCATCTCCAAAAGAATGCGACCGCTGGACCCTAGCCAAAAATGCGACTCAATGTGAATGCGACACCCCCTCCTCTCAAGCATCAGTGGATTTCTATCTAAAGAAAATGTCCTCAGTCAGGTTTAGAATCCTCGCCTTAATCCAACCTTACATTGATCCATTCACACACCAAATAGCACCGCTTATTAGCGCTGAGTAAAGTACTTCCGCAAAAACAATACATGCACGCTGGCTCGTGTCAGCCTTTGACGCAGTCGCAAAGAACAAAGGGTGGCGTCTGTGTGATCAGTGATGACATAAGTGAGTAGAACTCTTGTCTTGACCCCAGCAGTGACAATTCACAAGATGTAATTAGTGTTTTGATGACATTGTTTATATACTTTATATACAAGTGCTGCTCAATAAACAGTGGTGTGGAATACATCAGCGTATGTCTAAGTTGGTATTTTTGCTATCCAAAATGTCTTATTGTAGATATAAATGCGATGTTTAAAAATGCGAGCAAAGACCACTCGCATTTTTCGCATTTAATTCACGCTCGCATTAATTTCAAGATTTACAGTATTTTGATTATGACGGCACTATACATTGACTTAATGTGTTAATCAATATCATTACTGATTGTTCTTAGGCATGAAACTAGTGTTGTGTAGACATGACATTTTCTTTGTCTTGCAATTATATATGACATTTCAAAAATGAAATCTCCCCACCTTAAGAAAACACAGGGATTGATTTCACTTTATCCAAGCTGCACCAGTGCAGGTAACATTTCCCACCACATATTTGATAAAAGTGGAAAACTGAATTTTTTTTAACTGGCTGCAAATCTTTTAGACTCCAGGAAACAGAAGTTCATGAAAATAGTGAAAAATACACAGGAGGTTTGAATGCAGCAGAACTAATTCTTCACAATTACCACCAGAACTGTCACTCATGAGGTGACAGTCACAACAGACACTTTGAAACGTCTTTTGAAGGTTGTTTTCTGGATATCATGATATAAAAAGCCATATACAGATTTCCCCCAAATAAAATACTGGAGCACATTTTTTCTCTCTTTGAATTCATTTAATATTCAAAATAACTGAAAACACAGAGTTTCAGTTTATATGAAAATGGTGCCGCCAATTGTTTGGTGGTGCAACCTGATTAATTTACTTGGTTGCACCTGGTGCGGGTGGTAAAACAGAATTAAATTGTACTCTGAAACATGATCAGGTTCGTTCAGACAGACTATTTTGCTAATGGTAATCATATATAAATATGGCCCTGTTATTAAAAGCACCACAGAGTTGCATCCCTTGTGGATGCAGGATCCTATGATTGTGTGTTCAGGTTCCAGATTTGCCCTGATTATGTTTCTCTGTTTATTTGGTAGGGTGGTGTAAACTCACTCATAGTCACTCTGATGTGAAAGTGATGGAAATAAGAAAGTTATTAGTAATAATAACGTTATGAGGATAAATAATCACGATGCCATGCCAGTGTAATCCTTGACACTCTCACCTGTACCAACACTGCTGAGTTTTGAGCATGAGTTTCGTAGGATGAAGCTGCTTCAGGAGGAAAACGTCATGCTGAAACAAAAGGTAGGTGTGAACATCTGTGGTAACTGTGTGAGCAGCGGTCTAATCCTTTATCCGATATGACACCTCTCTGAGTGAAGCTGCTCCAGGAGGAAAACGTCATGCTGAAACACAAGGTAGGTGTGAACATCTGTGGTAACTGCCTAAACAACGACCTAATTAAAATCAGATCTTTTCTCCGATCTGACACCTCTCTGTGTGAAGGTAACGGGTGGTGAACCCTGAGCGAACTTTAGACTGCCAAATGTAAATCGTTTTTGTTGTTGAGCCAATCAGATGTCAGCTTTCAAAAACCATTTGGTTTCATTTCTTATTTCAATTTTGAAATTTGATTTTAACACAAAGTATTTAGAGAACCTGCACAGAGAATACAAGTATTCCTTCAATAGTACTCCCTTTAGTATACATGTATGTTCCATGGCACTCAGAAATATCAGCGTAGAAGGTGTAGTCCTTTTTTTTTCCATTATGAGCTGGTCATTTTAAGTTTTTATTCGAGGTGAAGAAATCAGATATGGTGGTTTGAATGCTTCACTCACTTGTATAGAGAATGTAGAAGCCTGAATGCTGATTGGATGAACACAACCACCAATTGAAAACTTGTCAGATTTTAATTCTGATTTTAATGAGATTGGTGTGAGCACATATTGTACATGATGCAGATTTCAGTTTCAGTGATGCCAGTAGTAGAATTAAGGTGTGCACAGTCTCGAGGTTATATAGGTGTTGGGTACATGTGCAGATATGTAGTAAATTGATTATCCGGTACAGATGGAGTGTATAAGAGCACAGATTTATCTGATTTAATCAAAATCATCATCTATCTATCGCTTTAATGGGATAAATAGAATAAGTCTTCAGCAACCCATGGTTGCCGTTAAAGGCGACTATGCTTGTCGAAAGAGGCGACTAACGGGATCGGGTGGTCAGGCTCGCTGACTTAGTTGATGCATGTCATCGTTCCCAATTGCGTGGATCGATGCTCATGATATCAATCACTGGATTGTCTGGTCCAGACTCGATTATTTACAGACCGCCATCATATAGCTGGAATATTGCTGAGTGCAGCGTAAAACAACAAACGAACTTTGTTCAGCGGTAATGAGTACTAAGATCTGATTTTAATGAGATTGATTCCTTACTTTCCTACTGCTGAAAATAAATTAACTCTTGATTTCAACATAGTTATTGGGGTATAGGTTGGGCTTAGTGGTCCTAGCATAGTAGCAAGTTTTACAGAAGTCATTCAAACCAATTCTACATTGATAAAAGCCTGGACCCTGCACTGCTATAGCTACGTATCAGAGAGTGATCTCTGTCCCAATGTATTCCCCTATTCACTTAATCGGCACATAATTTGTCTGGCTCGTGTGTTGTTTGATTGGATGGCAATTTCTAGTCTCATGCCATTGAAATCAGTCTGGAAAGGGAGTGATGTGGGAAAGGGGCCTGGAATATTTATCAAAATAGAATGGAGATGTAGTATGCTGGAAATGTTTAGGATGTTTAATAACCCTCTTTGTTTGTCCGCTGTCTCAAATGTTGTGATGTATTACAGTATATCAGTCTAGCTTATTACCCAGATGTTGCAGAAACTGTGCTTCAGTTTTACCTGTGGCACTGATAACACAATGTCTAGATTTAGATTGAAAATGGACAGCAACAGGAGAGTTGTCCCTATAAGAAGAAATATAAACTACACAATATCAACATATCCTTTCCAAACATAACAAACAGTTTAGTCAGTGTTTGGACTCCCTGAGGAGAGTCCCCCTTCTTACCGAGTCTGGTCCTCCTCGCAGGTGATGTTGATGAGTCAGCAGGCCGAGGCAGAGCAGCAGCAGAAGGAACAGGACATGCCCTCAGAGATCCTAACTTCAGCATCAGACCTCATTTACGACTTCTCGGGACTTTCGGAGTGAGTTCAGACTTGTTAAAATATATGTCTAGTTTCCCATAAAATTGTCCCTGCCCCTAAATATTTTTGTGCATTGTTCAGAAACAACTTTTCCTCACAATATGCCATTCATAGAATGTCAGATTCGCAAGGAACCCAAACTGTGGTCATCATGGCCATCTGTTCATTCTTCAGGCTGCAGGGTGCATGGCTTAACGAGCATTTGGTTCAAGTTTACCCTGTAGGTTCTTACCTAGTAAACAAATAAAATCTTTTCTCCCAGTCAGTTTTGAAAAATATCATGCAAAACAAGAATATTTTTAACTAAATCATGCAAAACAAGAATACTTTTACTGGCCTCACTAGCTATTATCACTAAACATCTAAGACCTACATCACTTCAGGCTTTCCTCCCAGTAAGCTGACACGCTGTGATATAACTGGAATACTGTTGAAAGCGGCGTTAAACCCAACTCAATCACTTTGCAGTGTTATGGTGACGTATCTACATTTGTCAGATAATGAAATGAAGCTGTGTACAACTTCAAATGAACCAGACTCTGTATCTGGATTCTACCATTATCTGACATTGAAGCAGTGAATATACCACAAGACTTTAGACTCATACATGTTGCACGGATGTCAAGCGAGAAACAGTGTCTTTGCTGTGTAATCTCTTCTCCCCGAGGCAAGGGAGTTAACTGACTATAAAAGTCCAGTTTCCACCCTTGCCAAACTAGGCTGGATTTCTGGGCTAGATGTGTAATCTAAGCACTCAGTGGTCCTGTTTGCTGAGCACTTGATGGTTTCCCTCCTGCTGGAGCCTGGCTGCTTGATTTATTGGGTAAAAATAGTGACTACACTGTGGCTGTAAATATTTGCGGGTGATGGAGTAGTGTAGTGTATATACCAGTGAAGTATTAACGATGGAATTTGAAGCATTCTAGATAGGGATACAGGAGAACATTGATATAACGAACTACAAGGGACCGGAGAAATCAGGTTGTCATATATGTTGTTCTTTACCTATATAATTGCAGCATTGAATTGTATTAGCAATGATCACTTCAAAGCATTCAATTAATAACGTTTCATAATGTTTTTTAATAACATTAAATTTTTCGAACATTTTTCATCAAACATGTATTGAGCATTTCATGATTTACATACGGGAAGATGTGTAGTAGGTAATTTTGCTCTGGCCTCGTGTACATCATTATTTATCCATCAATACTTGTCCGAGGACTTACAGGTACTCAAAGAACCAGTTGACATTCATACTAAACACAACACAAATTACATGCTGTGTACATGGTATATGTGTGTGTGTAAGTTTTGTTTTCGTCATTGGTCATAACTAAAGAAAAGAGATGATTTTTTATAAAGAGTTGTTATTGGAAATGTATTGTATTTTAAATCAGGGATACTACAATTCAAGAGAAACAACAGAAGACTCGCCGCTTCCCTCTACACCTGACCTCCCCTCTGATTGGTCGGAGGAAAACAGAGGTGATACTTACTAAAGCCGACCCCAAGCCGACTAAAATAGTCTCCAAAGTAACTCACCCTATCACCCAGCCTCCGAAGCCATCCGTCAGGAGAGTATCACAAAGTGTAGCATCGTCAGCCCCACAGACCGGCTTTCAGATGGCAGGTGGTCCTGTTGCCATGACAACACCTGAAATAGTGGCGCCACCTAGGAATAGAATAAATGCTGGAGAGTATGAAAAGCAGAGAAAGGAACTACTTGGGTTTGATCCCAAAAAGTCAAATGAAAAGGTACATAGAATATTTAGGACATTGAATGGTCTTTACTGATCTGTGAAAATGTTTCCTCTGTGTTTCCAAATTTATTAACAGTTGTTTGTTATATTTCTGCATGTTTTTCCTTTAGTATCTTAACATTTTAGTTAACAAACTTATGATTCTTTTTGTGTTTAAGCCAAAATGAATTAATCCTTTATCCCACAAGGGATTTGTCCTTGAGTACCCACAGATGAAGAAAAAATGCTCTGTGTTTTCCCTCCTCAACTTGATGCAATACCCCATTTAGGCTAAAAATAATATATAGGCTTGGTTCTCAGGCACCACCCGCATCATCATTAAGTCTGCCACAGGTTTTGTTTTTATTTCCATTTTCAAAAAAATATAAAAATCCTAATAGTTAAACACAATGCACACAAAAAATTAAACAGAAACAAAAACGAAACGTGCAATGGACTTTATCGTGTTTATGATGATGTGGGCAGTGCCTGAGAACCAAGACTATTTTTTTTTTTAGCTTTACATAGTCCCTCTGAAGATTCATGCTTCATGAGATCACATCAGTCGATCTTTAATGTACACAGATACATTGAATAGTTTATGTGATGGTACTAAATAAAAAATATAAGGACCTTCTGTCTCACATTTGATTAAACATAGATAAATGTATTAATCAAGTTTTTGTGGTGTATGTTATAGAAAGCAGAGGTAAAGCCCTATGTGCCAGAGGATCCACCCCCATCCTCCACCCCAACGTCAGCAAACACTCAGACAGCCCCACCCTTTGGGGGTGCCCGCCGACCTCACCCCACCCCACCCGTCAGTCCAGCGAAGACTATCAGCAGTGAGCCGGAGAAGGTCAAGTCAGTTGACATGCCAGATACAGCCTCTGTTGGATCCTTGGAAGGGGTGGCCAATATTCCAGGTAACGATTGATCCTTGGAAGGGGTGGCCAATATTCCAGGTAACAATTGATCCTTGGAAGGGGTGGCCAATATTCCAGGTAACGATTGATCCTTGGAAGGGGTGGCCAATATTCCAGGTAACAATTGATCCTTGGAAGGGGTGGCCAATATTCCAGGTAACGATTGATCCTTGGAAGGGGTGGCCGATATTCCAGGTAACGATTGATCCATGGAACGGGTGGCCAATATTCCAGGTAACGATTGATCCTTGGAAGGGGTGGTCAATATTCCAGGTAACGATTGATCCTTGGAAGGGGTGACCAATATTCTAGGTAACAATTGATCCTTGGAAGGGGTAGCCAATATTCCAGGTAACAATTGATCCTTGGAAGGGGTAGCCAATATTCTAGGTAACAAGTGATCCTTGGAAGGGGTAGCCAATATTCCAGGTAACAATTGATCCTTGGAAGGGGTAGCCAATATTCCAGGTAACGAGTGATCCTTGGAAGGGGTGGCCAATATTCCAGGTAACGAGTGATCCTTGGAAGGGGTAGCCAATATTCCAGGTAACAATTGATCCATGAAAGGGGTAGCAAATATTCCAGGTAACAAGTGATCCTTGGAAGGGGTAGCAAATATTCCAGGTAACAAGTGATCCTTGGAAGGGGTAGCCAATATTCCAGGTAACAAAACATCTCTCTATCTTGGTACATGTGGTTAATATTCAAGTGTCTTTTTATCTTCATAATACTGGTATTTTCATATCAATGTATGCATTTAGATATTATTATATCATGCCTGCCTTTCTGCTTTGAACTTAAATGTGTTCCAATGAACTGAGGGCATTGGGGCCTGGTTACCTAAGGTGCCAAAATTCATTGTCCATAGTTGCATCCCTTTAATCATGACAGATTCCTATGATTGTGGGTTTGAATCCCAGTTTCACCTTGGTTTGGATTCTTGATTTGTCAGCACCAAATCCATGCTTTTTGGTTTCATAAGTGGTAAAACTCTGAGACTTGCATCATTTTGCCTTTGCTTCCCCATTAATATGATTAAGCTGCCATGTTAAGATATATCTGAAAAACGGTTGAAAAATATTTAACCCCACACACTGTCATCATGTGATCATAAGCTAAAATGCATGTTTATCTTTGTTACAGAAGGAGATTGTCCTTTCCTGTTGTTAAGTCAGGTATGTCTGCTATACAAATATTTCATTCTCATCAGCAAGTTTCATCGTCTCCTTTGTCAGTTAATGTGGTTATTCGGGCAGGCACAGGTAGCTCGGTCACTCAGGTCAGCTGGGTCCTGGGAAGGACTCGGTACCCACAGGACTACCTGGGCCCATGCTTTGTCACGTGACATATTGTTTTATGACAAAAATTCATTGTAACTCTATGGTTACACTACAAGTCACTAATGTTCGCTTTTCTTTCTGACTGTGCACACATTCCTTGGACTTTCACATGAAGTCATCTTCAGTATATGCATCACCAGATCATTGTATGCGTGTATCTGAATACAGTAAACTGTTTATAACGAACACGCTAATAACGAACTGACAGATGTAACAAACTTATTTTTTTGTCCCTAATATTTAGTTATGCAGTATATTTGCTTATATTAACAAACTATAGTTATGAGGAACTAAAATTAGTGGTCCCTTTGAGCATGTTGAGTTCATTATAACCATAGTTTACTGTATGTTTTGCCAGGGCAACGGTCAAACTATTCCCAAGTGGACATTTTGTATCCAACTCTTGAGACCTACAGGGTGGGGTCCGGTAATGGGGGGTCATGCACCTGGTGGTAAATTTGGATTCGTCCCAGCCCTAGAGGTCATGCTTAAAATCAGACAGGTCCATCCTCTAAACTTGGATCTCATTTTCTTTACTATCATGTGGCTCCTGGTTAATTATTAGAAGACATTTTGGTGGGGGGACCTTTAAGGTTCCTTGTTTTGTAGGTGGCTTGGGAGAGAACCCCTTTGACTCATCCAACTGTACATAATAAAATATGCTTAAACAAATTATTGTTTGTATGTTTGCTGATCTGGAAACTTGTGTTTACAGGATGAATATGCAGAACATCACTCGGCCATATCTTATGGGAAGTTCAGTGTTTCGGGGCAGTACATCGCCAGTCTAGATGCTGATGGTGTGGTCAAGTAAGTAGTTCAGGTTCATGAGCCGTTGTCAGTGTTGTCACTGCTGTATTGTTTGATAGGCATTACTTAGAAGTTGATTGATGACAAAGTAGACACAATTTATGGATAATAAGACGGAAAGCCAATTAAACAGGATTAGGTATTCATAGGTGGGCTGATTATTGCTTAGTGTGTTCATAGTAGGCGGATGGGATGAAATAGTCTTGATCTCTGTTTAATTGACTTCCTGTCTTACTGGCTTCCTCATCACGTGTTCTCTGTCCATCATGTGTTACAGTATTATCCTTCTGTTGTCATTACTCAACCTACTCATGCTCGCAATTGCTGTTACTGTTGATCCTCCACCTACCCTATATATTCTGTACCATGTTCATTATTCAGCGACCCGTGAAGATCCAGGATAGAATAGGTCTTCAGCAACCCATGCTTGTCATAAAAGACGACTAACGGGATCGGGTGGTCAGGCTCGCTGACTTGGTTAATGCATGTCATCGATCCCAAATGCGTGGATCGATGCTCATGATATTAATCTCTGGATTGTCTGGTCCAGACTCGATTATTTACAGATCGCCGTCATATAGCTGGAATATTGCTGAGTGCGGTGTTAAACAACAAACAAACCAAATCGTTATTCAGCCTTGCTTGACAACGGTATAAGGATCTATACTGAAACATCGCCATGAAGAGGTTGTTATCCATAAATTGTCTACTTTGTTGTCACTGATGCAGGTAATCCCCACATACCTGGAGGGTACATTGTTTCAACAGGTGTTTTCTTCACAGTAACAACAGGAGGTTCTTCAGTATTCTCATATACTGATCAGCTCTACAACATTTCATCAGATGCTGTAGACGCAAGCCTAATCAGAGTTATCTCCCTTTCTTGAACTGTTGGCATCATCTATGTTGTCTGTAATGTAGAATGTATAGTTGTAACATGTTGGTTCAATGTAATTGATTAATATCAGTCAAAATTCATGCAAGAAAATTTGACTTGACTCGAAGAATTGACTTCAGTGATTTTGCGATTATGGAGGTGTAAACGTGTAAACATGATAAATTAAAAAACTTAAGACAACAATACAAATTTGTTTCAGCTCAATAATTCAACACAAGCCCCTGCCCATTCTATTGACAGACAATCAGGGAAGAGCATTCCTTGGCAGGCATGGCCTAATTTTTTCTCAATTTATGGAAATTTATATAAAAAGAATTGTTTGGGTAGCCAATCAAATGCCATGGAATCATGTGCAGTTTATTTATGAAGATGTAAAAGGATATAGTTTTTGTTGAAATTCCACGGACATCTCATCTCTTCAGAGTTTGGACCTGGAGTCCCCAGCCAGCGACCACGGCAACCGTGATGTCCAAGTCAGCTTTCCTGTCCCTGGAGTGGGCCAGCAAGTCTGACAGATGGGTGAGTACCTTCAGTGTGTGTGATTGTGTAGCATGATTCATTGTGCATACCAAAGTAGTCCATGGGTATTCTAGACTAGAACAGGTTCCCAGCAACCTACGCTGGTTGTAAGTGGCGACTTCATGGATCAGGTGGTCAGACTCGGTGACTTGATTGATGGCATGTCATCGTAGTCTGACGGCATAGATCTTTGCTCAGAATATCCATCGCTGGATTGTTTGGTCCAGATTTGATTATTTACATGCTGCCGTCATTTAACTGGAATATTGCTGAGTTCATTTTCAAACAAACAAAAGCGTGTATCTAAGTATGTTGCCCCTGTTATATGTCAGAAATAAACAAACTCCAGAATAATTGTGTTAATATTGAGAGCAAACTTTGCATTAAAAGTTATATGAGATTATACGTATAATGCAGAGGAAATGGAAGTAACTGGTTGTCAGGCATAACATTTGAAAACTTGCTTCAGACAGGTTGTCTCTTTGATGCAAGAATTAATGGTAAATTGGTCCTGGAATTTCTATTTTCCAGTAAACTTAAATGAAGATTGATGTAAGATTTTGTCATGGCACAATATTTGTCTGTTTTATATCATTGACTGTTACATTATTGCCATCCGATCTTGAATTAAACCTATTGATTTCAAAGAGAATTCCAGAATGGTATCTAAGCATTGTTTATACAACGGATATGTGTGAAAAGGTTATATTCGTGTTGATGAAAGCTGCTTCTGCATGTGTTCTTATGAAACTTGCTATCTAGTAACAAATTTGAAAAAAACTGCTTATTTTATAATTGTTTACATGGTGTTTAATTTTGCATACCAGTAATATTAGATTCAATGTATTTGTGAACTACAGAATTTCATGCTTGATCATGCAGAAATAAGATGCTATCAAGCAGACAGTGTTGTGTCTGAGTGTACACTTAAGCAAGATAAGATGCTATCAAGCAGATAGTGTTGTCTCTGAGTCTACAAGTAAACAGAAATAAGATGCTATCAAGCAGACAGTGTTGTCTCTGAGTGTACACGTAAGCAGAAATAAGATGCTATCAAGCAGACAGTCTTGTGTCTGAGTGTTCACGTAAACAGAAATAAGATGCTATCAAGCAGACATTGTTGTCTCTGAGTGTACACGTAAGCAGAAATAAGATGCTATCAAGCAGACAGTGTTGTCACTGAGTGTACACGTAAGCAGAAATAAGATGCTATCAAGCAGACAGTGTTGTCACTGAGTGTACATTTAAGCAGAAATAAGATGCTATCAAGCAGACAGTGTTGTGTCTGAGTGTTCACGTAAACAGAAATAAGATGCTATCAAGCAGACATTGTTGTCTCTGAGTGTACACGTAAGCAGAAATAAGATGCTATCAAGCAGACAGTGTTGTCACTGAGTGTACATTTAAGCAGAAATAAGATGCTATCAAGCAGACAGTGTTGTCACTGAGTGTACATTTAAGCAGAAATATAATGCTATCAAGCAGATAGTGTTGTCTCTGAGTCTACAAGTAAACAGAAATAAGTTGCTATCAAGCAGACAGTGTTGTCACTGAGTGTTCCCGTAAACAGAAATAAGATGCTATCAAGCAGACAGTGTTGTCTCTGAGTGTACAAGTAAACAGAAATAAGATGCTATCAAGCAGACAGTGTTGTCTCTGAGTCTACACGTAAACAGAAATAAGATGCTATCAAGCAGACAGTGTTGTCACTGAGTGTACAAGTAAACAGAAATAAGATGCTATCAAGCAGACAGTGTTGTCACTGAGTGTTCCCGTAAACAGAAATAAGATGCTATCAAGCAGACAGTGTTGTCTCTGAGTCTACACGTAAACAGAAATATGATGCTATCAAGCAGACAGTGTTGTCACTGAGTGTACATTTAAGCAGAAATAAGATGCTATCAAGCAGACAGTGTTGTCACTGAGTGTACATTTAAGCAGAAATAAGATGCTATCAAGCAGACAGTGTTGTCACTGAGTGTACATTTAAGCAGAAATATAATGCTATCAAGCAGACAGTGTTGTCACTGAGTGTACATTTAAGCAGAAATAAGATGCTATCAAGCAGACAGTGTTGTCACTGAGTGTACATTTAAGCAGAAATAAGATGCTATCAAGCAGACAGTGTTGTCACTGAGTGTACATTTAAGCAGAAATAAGATGCTATCAAGCAGACAGTGTTGTCACTGAGTGTACATTTTAACAGAAATATAATGCTATCAAGCAGACAGTGTTGTCACTGAGTGTACATTTAAGCAGAAATAAGATGCTATCAAGCAGACAGTCTTGTCTCTGAGTCTACACGTAAGCAGAAATAAGATGCTATCAAGCATACAGTGTTGTCACTGAGTGTACACATAAGCAGAAATAAGATGCTATCAAGCAGACAGTGTTGTCACTGAGTGTACATTTAAGCAGAAATAAGATGCTATCAAGCAGACAGTGTTGTCACTGAGTGTACATTTAAGCAGAAATAAGATGCTATCAAGCAGACAGTGTTGTCACTGAGTGTACATTTAAGCAGAAATAAGATGCTATCAAGCAGACAGTGTAGTCTCTGATGTGAGTTGACCATGGGATTCCTTTTGTTTCTTATATTGCATATGAATATGCATATATTGAATGTGATAAATTATTTAAAGCTGTCAACCTAAGTGATGAGATCCATCGTCTTTCTATTTCTTCCAGCTTCTGTTGGGCAACCGTACAGGAAATATCCGATTGTTTGATGTCAAAGAGATCAAAACATTTCGTGAAGTGCAAGCAGATCAGAGTTATCCCAGGTATGAAACAAGGAAAGATTGGGTACAGTATACTGTTGGGTTATTCCATATGTCAAACAACCAAATCCAAGGATAGCACGAGTTGGGCCAATACTATGAACCATATTTCTTTCAAAAAGAAGGACACTCCAGGTTGGAGAAAAACAATTCTTCAAGATATTTACAGCTGCACTTGACTAGTTTCGATCATGAGTGGTTTCATCAAAAATGTCTTCAAAGCTGTTTTTTCAGGTACAGAACTTCATTGCTTCATCGAGGCACAGTTCATGAAAGAATCCAATTTGTGGGATTGTATTTTAGAGTGTTTGGGAGATAAACTTACTGTGTTTGCAATTTAGAATTATATTAACTGTAGATATCCTGTTATGTTTTTGTGATGAGGATGCCGTTCCTTGTTTGTCCTAGGATCATCAACATCACAGCTAACCCTGTGGGCATGAGTTTCGTGTGATGAGGATGACGTTCTTTGTTTGTCCTAGGATCATCAACATCACAGCTAACCCTGTGGGCATGAGTTTTGTGTGTTCAGCCACCGTACAGCGTCTCCGCAGTGGGTCCGCGGACACCTCCGTCATGGCTAAACCAGGAAAACTCATGTTGTGGGATCTCCGCACAATGAAGATGGATGTAAGATATGTTTCAGACATAGCAGCAGATACGAGGGGCGTTCAATAAGTTTTGCAACTTCAATATAAGACCAAGTCGCAGAATATCTTTTGCACTTTTATTTTTTAATGTAATCTCCATTCACCTCAATACACTTATTCCATTTGTCCTTCAAGCTTTTAATACCACTTTTATAGAAATCCGCAGATTGGCCCTCTAACCACGCCTCTGTGGCAGCCTTTATGTCCTCGTCGTCCTGGAAGCGTCTCCCACGTAGGGCAGATTTCATTTGCCGGAACAGGAAATAGTCACTAGGGGCTAAGTCTGGGCTGTAGGGTGGGTGATTTTACTGTTCGAATCCACATTCACATATGGCGGCCTGTGAACTCAACTTGTGAACCAGAGCATTGTCATGCAAAAGTAGAATACCACGTGTGTTAACATCCCACAGCGTTTCGGGTGAATAGATTTTCGCAATTCTTTCATTACATTAGCATAATACCGTTCATTGATTGTAGTTTTTGGTGGCATGCAATCAATCAGTAATATGCCTCTTGCATCCCAAAATATGGTGGCCATTACCTTGCCAGCCGATGGTTGTGTGTGAAACTTCCTCGGGGATGGAGAATTGGGATGCTTCCATTGCATGGATTCCAATTTAGTTTCTGGTTCCTGTTACGTGCTGTGTATCCTGTACACATGTCTGGATAGCCATAGCCAACTCAGGTTAAAGCATCAACGTTTATTAGAACTTGCATGGCTGACATATGCCAAGGGAAGCAACTCTTGTCACAAGAGTGCATACCATGTAACATCTCCATTCCTTTGAGGAAAACAAATAAAGTAATTAAACCTTTAACTACAGGTACATTAATCCAAGAAATGAGTGACATTACCGAGTCGGTCCATATACTGGGATACAGTATACAGTTCACTATAACATTCCGTTAAAGCACTTTCCCATAATTCCTGAATTAAAGTTCGCTGTCAACTTGCAATGACAAAATTATTAGTTTTAACTAAACAACATCAGAAACACATTATTATTCCAGTCTTTGGAAAACTGTTAAAGAACACATCCAAGAATTACAAATCAAGCCATTTAACTGGCTTTACTACTCTCCCAGACTTTGTCTTGAACATGTCAGATTTTGGAGATGAGGTATTCTTTGGAACATCTCTTGTTGGAATGACAGAATCAGTCTGAGTATTAGAGAGGTTAGCACTAGACTGAACACATTGCTTATCCTGGATAAGTTCATCATCTCTAGATCTTCTTGGCGAGAAGATTAACATCATCCTCAACTCTAGACTTTCTGGCAAGACGAAGTTGTTGTCTATTCCGTTTGAAACAGTGACCATTATCAGATCTCACAGAGTAGGTTCTTGGCTTGATCTCATCTGTCACAGTAGCTTCATTCCATTCCTTCCTGCCGGTTTGAATGGGTTGCATTCTGACAGTATCACCAACCCGTAAGGGTTTGAGAGGTCTTCCAGAGTTCTTCCGGTTATGTCTCTCAACTACAAGCATCCTTTTGTCTTCAAGTTGTTGCTTGTCATCCGGACCAGAATCATGTTGAATAGTCTTTAACGTACAAGGAACCTGAGTACGCGTTCGGCGACCAAATAGTCTTTGGGCTGGACTTGTTTGTACGCCTTCAGTCGGTGTATTTCTCACATTCAACAATCCCAGGTAAGGATCCTCTTTAGCAGCTAGACATTTCTTCATCATCCTTTTAGCTACTTTAACGGCAGCTTCGGCAGCACCATTAGCTTTACTGTTTCCAGGGCTGGAAGTTTCATGAGAGAAACCCCAAGACTGACTGAACTTCTTGAACTTCTCACTGGTATACTGAGGTCCTCCGTCACTGATGACGACTTTAGGTATACCATGACGAGCAAAGTGGTGCTTCAACTTGGTAACCACAACATCAGAAGTGGTTTCAGGCAGAAAGTCAATTTCAAAGAAAATGCTGTAGTAGTCAGTAGTCACAAGGTAATTCCTGCCTTCAATGGTGAAAATATCAGTTCCCACCTTTTCCCAGGGATGATCAGGAATCTCATGCATAATCAGAGGTTCTGGTGATTGCTTATCACTGAAACGAGCACAAATATCACATGACTCGATATACTGTCTTATGTCACTTGACATCAAGGGCCAGAAAACAAGTGTCTTTGCACGGCGTAGACAAGAGTTTATCCCCATGTGACCAACATGAAGGTTTCTCTTGATCTCATCTCTCAATGCAAGTGGGATGACAACTCTAGGTCCACGAAGAATTATCCCATCTTGAATGGTGAGTTCGTCTCTGTAACTGAAGTAAGGAGTAAGCTCAGAGGACAGATTCTCCTTATGTGTTGGCCATCCTTCCATTATAGTTGATTTCAACTTGGTGAGGGTTTCATCAGATGCAGTTGCAACTCTAATGTCATTCATGAGCTTGTCCTTGATCGGCAGATGATAGACATTACTCACATACACAGTTTCAGAGGAAGGTTTGTCAGGCAATGGCGCTCTGGAAAGTGTATCAGCAATAGGAATAGCTGTTCCAGGTAGATACTGAAGATCGAACACATATCGCTGGGTCCTCAGTAGTAATGACTGCAGTCTATTGGGAGCTCTAGACAAGGGCTTCTTGACGATAGACACTAGTGGCTTGTGATCAGTTATCACAGTTACACTTCTACCATATGTGTAATGGTGGAATTTCTCAAGACCAAAGGTCACGGCGAGCATTTCCTTTTCTATCTGAGCAAATCTTTGCTCAGTGTCAGTTAGCGAGCGACTGGTATAAGCGACAGGCTGTCCCTCCTGCATTAGTACTGAGCCAATGCCATGTTCACACGCATCATTCTCAACTGTCAGCTCTTTCTCTGGATCATAATATGACAATACAGGTGCCTTGGTAACCATGTCCTTCACCTTTTGGAAGGATTCCTGTTGAGAACTGGACCATGTCCAGGCAACATCCTTTCTTACAAGGTTACGCAGAGGAGCTAGCACATCAGTTAAGTTTGGCAAGAACTTGGACAAGTAGTTCACAAGACCAAGGTAACGTCGAAGTTCTTCAAGATTTGTTGGTGGAACCATGTTTTGAATTGCTCGGACCTTCTCGGGGTCAGATTTCAAACCATCTTTGGTTATCAAATGTCCCATGAAGGTGATTTCACTCAATCGCAGTTCAAGTGTCAAGACGACACAGAAAGTCCAAATGGCAACCTGAGAAATCGATAACGACCAAAACAAGTTTGAAAGGTCGTAAGAAGACTTGACTCCTCATCGAGTTGGACATGCCAGTATCCAGATGACAAGTCAGCTTTGGAGAAAACTCTAGACTTCCCTAGCTCATGTAGGGTATCTTCAAGCACAGGCAGAGTGTAATGCTCTCTACAAAGGGCTTTGTTTAGTTCTTGCGGATCCAAACAAATTCGAAGTTCACCTGATTTCTTTTGCGTAATTGCGATTTGGTTTATCCAGGGGGTTGGCTCACTGACGGGGCGCAATCACACCTAACTTCTCCAGTCTGTCTAACTTCTCCAGTCTGTCTAACTCAGTGTTCAACTTTGAGCGCAGTGCAACAGGAACACGACGGTTTGGCATCACAACTGGTCTCACCGCACTATCAACTGACAGATGAACAACACCACTAAAAGTACCAAGTTTACCATCCAGCACATCACTGAACTTTTCAGTAACTTCAATATTGGCAACACGCTCAATATTCTTCTCATGAATTGTGACTAAGTTCATGAGTGTAACAGTTTTGACACCTAGGAGAGGTGCAAAGTTCTCTTTCACAACAACAAATTCAACAGAATACTTTTTCTTGTTAGCAGGATTCTGAACAAGAATGTTTAGGCAACCAAGAGGAGTGACGTCAGTCTCATTCCACATCTTCAACTTTTTAGTTGTAGGTTTCAGACTCTTCAACTTGTCCTGGACCATAGAAGACGGAATGATATTAACAGCAGCACCATGATCAATAGTGAAGACGACATCTCTTCCCTCCACGGTCATTCTACATTTAGCAGGCTTGTCCGTGTTTGAATCTTCATGCACAGAATTTATCCAATCTTCATCTGGAAGCTCAACATTGTTGACTTTGCTGTATTGCTTCTTACTGGGACACTTTGGTGCAAAATGATTCAGCTGGTGACACTTCGTGCACTTTTTTCCCCATGCAGGACAACTTTTACGAGCCATGATATGAGAATAACCACAGAATTTACAGTCTCTTTCATGCTGAGATTGGGGTCTCTGACTTCTCGATGGAGAATTCATCTTTTGACTTGAACGAAGAGGCTTCTTTTGCCTTGATCTCAAAGAGTCTATTGCAACTCTATTGATAGGTTCAGGTCTGATCAACTTTGACTGAACTGATGCATTTTCAGTGGCTTTACAGATGTCGATACATCTTTGTAGGGTGAGGTCCCTCTCTTTGAGCAGTGCTTGCTGAGTGTCGGGATCTCTTACTCCAAGGAGGAGTCTATCTCTTATTATTGAAGAGATACAATTCTGACAACAGTTGCAGGTTTTCACAAGAGAACGGATTGATCCTAAGAAATTTTCAAATGTCTCTCCATCCTTCTGTTTTCTGAGATTGAAGACATATCTCTCATATGTCTCATTAACTTCACCAATAGTAAATGCTTCGAATTTGTCTAGAATTTCTTTAACAGTTCTCTCAGCTTCTGGTGTTTGAAAATGGAATCCATTGAAAACTTTTAAGGCTTCATCACCAAGTGTGTTTAGGAGCAAAGCTACTTGATATTCCCTTCCATATCCTGGCAGGTTCACAAGTATAGAATAATTGGTCCATTTCTGCTTGAATGTTTTCCAATTTTCAGCAATGTTGGATTCAATAACAAGGGGTGATGGAGGTTTTATACCACTAACAGGCCGTTGAGCTTGAGGAGGATTGTCGGCCATATTTGCAGACTTGAAGCAAGGCTAGACTATCTTCAAAGACAATACACACTTGTAGCTAGTTGACATTGACAAATGCAGACAGGAATCTCTCGAGTGTGCAGAATGTCACTTATCAGGCCAAATTAAGCTAATAGATTCAAGTGTTCATTCATTTCAGCGAGTGACATCACTGCTGAGACATTTGAATGATAGCAGACGAACGCACGTGGTCTGAAACACCTCGGCTTCCATTATAACATTTCAGACATAAAACTGACATAAATAGGTCGTGGTATCATAGAGGAGTGAGAAAGTCACCTGCTGCCACCATGTTACGTGCTGTGTATGCTGTACACATGTCTGGATAGCCATAGCTAACTCAGGTTAAAGCATCAACGTTTATTAGAACTTGCATGGCTGACATACGCCAAGGGAAGCAACTCTTGTCACAAGAGTGTATACCACGTAACAGTTCCCAGTGGTGGATCCATGTTTCATCACCTGTCACTAGACGAGAAAGAAATCCGGCTTCATCTGCAGTATAGAGATCCAGGAGGTCTTGAGTTCTGAGATTTCTAGATACCCATCATGCAGATACCTTGGACATACCAAGATGCTCATGAATAATGGTTACAACAGTTCCAACTGATATTTGGAATTCCCTAGAAAGTTCAGATACTTTCACTCGTCGGTCAGACAAAATTTTCCGGTTGGTTGGCATCTAAAGGCCTGCCAGACCTTGGGTCATCGTCTCCCTACACCTTTTAAACTGTAGGGACCAACGGCAAACTGTTGAATAGTCAGGAGCATCCTTACCCATCACTTTACACATGCGATCATGCATTTCTTTTGCTTTCCATCCCTCCTTGGTAGGCATGGTAAGGAACTTTATTACAGTGCGTTGTTCATGTTTGAGAGAATCCATGATTGTGACCACCCTTAGGTGAATGAAGCCATCACATCTAACTTATTGTTGTGTCTGGAACTTGTTATGACACGTGTCAACCTGATGTTATGACTAGTGTCACACCTGCCACAAGTTGACATTGTTTGTGTAAACACAAATGCCCAAGTTGCAAAACTAACTGAACGCCCCTCGTATGCTAAAGTGAATATAAATCTGCCACATTTATTCATTTTTGTGTTACAGAATCAGTGGTTGAAATGGTACAGAGCTCCAGATAACCTTTTGAGCAATTGAGCTTTTACTCGAAGGTTTCTATTTTAATTGGGTTATTACATTTTTCATTGGGTAGCCAAAACTTTTCACTCATCCATTCATCACTCTATTGGGTTTTTCTCAAAATGAGCTAAGATTTTGAGATTTTAAAAAAAATAAAAAAATAATGTTTTGGATGTATATAAGCAATGATAAGGGTTGACTCGGAAAGTAAATTAGCTTGTAATTGTGTTCCGTAACCTAGCTCTGTTGTACGCATGCTGAAAAGCATCATTGGGTATTTATGCATGCTGAAAAGCATCATTGGGTATTTATGCATGCTGAAAAGCATCATTGGGTATTTACGCATGCTGTTGTGATACATTTGAATTTTCAGTACACAAGTTGATTGAATGTAATTTGGTTTTGAATATTTGGAGGGGGGGTAGTATTTTATGCACATATGCAGCTTATCTGTAGCTCTGATGGTAATGTGTTATAGGCATCAATAATATTCCCCGAAAAGACCAAAAGACTCCATTATTTACAGGCCACCATCATTACCTTGACTATTGCCTAGTGCGGCGTTGCAGCACATAGACATGCAAACATGCACACACAGACATGTAAAGCGAATTGTCATTAATATGTTTACAGACTATATAATCCATTCATGTATTAAAAGTTAAATTACAGAAATAGACAAAACTCTGAATATAATGAAGTCCAAAGACTAGTTCAGTTTGTCATATCTGAATCACTGCTTGAGGTTAGAACTGTTAGCGATCCGTGAAGATTCCGGGGTAGAATAGGTCTTCAGCAACCCATGCTTGCCGTAAAAGGTGACTATTCTTGTCGTAAGAGGCAACTAACGGGATCGGGTGGTCAGGCTCACTGACTTGGTTGATGCATGTCATCGATCCCAATTGCGTGGATCGATGCTCATGACATTAATCACTGGATTGTCTGGTCCAGACTTGATTATTTACAGACTGCCGTCATATAGCTGGAATATTGCTGAGTGCGGTGTTAAACTACAAACCAAACCAAACCAAATCTAGAACTGTTAGCTGCAGCTGAGTTATATCTGAACTTCTGTACATGAACATTGACATAGTATGATTGCGTAAGGGTTGCATCTGTTAGCTATGGCTGTATCAAATCGGGAGTAAACTTTGTATCATAAGGTATCATTGACCTTGATGGTAGCCATTAGAATGAACCAATCCTGTGATGTGCCCAGTGTTTGTGTGGAAGATGTCTGAAGGTGCGGACTATTGTGTTGACAGAAACAGCTCCCATTGGAACCGACCCCTGTGGCCATCAACTGCTGTCAGTACAACCACAATGGTCAGTTGTTGATGACTGGAGCTGCTGACGGCAGGATCAGGATATTCGGTCAGTATCTCCATTAGGGCTGGGTGGGTAACTCGGGTGCTCGGGTCGGGTGGGGCCGGAGTAGGACCCAGGTACCCTCAGGACTACCTGGACCCATGGTTTGTCATGTGACATTTTGTTTAATGACAATAATTCATTGTAACTCCATGGTGACACTACAAGTCACTAATGGTCACATTTCTTTCTGACCAAGCACACATTCCTTTTGACTTGTACATGTTTGAGTAAGGATAAGCTTCATTTAACTTCAGTGATCTGATCGTTTGAAACATGTATCTAAATAGTTTTTGCCAGGGCTGCAGTAAATTCCTAATCAGACATTTTGTTCCCAACTTTGAGACCTGCAGTGGGTACCCGGATAGGGTCAGGGACCCGAGTAGTACATTTGGACCCATCCCAGGCCTAATCTCCACCCGCGGCGAGTCTGTGTTAGGTCCTCAGTACATTATCTGAGAGGTCACTAAATGGATCAGGGAGTCATGGTTTATTTGCGGGTCATCGTACCCTGATCAGGTGAGGGATGTTGCTCATAACGTCATTCATTGGTTTGTTTTGTACCAACTTGATTATTTGGCGGGGGCAGTAATACTGCTGAATATTGCTGCATGTGGCATCAATGGGAAGTGTTACCTGTTTCACAGGAAAGGAAATCTTTTGCAGGAAAGTATTGCCACTCTCCTAACATGCTTAATTTCATGAAAGTGTAACCTTTATGTAGGCCGAATCCTTTCTGTGGAATCTTGTCATATCGTCAATCACATTAACCACTCTGCCAAATGGTGTGAGTGTTTGTTTTGTGTGTGCATTAATTAAGGATAAGATAAATGGATGAACAACTTCTATAATACAATTAGGAGCGACGTTTGGTGAAGGTTCTACCAGATTATCAAACATCGTTCCTAATTGTATGAAGTTGTTCATCCATATATCTTATTCTTACTTAGTACTCCAACTTCTGAATGTCTGTCGGGGGCACGGGTGGCCCAGTCATCTAAGGCGCTGAATAGTTGCGTCCCTTGGCCACACCAGAAACCTATGATTGTGGGTTCGAGTCCCGGTTTGCCTCGATTATGTTTCTAGCTTTGTCAGCATCATACCCGTGCTCGTGGGTTTTACCGAAGTGGTAAACGTCTGAGACCTGCATCACTTCGGGCTTTCCTCCCACATAAAGTTGACACGCCGTGATATAACTTGAATACTGTTAAAAGCGGCGTTAAACCAAACTCACTCATTCTAAATGCCTCTCAAAGAAGTTTGCATTAATTAGGTGAACGGGTAGAAAACTAAATGGTTTTTCCTTTAATTGTACAGTGTGTGTGATGGGTAATTGTGTTCCAGATATACAACAACAGAAGTGTATCACCCAGTGGCCAGCCCATGATGGGGAGGTCCACTCCGTACAGTTCAGCTCCGATGAGACGTCCTGCTTCAGTATGGGAGGGGATGGGAAGGTATGGGCCATAACAGTGTGGTAGATGAATAATGACAATAGTCGACAAGAGGAAAGAGTCACAACATGAGACACTGACAGCATTATCCACCCAATGATTGTAATCAAAGAAAAGTCACAGTAACATTGAGATGTAGTGGTGGTTGACATGTTCTGGGTAGAAGGCCGGGGTTCCTTTCCCACATCGGTACAGTGTGTCGGCCCATTTCCCTGCAGGAATATTGCTAAAAGAGGCATAAACCATACTTACTGATAGCCAGTGCAGTGAAACCTGTCTAATTTTATGAACAAAAAAAGGTTGAATTAAGTATGATGACACAAGTATCATATGTATGATTGTATGTATCGATACTTGAAGTAAAAAACATCAAAACTCATTGTGGCGTGAATAATGTGCAACCCCTTCTAGACAGCTGTGTTTCTTGGGAAAAGGGTGCACACTTTACTCAAGAAAATATGTTAAGTGTATCGTGGCACTCATACACTAGGAAATAGAAAGTGCCAGTTTGATAATAGCACAATGAAGTTTTGATACATCTGTACTGACTTACTTCCAGTTTATACAATGGAATATCCACAAGACTGGCACGATAGTCCGAGAGTTGGCGATCCACCAGGGAGCCGCACTGCCATTCCTGGCCACCAGTCCCACGGGGAACAAGGAAGTACCTCGAGGGAGACTGTTCGCGTTTGACCCCGAGGGCCAGTACATACTCACCTGTGATAAAAACAAAGGAGTCCTGTATCAGGTAAACATGTACAATATCTTGCAATGTCCTCTGACATATGTTAAGATTTGAATGATAACCCATGCTGTTAATGATAACCCATGCTGTTAAAGTGAATGATAACCCATGCTGTTAAAGTGAATGATAACCCATGCTGTTAAAATGAATGATAACCCTGTTGTTAAAGTGAATGATAACCCATGCTGTCAAAATGAATGATAACCCATTATGGATTGCATTCCGAGCAAGTCTTGACTACTGCTACAGTGATTCTTACCTTTTGTTGGTTGTGAAATTGTAGGTTTTTTTAAAAACTGGAGATTAGGCAGGGTGCCAAATCATTACTTTGTCTGATAATGGTGCCAAAAATGTGTTTTACCACAAGCATTACTGCCAATGCCCACAAGTAAGTACTATCCGCAGCTCAAGAGAATTTGATATGTGTCAAGTAATTGACATTCCTTCAGTTTCTTTAAGATGTTAAAATCTGCCAAGGGAAATTGATAGTCTCCATTTGATGTTTTCATTTCATGAAATCTAATCGGAATAAGGATTTGTTGGTTACAGTTGATCACCTGACTGTTTCTGTGTTATTAGACCCTCATCTGATGGTGAAGTTCATTACTTGTTATGTCAGTCGATGGTTGGACTAGATAATCTAAAGGCCACTCTGAAATAGCTGGAATACTGCTGACAGCGACGTAAAACTGGATTTACTCAGTCACTTCCATACATATTACATTTTCTGGTCAGTCCAAAGACCACATGGGTACAATGTGTGAGGCCATTTGTGGTTGCCTCCCACCCACTCTTCTGAGGTATGCCTCGATTTGTAACCTTAAAAGTGGCTGCTCACTCACTCACTCACTCACTCACTCACTCACTCGCCTGTTCACTCACTCACCCACCTTTTCACTCTCTCCCACACACGACTGCCCTCACTCACTCACTCACTCACTCGATTGCCCACTCACTCACCCACCTGTTCACTAGCTGCCAACCTGTTCACTCACTCACTCGCCCACCTGTTCACTCCCACACCCAGCTGCCCATTCACTCACTCAAGGCACCCACCCACATGATAGTAATGTTCCTCTGTTCCAGACCCGAGAGGCTGACCCTGGCATAGCGAAGATGATGGAGGTTCAAGGTCACAAGAGCGCAGTGACAACCGTGGACTGGTCACCGTCTGTGGACACCAGAGTCTGTCTCATGGGGGCCATGGACGGAAAGATAAAAGTGTCAACTTTGCTGTCACAGTGAACAAAGATGCCAAGCGTTTGCAGTTTTTCGTAACCACAATACTCTACTTAAATGTGATTACTGTGACGTGATGTAAAGACAGTTTTGAGCCAATGAGACAAATAGTTTTCTAATGTAAAGCGATGTTGCAATTCTACATGTTCTTAGTGTAAAAAAAAGATGTTAAATAATTTTTATTTATGCAATATTTCATATTTCAAGGTCACACTGTATTACATGAAGAAGCTGATGACACCTTGGTTCATTAATGAAGAACACACATGTTCAGGATGATTATTCAAACACCTAGGTGCATTTATCTTGATGTTGAGAATGACCTGTTCAGTCTTTGAGAGTGCTTTGAGTATTTGGAAGTGATGAGCAGGTCCTTGTATTCAGGGTGGTACTGAATCAGGAATTAGAGTAAAACCCTGTTTGTCCAGACCCTGTTGATCTTGACACCCTGCCTCCTGCCTGATTTCCATGTAGAACATCCGTCATGGTAAAAGGTCATTTGGGTGTGTATCATTAGTAGATCTGGACAATGTCGCTGGCAACGTCACTGTCTGGATCAACAGGGTTTAACTTCAGTCAGATTTATTCCAGACGTTGTGGCAATAAATGCAGTGTTTTCTGCCTGACAAATATGCCCTGATCACAGATTTTGTGTGTTCGCATCATGCTGCTGCTAGTTGGTTTCCAAAACAGGGTACATGGAAAACAAGTACAATCTATGGGCTTCCCTTCCCCATGATGCTGGCATACTGACATTACTGGATTACAGAGATGCCAGTCGTTACCTTTTTGTGCAGAATTCCTACAATATTTGGAACCAAATTCAAACAAATGTTTAAGTGGAATATGTTATGAATTTTGTCATACAAACATTGCCAGTGATGCAAAAGATATATTTTTGTCAAAACCATGCACTCAATTATGCTAATAATGACTCCTGAAGTTTTGAATTACAAATATAAGACCCAAGTTATCCCAGACATTCACAGTTGCCTCTATTTGGGGTTGTCATCTCAAACTCACTAACTCACCAGACCTCTGAACATCTGGTTTAGCACAGGTCTTCAGCAACCCATGCTTGTCGTAAGAGGTGACTAACAGGATCTGGTGGTTAGGCTCGCTGACTTCGTTGATGCATGTCATGGTATCCCTATTGAGATCGATGCTTATGGTGTCAATCACTGGATAGTCTGGTTTAGACTCGATTACAGACTGCCATCAAATAGGTTGGACTATTGCTGAGTGTGACAAACAAACAAACAAAACACTCACTCAGAGTGGCCTGCTTATACAAATGTACTCAATTTGTTGTAGTTCAGATTCTAAACTTGAAAGGACAATGGGTGGCCTAGTGGTTAACTTTCACTTATCAAAATGTAAACCTGGGTTTGATTCCCCACATGGAAACAATGTGTAAAGTCCATTTCTTAAGTACCTCACTGTGATACTGACGGAATAGTGCTAAACATTCTAACGTCTGTTGAATATGTGACACTGACAGTGCAGTTAGGTTGATGATGTGATAGTTTGTTTGTATGAAGTCATTGAATGGTGCTTATTTATGAGCCTGGCCTTGAAATATTCAATATTGAATTGTTGATCGTTTGTCAGTTACTGGTGTTGTCCTGGCAACAAATATATAACCTGAACATGAATATTTTGTGTGTTATAATGTATCGACATTGGAGCAACCATGAACCACATTCCAGGGCGAGCTGCAGGACAGAACAGCTTTGTGCAATAAATACATTGTCAGAACATATTTGTGTTACGAACTTCTGTATTATGTAATAAACAGGACTGACGTTATTTCTCAGTTCTGAGGTATTCCCGCTGATCACTTCTGCAGCCACGTCACGTGATCAGTATGAGATGTCAAATTACCAATTGGGGGATCTGCTGCCAGTCACATTGGAGAGACCGATCCAGGTTCTGAACGTCTCCATGTGGTAGTTGTGACTGTACATGTTGTCTGCCCAGCAAGTCCCACACTACTTGGGGCTACGGATAGTTCCATGAGAAAAGGTTGCGGATTTGCGCTGTACGGTTTACACAGCGAAAACAAAAACCGGCGGTGGCTGTTGTCGGTCTGAAATCCTTATTCAAAGTTCACCTTTTGTTGAAATGCAAGTTTGTTTGTGTGTTTCTTGTTTAACGCCGCACTCAGGAATATTCCCGCTATATGACGGCGGTCTGTTAATAATATTATCTGGACCAGACAATCCAGTGATTGACAACATGTGCATTGATCCACGCAATCGGGATCCATGACATGCATCAACCAAATCCCGTTAGTCGCCTCTTACGACAAGCGTAGTCGCCTGTTACGACAAGCATGGGTTGCTGAAGACCTATTCTACCCCGGATCTTCACGGGCCTATAGAGGTAAGTGATTCAGGAAGAGACGTATATAGATTTTAAACGCATTATAGTCGATCAGAACGTATAAGTGTGCTGTAAAATTAAAAGTGCAAATCCGCTTACTTTTCTTACGGGACTGTTCGGAGGCCAAACAGTGACACAAAGAAAAACTGTAAAGGAACATCGGGGATAGGGAACCACAGCCAACCCACCCACTACTGTTCACCGCCAGTGTTGACCTGATTTGTGAACACGTCCCCACGCCCATGGATCAGATGTGGTGTTCGCTTACACACCCATGTCCACACATGTAACTGGTCTCCTTCCTCGAGTTTCGAGACATATCGCAATAATCTGTTTGCGCCATTTTTGCGTATTATTCCATCTGGAACAAGAAACCTTTGCTACCAACCTGTTTCTATTCAACTTGAATGTCGAATACAGGACACATTTTATGGATAGCAATTTCATTTATTCTTTGTCACGACATTTTAGAGCTACTTCTGACCCGTGACCCTTAATAAGGCGACTATGCTTGTCGTAAGAGGTGACTAACGGTATCGGAGGGTCAGGCTCGCTGACTTGATTGATGCATGTCAGTATATTCCAATTGCGTGGATCGATGTCCTTAATGTCAATCACTGGATTGTCTGGTCCAGACTCGATTATTCCAGACCGCCGTTATGTAGCTGGAATATTGCTGAGTGCGGCGTTGAACAACAAACAACCGTGCTATAATCACATCATTAACCACTATGGACATCTTGATTGCCCTATTGCTTGTGTCACAATAGCCAGATCATCGTCACAATTACACCGCCAGTGTACTGACTTGCATCTTCCCAAAGGCAAGGGCGTTAACTGACTATAAACTGGACTTTTAAAGTCCGTTAACTCTCTTGCCTCGGGAAGATGACTTACTTGAATCCTCTCCTGTTTATCCCATTGGTTTCGTCACTATATCGTTATCTTTGTACATTCATCACACCTTGTGTTGCGCAAACATCGTCATTTATATATATAAATTAACTCTATTCATTCAGCATTCACCTGATCAAGGAGCTAGGAGTAGCCCTTAAAAGCCGTGACAAAGAATAAAAGAAGCTGCAATCCATAAAAAGTGGCATGTTTTCATGTTCTTCCAACTTCAACATGCCTATCAAAGACTTGAATGTCGAACTCGAATATTTAAGGTTCGTTCTGTGGTCTAGTGGATAGAACATCTGCCCCGAGAGCCGAAGGTCGGGGGTTCGATCCCTTGGCCACCTCATACCAACCAAAAGGCGTTACAAGATTGTACTTGTTGTTACCCTGCCTGGCGCTCGGCATTAAGGGGAGAAGATGTGAACTGGTCGGCACTGGGTCTGTATACTGTGTCTGTGTGGAGCATTCACGTTGAACAGTCGCATGGTATCTCAGTGAGCTAGCACTATGTAACCGGCGTAAGTCAGGACTACAAACACGTGCATGCGCGTCTAATAGTGTGATGCAATTCAATTTTAGCATTTTGTTTTGCCATAGAGGACAAGGTAATACTTGCCAGAGTAATTATCAGGCCAAGTTATTACAAAATTATGCAAGTATTACATTTTTAATACCCGCTTAGTCATATGGTTAACGTATCGTCAGATGTAAACTCGATTCATAGATACTTCGGTGAAATGTGACACACCCGATTACACAGGTTTAAGCTTCACTCCAGGATTATCACGCGGGGGGACACCAGAAAAGGGCTTCACAATTTGTATCCAGGGGGGGAATCGAACCCGGGCTCGTTCGTGACGAGCGAACGCTGCAACCACTAGACTACCCTACCTCCCCATACCCACGAGGGCACATAGTAAATTGTAGCTTTCATACAGCGATTATTCCCCAAAACTTAGCAAGCACTGTAGTAATTTGAAGCAAGCCAGTCAAATCCGTGGTATCAATCCGTTTGACGTTCGCTCCAGTATTTCCGTTCCCATGTTATAACACTTCAAACGATTTGCATAATTGTTGTCGTTTTCATCACCCCGCGGACACAGGAGCACAGGCTTAACTACAAATAACCCAAACAATAGTCGACAATGGTGACAAAAACTAACCCGTTCCCCGCGAACCATGCTGAGTATTGTGAGATATTCAACGCGACACGCAGTTAGCTGGAACATTATAACATGAAGTTTAAAGTCACAATTTCCTGTGCGGTAAGTGCCCCAATCAGGTCAAATGTCCTCAGTTGAATGAGACGCATTTTGTCGAATGACGACTACAATTCGCCATCGCCTGCCTGTAAAATGGACCTGCGTATTGTTGTTATATATGTAATTTTCTTTTCTTGTGAAGTGTCAGCAGTTTTACAAAAAGGTACGTGTCATATCTTTCTTTAATTGTGTTGATGGACACACGATTCAGAAGGCTGCGAACCCCCGTTTGGTAAGCGGGATTCGGGGATCTATTTTAGACAGGACTCGGTTGTGTGGTACGGGGGACGCAAATAAAATCGTATTTGGTACTCAGATTCTATATAATGAATGGTGCACGTAAACAATTTCTTTATAGTATTTTACTTTTTCGATAGTTTATCAGTAATTTAGCTTCAAATCGCACCCTTTTCTCAATGCTTTTGAGATTTGTGTTAAGTTGTATTCGGGATTCAGGGGTGAGCAAAGATACTCTTTTAGCTGTGACCATGAAGTGATGGGAGCTCTAATTGAATCCTTGAAATAGGACGTATGTCCGTGCAACCTGAAAAAAGCATAATATGAATGCTGGAAAAAAACCTGTCTTCGGGTGTTACAAAGAACTGAAAAACAGTGTGTTGTTGGTCCAAAACAATTTTGTGGATCCTCCATCCAGAGGAAAGACAGCCTCCGTGGTCTAGTGGTAGAGCACACGTGTGTGTGTTTGTGATGTGTTTGCGTGACTTGGTGCGTGCGTGCGTGCGTGTGTGTGGCTGCTTGTACTAGTCCGGAATGATGCCGGTTTTATAGTGCCAGCCCACTGAGATACCATGCCGTAGTTTAACATGAATACCCCACTCAGACACAATGTACTGACTCCGAGCCCAGCAGTCCTTGTTGTAGCCCCTTAATGCCGAGCGCCAGGCAGGGTAACAACAAGTGCCATCTTTTAACGTATTTTGGTATTACGCGGCCGGGGATCGAACCTCGGACCTTCCGCTCTCCGGGCGGACGCTCTACCTCTAGACCACGGAGGCGGTCTTACAGGGCGCGCTCATATAGGTGTAATAGTAGACTTGTCATTAAACAACAAACAAACCACTTATTATGTTTTCTTAAAGCAAAATGATGACAAAATGATGATTGAGGAGAAGCTGATGTAGATTTGGTGTGAGTGAGTGATCGTTGTCACAAAATCAGCAGTATTTTGTACACATACTTTGAGTATAGGTGCTTCTATATTGAGCGTCTCAGTCAAACGAGTGAGTGAGTTGGGTTTTACGCCGCTTTTAACAGTATTCCAGTTATATCACGGCGTTTCAGCTTAATGTAGGAGGAAAGCCCGAAGTGATGCAGGTCTCAGATGTTTACCACACGGGTATGGTGCTGACAAACCTAGAAACATAATTGGGGCGAACCGGGATTCGAACCCACAATCATAGGTTTCTGGCGTGTCCAAGGGACGCAACTCTGCACAGCGAATCGCGGCGCCTTAGACGACTGGGCCACCCGTGCCCTCTCTCAGTCAAACGAAGCCGTCACAGATGTTTTATATGAATGCCATGTCATGGTCAGAATGTGTTAAGGTATTAATGTATTGGGGTTTTGTTTACACTTATTCATAAGCAAATTGTATTTGCGTATATGCACGCGAAATTTGACAAGATGTATTTGCATGAACTGTGCAAAAGAAATTAGGATTCCTTATGTATAGTTATGATGTCTAGATGAACAGTAAATCTGATTCAAATAGCCTGTTTCACATGGGGATTCTAGGTCAGGCTATCTACCCAACAACCAATGCTTGTGGAAGAGAATACTATCTGGATTGGGTGGTCGGGCTCGTTAGTTTTTATCTTCTTGTGCATATTCTATGCAGTCGTTAACAACGACAGGGGTGGACGGTTTGCTCTTAGGCCGGTGGGTTGTGTGCTTGCTTGCTGTTGTTTAACAGTTGCAAACTTGATGCTCGAGTGCACAATAGAAATGGAGGTTTTTGATATAATAAAAGTAGGAATGTAAATAGAAAGTGCCAACGTCGAGTCGACGTGGCGCATTGACGAATACATGACCTCGAGGAGGAACTCTACGTGCAGACGTCACACTCCACCCCATGTTCCATGTTTAATAGAAATGGATTCTTCCATTTCACTGGAACCACCACTGTTCCATTAACGACGTACATTCTCCTGATTTTTTGCAAATTGATCTTGTGATACCATAATGCAATATGAATCCTTATGGTATTTATATAAGTGAGTGAGTGAGTTTGATTTTACGCCGCCTTTAGCAATATTCCAGCAACATCACGGCGGGGGACACAAGAAATGGGCTTCACACATTGTACCTATGTCGGGAATCGAACCCGGGTCTTCGGCGTGACGAGCGAACGCTTTAACCATGTGGCTGCCCGACCGCCCGTTTTTATATGAGAATTAGTTCAAGAGTACGAGGTCAGCTTCCATGTCGGATAAAATATTTCATTCGTGTTATACCAGGTCTGAGAATGTATTAATTCCTATACATAACAACTCTTAGGTGTGTTGATGTTGGTGAGATTTTTGGGAATGGATTTGCGTGGCTACATTTTTATCTAATAAAGATTTTGTTTTATCCGACGCATGACCATTTGACTGTTCCCAGTGCTGAGAGCACATGGCTGCGGTCGTTGATGTCAAGACACTTCTGACTCCATCACAGAACGTGTAAGAGAACATGGCCACGATCGTTGATGTCAAGACACTTCTGCCGCGATCACAGAACGTGTGAGACCACATGGCCACGGTCGTTGATGTCAAAACACTTCTACCGCCATCACAGAACGTGTGAGACCACATAGCCACGGTTGTTGATGTCAAGACGCTTCTGCCGCCATCACAGAACGTGTGAGACCACATGGCCAGGGTCGTTGATATCAAGACACTTCTGCCACCATTACAGAACGTGTGAGACCACATGGCCACGGTCGTTGATGTCAAAACACTTCTGCCGCCATCACAGAACGTGTGAGACCACATGGCCACGGTCATGATGTCAATACGCTTCTGCCGCCATCACAGAACGTGTGAGACCACATGGCCACGGTCGTTGATGTCAAAACACTGCTGCAGCCATCACAGAACGTGAGACCACATGGCCACGGTCGTTGATGTCAAGGCATCTCCATGTGGCAACCAATGTGACCATCCGCGTGTCAGTGGCCGTTGATTCCAAGACATCATACGTATCACATAACATGTCAGGCCGTGCGTCTATTGTCGTTGATGCCAAAACATCTCCGCGTGCCACATAACATATCAGGCCGCGCGTCTATTGTCGTTGATGCCAAGACATCTCCACGTGTCAACCAATGTTTCAGGCCGCCCGCTAAGGTCGTTGATGCCAAGACATCTCCACGTGTCACACAACATGTCAGGCCGAGTGTCTGAGATCATTGATGCCAAGACCTCTCCATGTGTCAACCAATGTTTCATGCTGCGTGTCTAAGGTCGTTGATGCCAAGACATCTTCTCGTGTCCAAAGCCGTTGATGAATGATGAATGTATCGTCCTAGGTATTGCTTATGTATTGCAAAGAACAGCAATATGCATACTGTCGAGTATTGTCAAAGACCTAATAAAAATATCATCACGATAACAATGCTTGCTTCATTTTCACGTAGGTCATGAGCCACCCGAGTTTATTCACGGCAGTGACACAAGGACGAGCATCAGTCGGAAGGGTTCAATTCTGCGCTTGCGGTGTTCCGTTTCCGCCAATCCACCTGCTGAGGTCACGTGGTTCCGGTATGACGAGGAGATAGTGGAAGATAGGAAAAAGGTTCGTTTACGTGATGGACTGAATCATAACGTGCTGACCATCCGGAATTTGGATTCTCTGGACTCCGGAGACTACACCTGCAGTGCCACCAACAGATATGGAAAAATCACCAAAACGTACACAGTTTCCGTGGTTGGTAAGTGTCCAAGATTGATATTTAACGAGTTTATATCAGAAACTAGAAAAGACCCATAACAAAATATAATAGCACGGCCTTTATTGTTCACACTCGGAACTGTACATTTCGAGATATAGAAATCAGGTATGCTGTTTCATGATGATTTGCTGATTAAGAAGTTCACCTGACCCGATCTCCTATGAAGAATTTGTTATATCTTCACACAAGGTTGAAATTCTATTTGTCATCCAAAATCGTTCTTCCGTTTGTTTCAGTTTGTAAACAATACAAACTAGTGTCTTGAGTACGAATATAGAGGATTCATCACGAGTGTTTTTTAATATGGGAAATATCAACCGAGTCTTAGTTAATCGGTATTTGCCGAGCCTTTGGCGAGGCAAATACCGATTAACGGGACGAGGTTGATATTTCCCATATTACAAAACACTCGTGATGAATTCTATTTATCATTTTCACATTTTTGCTTCCCAATTAAGGAATAATTGCATTAAACATTAACATCAGCAACTTGTCGAAATCTTACGTATAGATCGTGCGTAGTGATACATGTTTTCCATAGCCGTGTAAACCAAAATAAACAACCTCTTAACTCCTTTATGGCATATTCCTTCGCTGAGAAAAAAAGTTCCTCGGATTATTTTAAACAAATTACTTGAACAGACTTTTGCAGAATAATTGAAATAATGTCTCTAACATCAAAGGTATCCATGTTGTTTGTAAACACCTACTCACGCGCACCGGCGAAAAAAGTCCCACTTCCGGTTATCTAATTTGCATATCTAATTTGCATACTTATGTCATTGGGGTATGACATACATGTTTTTATGTCATGAGCTTATGTCATGGATAAATGCTTTAGTTAAATGATAAATTTATCTATTCATTTTCGAGACCTCCGTTTATAGTTTATACTGTGCCCGCGGCAGAAATCATCTCAATGTGTAAGAGATTTCTTACCATTTCATGGATGTCAGGATGTGTTGGGGTAAGTTATGTTGGAGACAAGTTCTATAATCGAGGTGAGTTTGCCTAGCTGTCAGACCTCCTCGTGCCAGTCACAGAATGATCATTAAATTACCTTATACGTACACCTCTGCTCAAGACGCTCGACTGTGGCTACCTGGAAACTATAATAACTACATCACAGCATTGCTAAATGACAACTATTGTTTATAATGTTATACATTGCAACCGACATGATTATATCTCGTGTTCTGCAGGCACGATAATTATCGACAAGACTATGGATAACCATCTATATTTAACTACTTTTATATACTTCCCAAAACGCCGTTAGACTGGGCCTTTAGCTGGGATACACCTGTATCTGTGATTAACGTTACGTAAGTGCATGTTTGGGGCCTACCCAAAAGTAAATACCTACTAGGTAAGTGTTGTAAAATACACAAGTAAGCTTAAAAATAATGCCCAAAAGGTCGGTTTTAGAGGTTTTTTGCTGAACATGTTTCTAATATTTGATCAAATGAGCAAGTCTTTTACCCATGCTATTTTTTGCATGATAGGGGAATAATAACAGTATAAGCATATGTTAAAAAGTAAAAATAAACACCTTGGATCTCCAACTTTCACCTTTAATTTGGAAATCAGCCCCCTTCACTCATTTTAACCATGTTTATGTACTTGCTCATGTCGGAAGTCCAAAACTCACAAGTTTAAGAAAGGAAAAGACTAGTTGTCAGTTATTTGAACATGTCTGATAATTCTCGAGCCAACATTTCAGAGTTTTCCGGAACTTTAAACTGACGTTTCCAGGTGGCCGGAAAAGGCCCTTATCCTCATCGAGTTACTGGTAACGACTAGTTTACCAGACCCCACTGAATGTCGGTGGCCCCTTGGGAATACGGTTTGGAACAGGTCCCTGTAACCTTTGCTTGTCGGAATAGACGACTTAATGGATCGGTAGTTAAACTTGGTGACTTGCTTGATTTGCGTGTCATCGTACCCCTACGACGTGGGACGTTGCTCATAGTATCAATCACCGGATTCGATTATTTGCAGGCCGCCGTCATATAGCTGGATTATGGCTGAGTACGGTGTTTAACTACAAACAACACATGTCGGTGTATGCTGTGTGAAAGTACCATAATAAAGCTGTAGGTTGTTACCTGACAGATTCCCGACCCCTGCAGCCGAGGGCCATCACGGTGGAGCCACCCACGCTGGACGTCCGGTGTGGGGACACGGCAGTGTTCAAGTGTAACTACAAGTCCGACTTCAACTCCCACATACAGGTAGGAGGACTGTAGTGGGTGAGTGAGTGAGTGACTTAGTGACGTAGTGACGTGATGACTGGGTGAGCGAGTGAGTGAGTGACGTGATGAATGAGTGAGTGAGTGATTGAGGGACGTGATAAGTGGTTGAGTGGGTGAGTGAGTATGGTTTTACGCCGCTTTTCGCAATATTCCAACAATATCACGGCGGGGGACACCAGAAATGGGCTTCACACATTGTATTAATGTCGGGAATCGAATCCGAGTCTTCGGCGTGACGAGCGAACGCTTTGACCACTTAACTACCCGACCGCCCCTAAGAGTGAGTGAGTGGATGGGCGGGTGGTTTGTGTGACGTTTACCACTTTGGTATATCCCACGAGCACAGATATGGTGCTGAAAAACCTAGAAACATAATCAGGGCGTACCTGGATTCAAACCTACGATCATAGGTTTCTGGTACGCATCAGGACGCAACTGTATCCTGCGGTGCCTTAGACGACCGGTCCACACCCACACCGTGTTGAAAGAACAAAGACCGGGTTTACGTTTTCTATATAAAAGAGTTAAAATTAAAGTTTGTACAAAACGTTTGTTTCTTTTCCTTTATGGATCGTGTAGCCTAGTGATTAAAGCATTGGTCTTCAAGCCAAGACCGAGTTGGATTGCCCACATGGGTACAATGGAATATGGAATCTGATTTTCAATATTTTGATATTTTACTTACTTTTATTGTGAACTTTTGCAAATGAACACAATTTGTCATACAAATATGTATAAAAACAATAGAAAACATGGAAAATGTACTTTCAAAATAAATAGTTTTCATTTAATAGTGTTAATAGGATACGATAAAAGTAAGTGAAATATCAAAATATTGAAAAACAGACTCCATGTCCCTTATGGGCCACCGTAAAAAGCGGCATACGCATAGATTCCCCACCAACTTTTACCACTGCATTTAATCGCAACCACCGGATGAAACCTCTACAATGAAACATTGATCCCAAAGGAACGTGATACTTAACCTATACTGTAAACCATGGTCAAGTTAAATATGTTTACAGCAGAATAACTCATTAACTACCAAAGGTCCATATTTGTGTAGTGTGAAAGATCACAGACATTCATTTTTACTTTCTTCTACAAGTATAACCCTATTCTTGAATACCCAGTGTATTACATCTTCCTTCTAATATGATAACAACCCATTATCTACCACAGCCTCGGTTTGAGCCGCGGAGGTGGGGTGGCCTAGTGGTTAAAGCTTTCGCTCGCCACGCTGAAGCCCCGGTTCGATTCCCCACATAGGTGCAATGTGTGAAGCCCATTTCTGTAGTCCCCTGCAGTGACATAGCTGGGATATTGCTAACAGTGGATTAAAACCCAAACTAACTCACTCGTTTTGAGCTCGATTCGAACAGAACGACGCTAAAAATAGCCGTCCAATCAAATTACTTAAACGAGCGAGAGAAATAATGTGCTTCGAGGAGCGATGGGATCATGGTATTTATAAAAATATAAAAAAGAACAGAGATATGATACAATGGATAATCAAAATTGAATAATTCATGTGCATTTTCTGTCAGTGGCTGTTGGAGATTCCCGCTAATAGCAGCTCCAAATTCGACCCCAACAGCATCCTTTCCGTGCACTCCAAGTCCTACGTCGTCCTAGAAAGCACTGCACAAGAAGATGACGTTCTCCGATTGCCAAACGTTACAAGGGTGCACAATGGAAAACTCGTGTGTCTAGCTGCCAACACCTTCGGCTACGGTTACAACAGTACTCTTGTGCGAGTGCAACCTCAGTCAGGTACATGGGCAGGGAGAGTGTTGGGTTCTTAATCGCCAAGATATTCCATTGTCAGTATCATCGAGTTGCTTCCACCAAATGTAAGACATTGAATGTCCTGGCGAAGTGCAAACATGCAGTTATTCTTTTACTCCTATTTTGATTGAGGGTTTTAATCCCAGATTCGTGTGATAGCGGTCTTTGGTCTGCCAGCAATGTACTGTGTTCATGTGTTTTATCAATTGTCGAACGCCCATGACCTGTGCCACTTGGGGATTTTCTTCCTCAATAAGCTGCCACGCTGTGAAAAATATTGTTCAAAACGGTTTTAAGCCCCTCTCGTATGGTTAGTTTCCACATGGTCCGTTGTCTAGTGGTAGAGCGTCCGCCTGGAGAGCGGAAGGTTCGGGGTTCGATCCCCGGACGCGTCATACCAAAATGGTACTTGTTGTTACCCTGTCTGGCGCTCGGCATTAAGGGGCTAAAGCAAGGACTGGTCGGCTCGGAGTCAGTATACTGTGTCTTAGAGGGGCATTCATGTTAAAATGCGCCATGGTATCTCACTGGCCTAGCACAATAAATCGGCATCAGTCCGGACTAGTACAAGCAGTCACACACACACACACGTGCATGCCCGTCGCTATATAAGTGCAATAATCTTGGACGCGACGTTAAACCCAATTACACCTCACCTAGTTTCCACATGAGACCAGTTCTTGTAGGTAATCCATAGACTGATGGCATGAAACGGTTCTACAGTGGAACTTGTTCGTCCAAAAGACCCCTGGAAGAACAAACGTTAACACATGTTTATCTATAGGGCTCCGATCCTACCTATTTTGTTTACAAACATTTTTTCATGAAATTTGAGAAGTCCGAATATAGACTACTTTCATATGTATTCGAGTCGGCGGAATGCCTTTCTTCTAAAACAGGTGCCCGCACTGAGTCGGATGGATCAACGTTTTAGTGGTCGTGTTCTGAGAATGTTGCCCGCACAGCGACATGTAGAAATGTTCTTCCTTTTACAAAGGTTTTTTTTTAGAATAAGTATTTATGTGTGTTCATTGTGAATTACATTCAGGTGCGCGCCAGGTAAAAATGTACATGTAAAACATATAAAAACCACAAGTCATATTGTGTTTGACAGGTCTACCAGCCTTTGTGGAGGAGCTAGAGGATCTATCAGTTTCAACGAACGCACCAAATTTCACCCTGAAATGTGTAGCTCGGGTGCCCCTTGACGTGGGGTATTACCTCCATTGGGAGAAGGAAGGCCAACCTATTGACCCGGAAGTGTTTGTGTTTCATCACCTCAACCAATCAAGAGTCGTTGATTCTTGCGTAGAAGAAATAAGCAGCACCATGACCTTCAGTCGTAAGGCTAATGTTCTCCTTAGTTTAAGTCATATGGCAAGCTACAGTGGCTGAGAACGTCAAAGAAACCATCACTGTACCCAAGGGTCATACGAACCACCCAATACAGTCAAGAAATAGCTACTTACAATGTACAGCTCATAGCTACCTTTCTCTGTCAACTATTTGATTTAATTTAAGTGCAGTGATGTATATATACGTAACCCAAAAGTTTATTTTTGGGGATATTTTTTAGTAAATTCTGTGGCCAGCCTTCACTACTACCCTCAGTTGAAAAACGGTTGGTGACTAATCTCACTTATTTTGTGTTGGAAAAGTTTATTTATTTGTATTTAATTTTCAGCTCTGGTGCAAGGTCACTGGTTATCTGCCCGTGAAGGTGGGCAGTATAGTTGTTTGGTTCAGAACAAATCAGGAAGCACTATTATGTATGGTCAAGCCACGGTGACCTTTCAAGAAGGTGGTGAGTATCTGGGTTATTACTGTGACAACAACGCCAGACAATAATCTGTCTCTTTTGTCTGCTGAAAGAGATTCCATTGGCCGTCAAAGGCAAAATAGTGAGGAAAAGTACATGTATGTGACGTACACTAGGTGTTTGCGAGAATGGTAACCATTTCTTACTCTACCGGTAGGCATGTAACTGCTAGTGTTACTAGCATAAAGTTGGAAAAAACAGGTGATCCGTAGGACCAAGTGCTACGACTCGCTGTGCAGAGTTACGCCCCTTAGCTGCCAGGATCCACAAGTCATGGATTCGATTATATTTGTTTATTATATAATTATATATTCATATAAATATGAATTTGTGGGCTCAGTCTTCATCAAAACAAATATCAACAAACCCCAAAATATTCATGATCCCTAACATGTTTTTGTTCAGTATCCATGGTGATATTTTAATTTTTGTTTTTCTTATTTGTTGGCTCCTTGTACCTGTGATGCAGGTCTTTAGGGATTGATATTAAACACAGCCTTTTATCAGTCTTATAGGAACACACTTCATATTCTTGGATGACACAGGCTCTGTCACAGCAGTGCCCCCCTCCCCTCAGTTGACGTGATTAAGTTGTTTCTGATGCCAAGTTTGAAATTGAGATGTTGTCTCCGTATAATTAAAGATGAACTAACATTAGAGCATTGTTAGATAAAGCACAACATACAGCTTGAACGAGAGATTTGATTCAAAACTGCTTGAACTGCTTCTCCGCCTGAGTTTAGTTCCCGCGTTACCTGTTTCCTATTTTTCCTTTTACAAGGAAATGAGAACGAGGCTAGCCAGTCACTGTCTGGAATCGTGTCCTTGACCCCTCGGCGTATGACGGTACAGGAAGGAGACAGCGTGTCGTTATATTGCCATGTTAGAGGACAACCAAAGCCTTTGTTTGCAGTACGTATACTTTGGAAAGGGACTTATGTTCTTTGGGTTTTGTTTATTTGGCTTCAGATGGATACAAAGCAGTCTTTCGCATTCAGAATGAAACATTTCAGTAGGTAGCTGCCATCCTATCTACTCTTAAAACCCTGAAACAACCAATACTTTAGCATGTAACGGTTAGTTTTATCGATGCGATAAACAAATCCGATAAACTCAGTATCACGATCCAATAAATATGCAAATGAGGTCATCTAGTAGGAACTACTTTTTGAAATATCTGTACATAGATGTGGGTTTACATAATCAAAAATAATTGCATAACGTTCCCTAAATGATTAAATAGGGGTTTCCTGGTGTGCGAGTACTTATGTAAACAACGACGCCTGCAAATCGTTTAGTACTATATCATAAATGGGGCGGTTCACACAGGCTTCATAATCCTACGCGGTTTCTAAAGTTTCTGAAGCACTGTCTTAAACGTAGAATATTTTTTAAATGACATTACATGATATGGAGATTATTATCCTCGTGTGCTTTCGAATCGTGAATATCATGTATTAGGAATAACGAATATGTATTACGCTCGCATAATATATTTTTTATTCCTAATATATGATATGTAGGATAGTCTCTTTTTAACGTAATGTCAGTTGTAAATGTAGGTCCACCAATAGATCCCGTGGTTAGGGATATTCTGACCGGGGATGGGATCTTCTTGAAAACATAATGTGTTCAAGAAAATGATGGAAAACAAATAATTTGGTTTCATGATCCAATTAATGAAGATTGTAAAACGAGCGTTTTTCTGTCGTAGTCTGTTTGGATGAGAATCGTTGTTGAATGGGACTGGGAATCCGGACATTTTGTAGACGTTTTACTGCGTATGAATACTTCTCGTGATAAGTTTTCTTTCTCTTAAGTTTAAAACCATGACAGTAAGGTGGGCAAAATGGAAACACTTTTCATTTAATAATAATTTCCAACAATATTTATCAACTTCGATTTTGAGGATTTTGAACCGTATTCTGCTGAACATGTGGTTCAGTTGCCATGGAGGTATGTCATTTATTGTGTTACACTGTCTGCCTGTCAGTCTGGTTGTGAGAGAAGCTGTAACGCATCTCTTAAAAACACATAATGTTATCTTCTGAAGGAGATGGGATATTCCTCTCATATAATACTTAGACAGTGGTTGCACGAAATGGCAAATGTTCATATTGCAAATGTTCATACCTCAGCAAATAGTCCTCACAGGGTACTATACACCATGGACCATAGGACAATGGGGTAGTCAAGAGATTAAAGCGTTTTTGGCATTACTTTAGGTCTTTAAGAGGAAGGATGAGGAGAAATAAACAGATATTTTAAACTTAAAAACGCACACTTTTGTTTCATTTTCCAGTGGTTAGTGAAGCCGGACACCAGTGTGCCAGTGTGTGACATCAGACACGCCCTTCTCATAGATTACATAACATACCGCCTGGTCGGGTTAGGCGAAACATGGTCACGTGATGAGATGAACCATTTGAATATACTTCAAATAGATGACGTCAGTACGGAGCATGCTGGGACATATGTGTGCTATGTCGCAGGAGCCCGTGAGGAAGCAACACTGACCGTCCTGCCACGTGAGTACGAGAACTGCACCCTTAGATGGAAAAAACACATGGGTATTCCTGGTTAGATTATCGATCCCAATCAACCTGTGCTTGTCGTAAGGCGCGACTAAAAGGATTTTACAATTGCGTGGATCGATGCTTATGATGTCAGTCACTGGGATTTAAAGCGATGTCAACATTTTTATTTTTGGACCCGTGAACATCTGGGTTAGAATTGGTCCTTAACGGTTTGTTGTTCAGCGCCGCACTCAGCAATATTCCAGCTATATGACGGCGGTCTGTAAATAAGCGAGTCTGGACCAGACAATCCAATGATTGACATCAAGAGCATCAATCTACGCAATTGGGATACGATGACATGCATCAACCAAGTCAGCGAGCCTGACCCCCCGTTCCCGTTAGTCGCCTCTTACGACAAGTATAGTCGCCTATTGTGTCAAGCATGGTCTGCCGAAAATACAGTTCTCCGAACAGTGTGATTTGGTAATGTCTTACCAATATGGAGAGTTATGTGTTAAAAGTATTGGTTGCCAACGTACATATTATTCACACATTTCTCCACATCCATATTTAAGAGTAAAGTTTTCATTACTTTTACAGCAGCCGGTTATACAACGTTTTTTCATGAACTGAATAACATAAGTATACAACACACGGATATGGCATCGAGAAGCTGTAACAGGTATTGATAACCCCAGGAGCTACTCTCAATCTGCATTCTGTATTACAGGGAATCGTGGCCCACGTATCATGGCACCTTTCATGGGCAACAGGAGCGTTGCTGTTGGTGAAAACATCGTCTTGCAATGTCGAGTAGAGAGCGACAATACACCCACTGTACAGGTAGTGCTTGGATAGTTAGTCTGACTTCACCTGCATCTTAGGGATGTTAACTGACTATAAAAGTCCAGTTTCCACCCTTGCCGAACAAGGATGGAATTCCGGAGTGACATTTTGGTTGGACTAACGAGTCTATGCAGAGTCCAGTCAAAATCGCGTAACGAATTAGATATCCTGTTTGTAAACAACATGGATTTCAACATGCTGGTTTCGGTCGACTGCAGGATTTGCAAAGCATGTGTACAGCCAACTGGGCGTGGACAGATATTTTGCAAAACTTTTCATGTTTTTAATTAAGATGCTAACGTGATTTGATGCATTTCGCGGGGTAAGACCCGCTGTATGACAATAAAGATCTTGATTATCGATCAGATCGTCTTCACTGGGCGCCGCCATTTTGTTTTGAGGAAATGCAAGCGATAAGAGTGATGGAATCTGATTGGTCATTAGGCGGGACATAACTCGTAATAGCCACGATTGACAATCAGAGTCCACCTCTCATATCACTTGCATTTGCTTCAAACAAAAAGGCGGTACCCAGTAAAGGTGATGTGATTGATAATCAAGATCTATATTGTAAAAAAAACGGGTCTCGTGAAATGCATCAAATCGCTTGAGCATGTTGAATAAAAACATGAAAGATTTGCAAAATATGACATGCTCTGCAAATCCTGCAATCGACCGAATTCTGCACGGCAGTCGCCATGTTGTCTGTGAACCGGATGTCAAGTTCGTCACATGATTTTGATTGGACTATGCATAGACTCGTTAGTCCAGCCAAAATATAACTCCACAATTCCAGCTTAGTTCGGCAAGGGTGGAAACTAGATTTTTATAGACAGTTATCTCCCTTACCTCGTGAAAATACCACATGATATATATATATATATACCCTTTCAGCCAAGAAACGTTGTCAGAAGTTATTTGTGTAAACAAACGGATCGTTGTTTTGACGGTAGCACTTAGTATAATTCTCAACGTGGTTCTGTTGAAAAAAAATCTATCGCTTTCTCCAACAGTGGTATAAAGAGGTCGAAGAGGATTACAACGAGGATACAAGGTCTTTGTTCGGGATGGCAGTTATCTCCCTTGGTTACCCTGACCCTATTTGGGAGACTGCTGGAAGCTACTTGAGCACGTATATATTCAGTGATGGAGTCAAGCCTTCCAATCAAGGAAAATACCTCTGTGTTTGGTCTCATGGAGGAGGCCAGGACTACGACCAAGGTTACTTAAGAGTTCGACAATGTAGGTTCAGTCTGTATAATTTCGAAAATCACACCCATTGTACCCACACTGCACCCCATCTACAAGTGTTCCTGACACGCCGACTCAGTGGTCTAAGATCGCTTTGTAAGCGGGGTCCAAATGATACTAAGTATCTCCGCACTAAGTTGATGCACTATGTACCAATAAATTGTCCATCGTAGACATATCTTGCAAACGCGAGACCCGTGAAGATCCTGGTTAGAATTGATCTTCAGCAACCCATGCTTGTCGTAAGAGACGACTAACAGGATCGGGTGGTCAGAATTAGTTAATGCATGTCCACGTATCCCAATTAAGTGGATCGATGACATTCCCAAATCACACTGTTCGGAGAACTGTATTTTCAGCAGCCCATGCTTGACATAAGTGGCGACTATACTTGTCGTTAGAGACGACTAACGGGATCGGGTGGTCAGGGATCGGGTGGTCTTCAGCAACCCATGCTTGCTGTAACAGGCGACTATGCTTGTCGTAAGAGGCGACTAATGGGATCGGGTGGCCAGGCTCTTTGACTTGGTTGATGCATGTCATCGTATCCCAATTGCGTACATTGATGCTCATGATGTCAATCACTTGATTGTCCAGACTCGATTATTTACAGACCGCCGCCATATAGCTGGAATATTGCTGAGTGGCGTTAAACAACAAACAAGCAAAAGCAAACGCGAACTTTTACTCAATTTCATAAGCTCTTTCTCTCTCAGTTTAATAATAATTTGACTGAAGACATTAGGCAGTCTTTAACTTTAATCGGACCTACTGCTAAGTATAGTTTTATAACATCTAAGTGTATTAAATGCCATTTCTGTTTCAGAGGAAACGATGTTATATATGTTGCTATGGAAATTAGATGAAGGAACAACACACAGGGACGTTGGCAACATCTGCTTCACTGTTGGAATTTACTCACTCCCTCCTGGAACTGGAGCATTGGGTACTGATGGCTTCAGTGTTTGGTCTTTCTGTTACCTTGACAACCGACAATAAAAAATAACACACGGGAGTCACTCAAGGTAGCCGGGAATCTCGGCTTGCATTCTTGAGTGTTGTCCCCTCGTGCAGGTGTGGGCGGAGTAGTAAATATTCAAATATTACCTTTGTGTTTGTGTATATTGACACACCCATTGGCGTTTTGCACATTACAACGCTACCGGTTAGACAAACATCTAGTCTCTGATATGAACATTTTTTTCTGAGAAAAAAAAACAGTTGTAAAATCATCTTAATAAAATATAATACAAAGGAGTGAAAAGACTTTCTTTATTTTCAGAAACTGCAGTAATCTAGACTTGTCAAATATTATAGACTGTATCAGATATATTTGTTTCAAGTTCTGTATGACAGACTATGTTACTGTCGAAGTTGCAAAAAATATGAAAAATTTAAGTTATGTTTATGATACATCACAGCGATACGACTTTACCGTTACTCGAAGTACAAGATACGACTTAACCGTCACTCGAAGTACGAGATACGACATTACCGTCACTCGAAGTACGAGATACGACTTTACGTCACTCGAAGTACGACATACCACTTTACCGTTACTCGAAGTACGAGATACGACTTTTCCGTCACTCGAAGTACGAGATACGACTTTACCGTTACTCGAAGTACGAGATACGACTCGAAGTAAAAGCATGTACTGGAGACTTCGAGCAAGCATCAACACATAACTGACACAGGTGAACACCAGATGCAACTGCTTTGATAGACCGGTGATTCAGTTGTCTGTCACACCTGAGGAACTTGTAATCTCTGGGAAATTCAACGTGCTCATTGTGCCTTGAGAATACCAGTGTTGACGCTTACGCGAAATGGTCGCAAATTTAGAGTGAGTGAGTGAGTTGGGTTTAACGCCGCTTTTAACAGTGTTCCAGTTATATCATGGCGTGTCAGCTTAATGTGGGAGGAAAGCCTGATGTGATGCAGGTCTCAGACGTTTACCACTTCGGTGAAACCCACGAGCACGGGTATGGTGCTGACAAACCTAGAAACATATTCGAGGCGAACCGGGATTCGAACCCACAATCATAGGTTCCTTGCGTGCCCAAGGCACGCAACTCTGCACAGCAAATCGCAGCGCCTTAATTAGAAGACTGGGCCACCCGTGCCCCCCGACAACATTTAGAAGAGAATAGCATGTCAATGATGCTACAGACTGAAATGGCTTTGTTTTTTCATTCAAGGTAGACACTCTATAGGCGCATCATCAGATCTAACTGTCTAACGAGGGCCCGTGTTGTGTTACACTTGAAGAGAAATTACTGTACACATTATGTTGGGTTATCAGATAACCTTTGTCAGTGTTAAAGTTACTGTATAGGGGTATGCAAGTACATACACTGTGGGATCAGCGTGACCTTGCGTAGATGTGTCCTTCTTTTACTTATGTAGCACCTCTGAACATGTATTCATCAAGTGTGCCACTCAAAGAGACCCGTGAAGTTCCGGGGTAGAATAGGTCTTCAGCAACCTATGCTTGCCGTAAAAAGCGACTATGCTTGTCCTAAGAAGCGACTGACGGGATCGGGTGGTCAGGCTCGCTGACTTGGTTGATGCACGTCATCGTATCCCAATTGCGTAGATCGATGCTCATGTCAATCACTTGATTGTCTGGTCCCGACTCGATTATTTACAGACCGCTGTCATATAGCTGGAATATTGCTGAGTGTCGCGTTACACAACAAACAAACAAACCAATCAAAGAAGTTAAGGGAGATCAAATGTATTCATGTAACTAGACTTAATCGGTCCTGGCATGATAGATTAACTACAGTCATATATGAAAACACTGGATGTTCTTTAAGGTCGTTTGAATAGTTTATATCTCTCATCTGAACAAATAGAATAAAGTAGTTTCCCCTGTTTCATATTCGTTCGTCTCAAACGGTTTTTAGGGGCGGTCGGGTAGCCTAGTGGTTAAAGCGTTCGCCCGTCACGCCGAAGACCTGGGTTCGATTCCCGACATGGGTACAATGTGTGAGGTACTAGCTTCGCTTGCTAGTCTGGCGGACATTTGACTAGTTTATACCGACTCCAGTTTCAGGCTCGTGGTTAAACATGCTCGAGTCACCAACTCCATTACTTTGACAAACTACTACGCACGTCTGTTGTGTCTTGTCATGGTCCTGTGTCATGGCCCTGTGTCATGGTAGTGTGATGTGGACCCTGGGGCCATGGGTTTCATCGTCCTATACTGCTTACTGTATTTCCTCTATAAGACCCGGGCGGTCGGGTAGCCTAGCGGTTAAAGCGTTCGCTCGTCACGCCGAAAACCTGGGTTCGATTCCCGACATGGGTACAATGTGTGAAGCCCATTTCTGGTGTCCCCCAGCCGTGATAAGGCTGGAATATTGCAAAAAGCGGCGTAAAACCATACTCACTCAAACGGTTTTAAGCCGGGTGGGTAAAAAGAAACTACTCCTTTAGTGTTCTCTTGAATATGTTACAAAACTTAACCTGTTGTTAGTATATTGACCATATATTGTTTCCACATCAAAGTCAAATACAATGAAAGCAGAGTACTCTAGGTATATAAACAAAACTTTAATACATGAATTAACAATTGAGTGAGGAGTGAGTGAGTTTGGTTTTACGCCGCTTTTAGCAATATTCCAGCAATATCACGGAGGGGACACCAGAAATGGGCTTCACACATTGTACCCATGTCGGGATTCGAACCCGGGTCTTCGGCGTGACGAGCGAATGCTTTAACCACCAGGCTACCCGACCGCCCCAATTGAGTGAGGATGTGTTCAACTTGATTGTTATCGTTAGAGGTCATATTCTTGCATTTAATAATTGAGCTTCGACTTTACAAACCAGTGGTTGATAACATGAGCAAATATTCATGGCACAATGACCAACGATCAGGTAAGTTGTTTGTTTATTGTTGTTTAACACCGCAGTCAACAATATTCAAGCCATTTGAGGGATGTCTGTAAATAATCGAGTCTTGACCAGACAATCAAGTGAGGTTAACATCATAGGCATCGATCTACCCAATTTGGATACGATGACATGCATCAACCAAGCCAGCATGGCTCACCACCAGGTCAGTACAAGGGTTGCTGAAGGCCAATTCTAACCCAGATCTTCACAGGATATCAGCCAAATCACAGGATGGTTCGGATCTGTGATCGGCCAAGTTGCAGAGCCTAACCATCCATTTATTTAGCAAAATGATGGAGGGAGCTCCAAAGTACAGTAAGTGAGTGAGTTGGGTTTAATGCCGCTTTAACAGTATTCCAGGTATATCAGGGCGTGTCAGCTTAATGTGGGAGGAAAGCCCGAAGTGATGCTATAATCGGGACAAACCTGGATTCGAACCACAATCATAGGTGTCTGGCCTGCCCGAGGGACGCAACTCTGCACAGCGAATCTCGGCGCCTTAGACACCTTGGCCACCCGTGTACAGGTAAAGTACAGACACAACAACAGACATATGAAAGGTTCCATCATTAGTTTATTCATGTCTTCAACGTGTATAATGGAAATCAGAAGTGTTTGCAGTGGGCGCTGGCAATCTTGACACACATGCTCAGGCCTGTAAATAGTGACTGATATGTAAACACGAAGTCTAACACTAACATCGAATGGCCCTGGAATTCATATATCACAGTCTACAATCTACATAAGATTGAACAGTTTTATACAACAATATATACACAGCTGCAGTCACACGACGTAACAAGACTCTAATACTTTCATGGTCATTTCACAAAGAACAAAGGCAACATAGACTCAATAGAAACAAAACTGATAGGTAATGGTAACTTCAGGTACCAAATATTAAACATGTCTGTTGGTTTAGTTGATGAAAAAAGATGAGGGAGCATCTGTAAAGGCAAGCAATAGTTTATATTCCAAGAGTTTATTTTGGAGGTCAGATTTTACATCGCTTTGGACAGTATTTCAGTGGTATCAGTAAGTGAGTATGGTTTTATGCCGCTTTTAGCAATATTCCATAATGGAGACACCAGAAATAGGCTTCACACATTGTACCCTTGTGGGAAATCGAATCCGGGTCTTCGGTATGAAGAGCGAACGCTTTGTCCACTCAGCTACGTCACCACCCTCAGTTATATCACTGCATAAATTTTATCATACTTTATGAACATATTCTGTGCTCAAAAGACCGCCATTTGTGACGATAAAGCCCCTTGTAACAATAAAAATGCTACCACTTCCAACACGGACAACTGTCAAGGGAGGTTATTCATGTTCGACTTCGAGATCAACAAAGATCGATTATGTATCTCTTTACTAGTTTACAATGTATGTAACTCACGTTTTTTTATTAAAAGATGAGGATAACAAATAAAATAACTGACTACGGGGCTATCGGCAGGGGGGAAAAATGGAAATCTGATTATTTTTTTAAACATTTTTCTCAAAAATTAGAGTCGGCGGGTCCGTAATCCGAAAAATATTAAACGCCTGGCCTTAGTGATGGAGGTCTCTGGTGACACTCACAGGCACAGGTTTAGTGTTGACAAATGGATCATCAAACCTGCACACTCAGCTGCAGTTCCTCAGACAACTGACAAAATAGCATCTCAGCAATGTAGCTCACCCGGACATGTAGTCAACAGTTTAAAATGTCAGACAGGTGATGACATTCAAATATTTTCTGCATAAATCCTGATGATTTAAAACTATTCAGGAAATAATGAGCATGTTGTAGGTCAAAGGTCAAATAAGGGTCTACATTTAAACCATCATGCAAAATGGAAAAGATGTCATGTCACTTTGAACAAAAATGGCTGAGAAATGGAACAAAGGAATTTCAGTAAGGTTGAAGTGCATAGGTAAAATTAAGGTCAAAATTTACATACTGCAAAAAATGGAATGTATAGACATGTTGAGCACCACCACTAACTACTCCAAATTTTATTACATTTGAATAAAAATGTCTGACATGGCAGCCATATTGAAAACCAGATTCAAACCACTTGCACAAATTGGCTGTTATCATGTGAGCATGTGAAGTTTCAGCTTTCGTGGTCCAGTGGTTTGTGAGGAGGAGATGTCTACATCACAGGACACATGATGGACAAACATGCCACTACAGAAACTCAATCGACTTCCAGCCAGGTGCAATGAATGCACGTCATACTAACACTGCATTTTTCACTTTCTATGTTGAAATCCAACATTTATTACTTAACACAGATATCTCTGAATTTTAAATTAACATCTATTTAATAAACCTGAAAAATAACAATAATAAATGCTAATAAAATAATAAAAACAGAAAACAAATAACAGTTCACACATCATCATTTGACTAGGGAATGTCATGTCATGGCAAGGTAAAATAATAATTTCTGAGGTCCGAGTTTTTCTTGAATATCCACTATCTATTCTATCTGCATCTTCCCGAGGCAAGGGAGTTAACGGACTTTAAAAGTCCAGTTTCCACCCTTGCTGAACTAGGCTGGAATTACTGTGATCGATCATTGCCCCACCAGTGGCTATTACCAATTATGTCCCTTCTAAGCCTCTCCTATGGACCAATCAGATTCCACCTCTTGTATCACTTTGCTTCATACAAAATGGTGGCGCTCAGTCAGGATGATCTGATCGATCATTTTTACATCAAATCACAATCATGGTGCACATGCTTTGCAAATTCTGCAATCGATCGAAATCTGCATGACAGTTTATGAACCAAATTTTGATTTCAGTGCGCAATTTTGATTGGACTATGCACAGACTCGTTAGTCCAGACAAAATGTAACACCCTAATACCAGCCTAGTTCGGCAAGGGTGGAAACTGGACTTTTATCGTCAGTTTACTCTCTTGCCTCGGGAAGATGTTCTATCTGATAGAGCAGAATTCCATTTATACCTTCTGACATTTGAACCCGTGACCTTATACTCAGCATGCCAAGAGGTATTACACGTAATTTAATGATGAACTTCACACAAGCTGTATATCCATCAGATCTTATTTCTAGTAGTGGACGATACACTAATTTTTTACTTCTCAATACACCAAACACTAATTACTAGTGAAAACGAAAATATTTTCATCAGTTGCGCCATACTTGACACTGCCAACTGTAAATTATCAGTGTGCCAGGTATTTGGCCATCCTGTCTATGAAAAAGATGGCTTCACACCACAGATAACATCACATGCAAGTATTGTGATACGTATCAGATCGTGAGCAAGGTATCGTGATACGTATCGGATCGCACAGTTGGTGTATCGTCCCAGCCCTACCTATTTCCCATATCCCATCAAGGATCACTGGTCAAACATCTTACAGTTGAACTAAAAGAACAAATTGACTAATTTCTGACATAATGTTCTATCATTATTCAATTCCCACAGAGACAAGACAAAACAGTAAACGTTACCCTTCCCTACACATTGTCCAGGCAGTCCGGCAAAATGTTCTTTAAGTTCCAAATAGTGTTTTAATTTCCTGACTGTATACAAGCATACAAACACATGTCTGAATGCAGTGAGATCAATTTTTCCACAATATATAACGGATACATATAATTGTTTTCAGCTTAAAAACAGCAGCTCCTTGTCACAGAATAAATAAGATAAATGAATGATGTACCATGTTCTTCTTCACCAGATGAACAGAGGGAGCAGGGTCTGGCACATATTAACAGTAACAAACTGGCAAGATAACAGGGGCTGTTGTACAAAACAACCTCAGGGATACAACTGTCGTAACCTCAGCTATAAGAATGCTTTGTACAATGGCTCCTGGTTACTTCGATCCAATGTTCCGGAAATACATCAAGGGATGAAGAAATCAGTCACGAGGCAGTCACTCACAAGAACTGCTTTATGCACTGCATGACATGGAGATTCAGTGTTGAAGAGATTCTATAATGATAAAAAACATGATTTCATGATCTCATTTCTAATTTGTTAACTGACCTTCAGTCACAGCCTAAGAATTTGTTTTGCCAAACATAATTCATCAGTCCTCTGAGTTTGTAGCTAGTCCTGCTAGACTGATTTGTAGACAAATCATAGCATGTCGACCTGGAAAAACATTACAGCCTTAAAATGTTACAAGCTGTTGAGGACCAAGTCACTGGACTTTTAATTGTCCTCCGCACAAATCACTAGTTTTGGTCTAGCAGACTAGCGTGAATTTCAAAGACAGCGTTACCTTTTTGTCTGCATCTTTGTAAACTGGACTTTATTGATGGGTTTTCAAAACGGGAGGGACACCTATCAACCAGACAATAAAACAGACCTAGGAAACAAGCTTGGAGCTATAGTTTCAACAGAAGATTGAATAAGCCAAGATTGGTTCCATGGAAATACCAAACAATAATACCAAAATAAAAATATGCTGCTATTTATGCAAACAAATGGTGATTATTCTTCTGCTCCAGAAATAAACTGAAATGACGGAGTGCCATCCTCGTAACTATATTCACCCACATGTGCCTTCGGCCCAAAATAGAGGCCACCTGCCCAAACACACATCTTTAGAAAGTCAATGCCTGATTGCTGAATTTGTTCAGCCCTAACCATACCAGAACCTAAGTGAACTTCTTGAGTAAATGCAAAATAATAATTCAGAGATTCAAATCAACATCTGTAGAACAATGACGATTATCTCCTGTGTACTATTTATACCTCACTCCAGATAACAGCAACAACAATAATCATGTATAACACAACCGTATCACAAGACTTTTGGATTTCAATGACAGTATTATCATATAATGGCACCTTCCTTCTTACCTACATAAACAAACTGCCCTTATTTGCACAACAGTGAAACCCAATTATCAGGACAGGACCATTCCCCGTAAATTGTTGGGATTCACAAATGTCCAGATTATGGAATCATGTTAGACTAACAGGAACACATGATTCTTGAAATCTATCATCACACAATAAACAAAAACAAATACAGATACACCATGTTCCTTGTGCAGGAATGAAATCAGGAAGAAGGAGTAATGATGTCATGTGTAGGCCCCACAAACGGACAAAAGGACAACCAAAAGGAATAACTAGAGATTATCATCCAAAATTGGCTCCCACAGGAGATATCCCTTGGGTGAGATCAATCGATATCTACAATGTAGATAGTACCCGTTGTCTGGTATGTAGTGCAGCGCTTGATCTCACCCAAGCGATATCTACAATGTAGATAGTACCCGTTGTCTGGTATGTAGTGCAGCGCTTGATCTCACCCAAGCGCTATCTCCGGTGGAAGCCAGTTTTGGATGATAAATACATGTTTTATCAATATGAAAAACAAAGTCAGAAAGACACAAAATTAGTTCTCAAGCCTTCTTACACTTCACTTCAAAGTATTTCTTTCGGAATTATAATCTTAATATCAGCGATGTTGACAACAAAATATTGGCAAACAGAACAATGTGCACCCAAGAAAACTAATGGCTACAAAGCCTGCTTTCGTCCACCATAGTGGCAAACACGGACAATAAAAGAAAAACAATTTATCGTGGTGAGTGAATTTTATCTTGTAATGAGTCCATCGATGAAGACTAAATGGGTGAATATTAAGTCACTTGATAAATTTTAATTTGTTGTGAAGACTTTTGCTGGTTTTCTATCAATAGGGACACATTTTGGGCACAATCTTCAGGGTTTTTCTAACCTATATTTAGGTCTTTCATTCTGATGTATCATATAGTAATTCAGTCTGGTTGCCTTATTGTCTGTTAAACAGGGTGGGATGGGGTGGGTAGTGTTTGGTATGTAGTGGATGTTCCTGACAGCAGGCATCCAGGAAGAAGTTCCCGGACTGACAGGGTGTCTCTGCACAACAATTGTTATCTAGAACACAACAAACACTACACCAGGGTCAAACAATGGAATGGAACAGAGGCTTACCACAACCTTAGCCATGCATTAGTTTCATAAAATCCACGGATTATATCACATCCAAAACATGTTATTGAACACAACTGACACCCTTTATACAAATCCTTGAACTGATCAGGACGTAACATTGCACATGAAGCTTAGCATTCAGAAAACATGAAATAACATTAATAAGATTTACACTTGTACATTATGCAATGATTCTGAATTGTCCTGTCTGTCATTTTCATCATCAAGCAAAGGTTGGTCACAACTCGGGGAAGCAGATCGATCAGAGTTATCTCCCTTCCTGTCATCAATTCCGTTTTCAACAGTGTCAGATTTCAACAAGGGGTTTTCACAATTGTCTATATAGTCCTCATCGGAGGCGGACTGCCTTGACCTTTGATCACCGTGTGACTGTTCCTTGATTTTAGCGGTCACATCCTCCATTAATGTTTTCAATTTTTCGGCAGTTTCTTCGTCTTCAACATGTTCAAGAGTTACCTCCTCTTCAATGCTCTCTTCTGGATTTTCATCAGTAGTGTCCTCGTTAGACCCACTGCACTGAATGTTAAAACTGGAACAATCTCCATCTCCTGCAAGGACAGTTGTCCATATATTTAGTTTCATGCTTTACTAGTCACATAATACAGCGAGAAAGTGAGTTGGGCTTAGGCAACTTTGGGTTCAGTTTTACACCGCTTTGAACATATCTCAGTCATACCTCAGCATGTCAGATCAAAGGTCGGAAAGCCCAAAGTATGCAGACATTTACCACTTAAATATCTTTAAGTTGCATTTGAGAGGCTGTAGTCTCAATGAAGACAGAGATGAGGTTTCAGTTCAACTTCTGTATTCTATCATTTCGGTAAAGATGCCAGAACTTTCATCAAGCAACATTTTTGTTCACTAACTAGCATTTATATCATGGTTCATACAGAATTTCAGGCACAAATTCCAGGCCTTTTCAAGGCTCTTGCACACAGATTTAAGGCCCTAATGATGAAAAACACAACATGCTTTAACAGGTTTAATGACCTAAAATGGAACAGAGCTTGATCCTTGAACCGATTAGACTCAACAAACAAAAACAAATGTCAATATTTCACATTTTAAGCAGTTAAGCATGTAACAATTTTATTCCCTTTGGAAATATAAACACAATAATTATTTGAAAAGCGAAATTGGAAATAGACTGGACTTAGACACTGTTTATGACCAATTCAGGTCTTTTCAAGGCATTTTGTCTCAATTCCAAGCCTTTTCAAGTTAAATTTTGCATTTAAGGCTTTTTAAGGCAAAAGTCCAATCAGCATCTCATACCTAGCCACGACAAGAGGATGCAGATAAAGAAACAGTTCTCATTATCTTGGTTCTAAATGAAGTGATTGTTCAGAATGAAAAACAGAGTCGCATGGCTCTGTAGCTCACCTGAATTCAAGCTTAGTTTCCATGTAAGGCTTTTTGAGGCAAACATCAAAATTTTAGGCCTTTTTTAAGGCCTGTGCGAACCATGTATCTGGATCAAGGATCATTATCACGTTGAATCTGGGATTCAAATCTACTCTGACTTGGTCCCAACACCAATGAACTTCATATCAACAAAGTGACTTTAGCAATCACAAGAATGACATACCGTATATCGCTGTGTATAAGGCGACCCCACGTATAAGACGACCCCCCTGTACACGCCTTAAAAATCAACCCAAAATCCTATACTCCGTGTATAAGGCGACCGGGAATGAAACATATCACAAGTCTGACTGATATAGAAGATTAACATGCGCTTTCCGACTGTAGCGTATTTCGCACACGGACATCAGAAGTTAGTTAGTTACTTTGGAGATTTAACGTGCGCTTTCCGACTGATGCGTATTTCGCACACATCACAAGTGCGCACACAAACCTTATATATGCAATAAAAATATGTTTATCTTGCGTTGTTTTTTTTCTACAACGATAGGTCGCGTGTGTAACTCCAGCACACGTCGCCATTTTGTGTTTACACGGTACGACACCAAATTGGGGCCCGTAAAATAAAATTCATTTATGAAGTAATAACACATAAGAGACAATGGTGAGTAATTTAATCGCCAATTAACTATGTTGTAACTAACTAGACTTATGTTTGCTTCACATTCAGCGTGTTTATTCCACAATCACTTGTACACACCGTCTCCAACACTTGTTAATACAACTGTAAAAACAGCGGGAATTGATTTCAGCTTCACCGGTTATCACATGTTAGGTCACATGTGCAATATGCAAATGCTTACCGGTACTTCCGGCTCTCTACTCGCGGATGTTGATTGTTTTACCGTGTCAATCTGCATCGAGGCGAGGGTCATTTCAACTTTATTTGCAGAAATTATTAAACTTTATTCAAGGAAAAGAGATACAAATCATGTTTATGTATGGAAATAGTTATTGGAACAGTTATTGAGGACGAAATGCGAAGTTTTATTGTCAAATGCTGGGCTGGCTATCGGACGCCGGTTGACATCGCCAGTGGGAAAAAAATGTGAGATCTTCGACTCCGTGTGTAAGACGACCCCCCTTCTTAGCCCCCTTATTTTAGGTACGAAAAACTCGCCTTATACACAGCGATATACGGTACATTTCTCTCACTCCTCACCTGGGGCTGCCTTTGGGAATGATTTAATAAATCAATAAATTGTTTAGTCAAACAATTTTTCCAGAATTTCATTCTCTGACCTACCTAGGAGTGATTGCACTTCACCTTTGTCCATTATTCGAATACATTCTTCTTTAGTGGGCAGCAAGTCTAGGTCCTCCATACACAGAGTTGTCCCCCCTGGTCTCTGACCTTTGTGGGCAGGGCTAATGTTAGGCGTGGATGTGACGGAGGAGATGTCAGAATCCAGGCTGTCGAGGATGTCTCTCTGGTCAGAGTTCTCACTCGACTGAGACATCTGGCGGGGAACCAGCATTTTCATCTCCTCACATTCAGCTTTCAGTTTGGCAAGACTTTGGATAGTTCCTGTAACAAGATCATTCACAGCGGATCAGCATCTCATACCCAGCCAGGACAAGAGGATACCGATACAACAGTTCTCTTAATCTTGGTTCTAAATGAACTGATTGTTCAGTGAAAAAAATAGAGCCACGTGTCTCTGTAGCTCACCTGAATATGAAGTGAGTGAATATGGTTTTATGCCACTTTGGGCAATATTCCAGCAATATAACGGTGGGAGACCTAAATTATGAAGTTACAATGGCAGCCATGTTCACCATTGCGATATCATTCATACAAAGTTGTAGCTGTATGGGCCTTTTAGTTTATGAGGAGACGTCAAACATAAAAGCCAGAAGGCTCTGTAGCTCACCTGCCTTTGAAGAAATAATTCAATACTTCAAGCTTATTTTGGTACAAACTTCTGCAGCAAGTTAAAGAATAATTTGTGCAAATGATTCCAGAAAAAAAGAAACCAAAAATTACTTTTGCAACTGTTTAGGACAACGATGTTGAGTGCAAATAGTGATGCCTTGAACAAACACTTATAGTAATAAAAGAAGCAAAATATCAACTCTTTGGAGATGCCGGTAGTCCAAGTGTGACAGCCATAGAACTACTTGGTGCATCTACAGAATCGATACCAAACTGCCACATTAACAGCTCTGACAATTGGGTTGAGACCACATTTTGGCAGAACGGTAGGCAACTGCTTGAGGGAGCACAACATGGCCCCGACGTCTAGCGATACATGCAATTTTGCTTCCACATCGCTGTCAGGCACTGCCTAGCATGGTGTAGACAGCATCTGAGGTTCAGAAGACAAGACTGAGACAGTATACTGTTCACAGATGAGTTCAGGTTTCATCTGGACAGCTCTGATGGTCGTGCAAGGGGCCCGAAGGTGTCCAGAACAATTTAGCAATGCTAGCGTTACTCAACGTAGTCAGTTTGGGGGTGGAAGTGTTATGGTATGGAAAGGTATCATACCTAATGCGAGAAAACAAGTCATTGTTAATGGGCAATTTGAGTGGTGTATGCTGCTGGTACGACATTGTTTGACATCATCTTCCACTATTTGTGCAAATGCAGGGACATAACATGTTGTAACAGACTTCTTGGGGCAGCACAGCATTGCTATAGTGCCATGGCCGGCTATTTCTCCAGACCTCTCCCCATAGAACATGTCTGGGGTAAGATAGGAGGATGCCTACGCTCTGTTGGGCCAATCTTTGATTGACATTTGGAACAATCATCTGGTGTCTTCAACACAACACCTCTGCCTTGCCTGTATCAACACAAATTGTGGTCACTTCCGATGTTGTTAATAATAGCGTTGCTACACCATCCATCTTTTAGGTTTGTCGCTCTGTCTCCTGTTACCAGGTATAGGTTTTGTCAATGAATTCTCATATGATAAAACATTGATCAGACAAATTATCAAAAACAATGCTGTTATTTTCAATAAAACAACATTTACACCACTTTATATGAACACAGTCACTTTTTCCCGCAAGTACATATGATTTTGTAACACCACATACACGATGGCCCAAGCTGCCTCGTGGTTTCAGAGGTGTCCAAACTGTAACGATGGACAGACAACCTGGTGACAGACTGCACACCACCACAAAAACTCACCTGCCTTTCAGACAGGTGAGCTACACATGAGAACAACAGTCACTACTAGCATCAGCAGCCAAAACAAGACAAAATTCTATTGCAGTCCAAAAGTTTTGCCGTTAGATAAGCATAACTTGCTGCACTATTTTCCAGTCAACTAATGTTTTACTGATTCCTTATTCCTTAAGATTTTAAAACGTTTTGATAAAGACAAAAACTGATTAGATAAAAAAGATTAATTAAAATTAACCTTGAACTTTGTCAGTCTAATAAAGTTATTGACAAAGAAAACATTTCTTTTATAAAAAAAAGTTAATGTAACATAAGCATGGTAAATACATAAAAAGAAGGTAAAGTCAAACAACATAAATGATGCACTGCATGTAGTGAATGAAACAAATAACAAAAAAAATTTCAAAGCTTGAAAGAAATGAACTATCCAAAAGTAAGGAGAGAACACTGAGTGAGTCTCTGCATGGCCTTCTGCAGGCCTCAGGATTTAGCCACACAGTAAACATCTCAACTGTTCTGTCTCCCTGTTCCAGGCCTACTACCAGCCTAGATACTGGGAACCTGCTCAGCCCTGGATGTTGGTTGGTTGGTTTGTTGTTTAACGCCGCACTCAGCAATATTCCAGCTATATGACGGCAGTCTGTAAATAATCGAGTCTGGACCAGACAATCCAGTGATTGATATCATGAGCATCGATCCACGCAATTGGGATCGATGACATGTATCAACCAAGTCAGCGAGTCTGACCACCCGATCCCGTTAGTCGCCTTTCACGACATGCATAGTCACGCTCAGCCCTGGAATTTACACAAGGAACAGTGAGAAAAAATGCACCCAGGTTTCCAAAGAAATAATAACTTTGACATAATTTGATAAAAAAGGACTAAAAAAATCTATAATGCTGAAAATCGTGCCATGCAAGTATCATGCAAAATTCAAACAAAATCTAATGATTTTCCTTTTCTGAGAAGAGAGAGCAAATACCATTATATTTCCTCCCATGCATAAAATAAAAAGAAAATCTAATGGCTTTCACTGCATTCATTAAAATTGAAGAGAGGAAAGATGAAATTATTGTTCTTTGCTCGATGTTCTCCTCCATTTCATATACAAGATAACATTGTACCCAACATCACCTCCATACAATACCATCAAAACAAAGACCAAAGACAGGAGAAACTGCAAGGTTCCAGGGTTCTGCATCCAGAAGATAAAAGTAGATTTGGCATGCTCTACATGGCCATCCCAGAGCCTCCACCTAGTCACATCGTCATCTACGCACCTTCCTCGAACCCCTGATTACCTGGGACGTTCCACAACCCAGCCACCTCCAGCGTCTTCAGCTTCTTCTCCAGTTCAGACACACGGTTTCCCAGAATCCTGGACAGAAAGGTGTTTTTTAAGGATATTTATCTTAAAAAGTAATTTGTTCCTGAAAATACTGGAAAAAAGTAATAATAAGATTTTACAAACAAATTATAATTGTTCGCCTGAGAGAAAAAAATACAAAAAATAAATATTTTTTTAAATACCCCAGACCCCTTGTAATATGCTTTATAAATGATCAATTTCTCGAGAAAAATATGTTCTACTTCTCAGGTTTCAAATGCTTGATAAGGCATTACTTGTTTGTCTTGCGTTGATGTGACAGCGCCAGACTCTTGTCGTTGATGGTGTCGAGCAGGGCGCTGCAGAGACCCTGGAGGTCCGCCATCGACTGGGGCGTGGCCGGGATGCCCGTCTGACTCTGCAGGATGTGCTGAACTGTGGACACACAGGCACAACATCAACATCAGTGCAACATCAGCTGAGGGCTGAACAATTCATCAATCAATGTATCAGTTCATCCACTAGTTCATCCACTAGTTCATCCATTAATTCCTCCACTAATTCCTCCATTAATTCATCGAAATATTCATCTATTAATCTATTAATTCTCCAATTAATTTATCCATTAATTTATCAATCAATTCATTAATTCATCAATCAATTCATATATATCCATTATAAAACTTTAAATTCATCCATTAATTCATCAATCAAATTCATCAATCAATTCATCCACTAACTCATATATTTATTCATCAATGAATCAATATGAAATCATTCTGTTCATACATTCTCTCAACCATTCCAATGTCATCCGCTCATGAAGTCATGCAGCATATTGTTAGAAATAAATTTGGTGAACAGTACAGTATTTCTCTCCAATATTCAGGAAAATGTTGTAGATTTTCCCATCCAAGTATTGGGAAACTCATAATCAGGCATTTCATACAGGACCATGTGCCACCATCTCCGTTCAAATCCCTTCACCTGGACTAGCACTGGTACTGGGGGTTTAAAGATTTCTTTGGCTTGATGCCAGTGCAACATGACATCACAACCCTACCCTGTTTCTGTGAGATGACCAGGCCGCCACTCCGACTCTGGCCAAGCTTCAGTATGCCTTTGTTCTTCTTCCTCTCCAGCATGCTCTGGAATAGTCAGTGCCCAGTTACTATTTACTGAACAATCACAACCAGTCCACATGGACGACACACACATAAATCCATGTATGACACACCAGATTCACAAAGTGCTCATGGCGCTACATTATTAGAACTCTCGTCAATGGATCACTGTGCACTCCATTTTCATTCTCAACTCCCTGGGGAGTATGCAACCCAAGCTGCTTTGAGGTGCTAGAAGGTTAACAGTCACACTACCATCTCACCCTACTTGTTACCCATTCACTGCTGGGTGAACAGAGGCATATACTAAACAAAAATCCTTGCCATAGAATGAGACACCACATGTGCAACTTCAGTGTGGAGCGCTTGGTTGAATCATGTCATCGTATCCCAATTGGGTGCATCGATGCTGATGATGTCAAAAACTGGATTGTCTTTTCCAGACTTGATTATTTACAGACCGCCGTCATATAGCTTGAATATTGCTGAGTGTGGCGTTAAACCACAAACAAACAAACAAACAAACAAACAAACAAACAAACAAATAGTGTGGGGCAGGAGCAGAGTTCTAGAAGCTCTCAGGAGTCAAGCTACCAAACATGGATCCAACTACTCTCCAGGACCAACGGTGCCTAACTTCACCTGGGCCCACTTGCACAAAATGATCTTAGCGCTAAGACTATTGTAAGCCTATGTTAAAGTATGGGCGTTAATATCATCTTAGCGCTAAGATCGCTTTGTGCAAGTGGGCCCAGATCAGTCAACTGTGCTGTACACAGGACCATGTGCCACCACTCCGGCAATAATGTATGTTTGTCAACTTGAGTACCATCCTAATTAACTATGCATCACCTTGTACTTGGACACCGTAGCCATGGCCATTGTCTTCTCCTCCTCCATCTGCTTCAGCCTCTCCAGGAGATATCTGCACCAAACATGCAGACAATCAGTGACGCAGCAATGGTGGAGTTAGCGATAGTCAATTGTCTGCTTGAAACTTACACCACTCTACACTACTGGCAGACATGGCAGACATGGCAGACAAGAATAACATGGGAGTGGGGCTAGACATGAGGCATGGACTAGACAATCCACTGATTGACATTGTGATCCACACAATTGGAATATGATGACATGCATCAACAAGTCAGCAAGTCTGACCCCCTGATCCTGTTAGTTGCCTCTTACGACTTGCATAGTCGCCTTTTCCGGAGAGTATGGGTTGCTGAAGACATATTCTAACCCAAATCTCAGGTGAGGTGAGGTGAAATGGGGTTTCACGTCGTGTCCAAGATTAATGCACTTATATAGCGACGTGCATGCATGTGTGTGTGTGGCTGCTTTTACTAGTCTGGACCGATGCCGATTTATAGTGCTAGCTCACTGAGATACCATGCCGCAGTTTAACATGAATACCCAACTCAGACACAGTATACTGACTCCGAGCCAACCAGTCCTCGTTTTAGCCCTTTAATGCCGAACGCCAGACAGGGTAACAACAAGTACCATCTTTTAATGTCTTTTGGTATGACGCGGACGGGCCAAATCTCAGGAATGAGTGAGTGAATGTTAATGGTAAAATATAAATACACTACAAGCTCAGTACTGTCTCTAAGAGGTAGCAAACGTGCAAGCAAATAGTTAGTGGACGTTGCTTGATCTTCTCATCAGCAACGTTTACTGTAAAGTGTAAGTACCTCAGCCTGGACTAGGTAAACAAGTGATTGATAGTATGAGCAATGGCCAGAACACAATAAGCCAAGTTAGAGCTGTAAGTCAGTCCTTTCGAGGTGGCTACCCATATCTGAACTATTTGTCACATTTATATCCAGTACAACCACATGATCCTTCCATCAATTATTACTTGATGATAGGAAAGGAGTACTGAGGACCAAGACTCAATTATTTTCTTGGCCACCATAATCATCATAAATCATCACCTCCTTAAGTAAAGACTTACTTGTTTTCATTAACCAAAGCATCAATGTCAACAATCTTCTTCTCATCGCCCTTGAGGATGTAGTTGAGTTCTGTGTTGAGGCGCTCGTACTTGGTCTTGTAGGCGTCCCTCTCTGTCACTTGCTCCTCCTTCTCATCAAGCACCTGCTGTAGGTCTCTCTCTAGCTGCAGGTACTGCCAACAACATACATCATCATCATCATCATCATCATCATCATCATGAACAATGACAAATCCCCCCGGCCCCCCACAAATTCGAAAGAACAAATCATCTGACTGTTACTTTAAGTACAACTTGATGAGAAAATTTCTATCTAATCTATCTGTCCGTGATACAAAAGTAGTTATTGAGCTATCAAAACAACATCATGGAATTGGGATTCGGAACTTTGTATTTCTATGTTTAGGTACACACCACTATAAACAGAGTCAAAATTAAACTTGTTAAGATGGAAACAGAAAAATATAAATTCTAAAAAACCCTAAATAGCAAAAAGCACCAGTTGATAACCTGGTCTTTGTGTGTGCACAGATTCAAGAAAGAGTACCTATTAGTTTTAGAGATATGGTCCACACAAACACACCATTAAGTCCAAATCATTCCCAAGGAAATAAAGAAAAAGAAAAATGCCAAAATTCTGAAAATAGCAAAAGTCACCACTTCAGGATCTGTTTAATATATTTGCTAACTTTTGTTGAAAAAATATTGAACGTTTTTCAAGTTACGCTCCGGAAAGGAAATAATTACAGACAGATGGACAGACAGATGGACAGACAGACGAGGCGTCGACTATATCCCCCTGCATTATGTGTCGGGGGCATAATAATGTGCACATGTGGCAGTGTCCGGTACTTATTCATATGTGTTTGTCTTTTAATTAGGATTAGTTCTTTAGTTAGTAAGGCAGTATGACCTTGTTGCATTTAGTGTACCTTTAATACTTTAATTAAGCAATAAGAATCTTGTCTTGTTGAATGAGGCAAATATAGTAAATATAGTTAGAATATTAGTGATGTTTTATATTTTAGCACTTTGTACCTTAAACATTCATTCTATTGCTTTGTACCATTTAGTAAGGTTTCTCTCAGCTTAACCTCCACTGACCGTCACACTGCATGCTTTTGACTCACATCACTCTTTGGCCCAGTATGCCTGGCCCCCTCTTTTGTCTCCTTGAAAGCCCAAGCTGACCATAGCTCGACCTCAGTGTTTGGATGATATACTTTTAAAATAAGATGCCAGTTACTTCTGAAGGAAGGATATCACAGTTTATCTACTGCCAAGTTCTTTTGTTGTCGGTTCTCATGTGAGGATTTGGAGTAACTTGTGAGATATTCATGGATATACGAGGGGTGTTCATTAAAGATTTCCCCTGACCCACTTCCGATGGACCTAGTGGAATGAAACTTGGCATAGGTATTAGTCTTTCTCCACATAGGAACCACCAAGAGTTACACACTTCTCCCATCGTTTTATGCAACTATGGAGACCTCGCTTGTAAAAGCCCTCATTTTGCGTCTCAAACCAGGACTTGACTTCAGAAATCAGTGTTTCATCATCTGTGAAACGTTTTCCCTTCAAAAATGACTTCATGGTTGGAAAGAGGTGGAGGTCAGATGGTGCAAGGTCAGGAGAGTAAGGAGGATGTGGAAGGATTTCATAGCCACAGGACCTCGCTTCCGTCTGGGCAACATGAGAGTTGTGTACTGGAGCATTGTCTTGCAGGAGACGGACACCCTTGGTCAGCATGCCACACCCCTTCAGCTTGATAGCGTCCCGCAATTTCCGCAGCAGTGAAGCATAATAAGCTCCTGTAATTGTGGTACCCTTTGCCAAGAAATCCATCATCACTACTCCATGCTGGTCCCAAAACACCATGAGCATGACCTTGCCTGCATCGACTGAACTTTAGTCTCAGGATCAGGGTGATGGACCCATGTTTCATCCTGTGTGATTAGTCTGTCAAAAAAGTTTGCCTGTGTTTTTTGGCACATGTCCAAAAGATCCTTTGAGCAATTGACTATTTCCTGCTTTTGGAAAGGTGTGAGCAACCTGGGAATCCATCGTGCTGACACCTTATGCATGTTCAAATTGTCATGGATGATATTTTCCACAGACCCTACACTGATCTTGACATCTTGTGCTAACTGGTGAACAGTTATACGTCGGTCTGCCAAAATGGCGGTCTCCACTTGATGGATAGTTTCCTCATCAATGGCTGAATGGGGGCGACCAGGAATGGCAGCTGTTTCCACAGATGTCCGACCACACTTAACGTTTAACAACGTCATATGATGGGGCATCTTCCCCATAAGAAAGTTTCTTTTGGTGTGCGACCTTTCAAATATAAAAACCTAATCACTGCTCGGTATTCTACTGGCTCCATTGTCACACCCTACTCGATCATAACACCTGTAAAAGTGGTAAGATTAATAGTTCAGTGCTGCAAATTCAGACATAACCCATAGATACATGTATCATTACACATGTGAAATTTCAACCAAATATGATAACCCTAAGTGGTTTAGGGGAAATCTTTAATGAACACCCCTCGTATGTGGTTAGTTGATGATGTATTGCATGTTGTATATGTGGATGATTCCCATTTTATTATGATTAGATATAGGGTAAATTCTGTAGTTTATTTCTAATTTGGTTGATTGGAAATATAATGTATCATGAAAATACTAATAGTTTGAGATGAACTCACAATTCAGTGAGTTATTGAATCTCTTGACAATTCAGTATAACTCAAGTATTAAACTCTAACCTAACTATATTATCAACCAATATCTTATGAACACACAATGTTCAAACATAAAAGTCAGAAGGAATGGGTGCATAGTAAAAAAGATATGCGAAAATTAGTGACTTTTAGTGTAACCATATTGTTCCAGATCATTTTTGTCATTAAACAATATATCACATGACTAACCCACGGGTCCGGTTAGTCATGTGAGTACCCTGGTCCGTCTCAGTATCCACCCGACCCGAGTACCCGAGTTACCCGACCCCGCCCTAGATTGTATGATTGGCATAAGGAATTGCAAACACTGCATGACCATGGTCACTGATCTCAGTTGACCGTCCTGAACTGACCTGTTCTCTGGCTGCCTCTAGCTGGGCCACCAGATCCTCTCTCTCGTACGCCGGGAAGTGCCGAGTGTTGATACCTTCATCCGTGGTGCCCACTCGCTGTCTGGCTATCTGCTCTCGTAACAACTGTAAAGTAAATATCATATCAGTGACTGATTATTTCACACTGTAGTCAGTAAACAGATTGGCATCAACATGATCAAACTGGTAAGTAATTCGTGTCATCCAGTAAGTTATCTAATCACGTTAGGTTCCTGCGTTGTCATACCATTTGCAATCATATGAGTATCATATCATGAAGTTATTAGAGAACTGACTTTCACTTTGTGTGAATTTATTAACGTATGACCCTTCATAGAGTGAGGGCCAAACCTTATGAAAGTATGCTCACATTGTTGCAAAGTTAAATCTTTTGAAGTTTGGTTACAAACTACCTCAGTCAGTCACAGTGCATCATAACATTTACTTCAAGTGGAGGACGTCAAAATGGCTTGACACGATCATCGTGATGGGTGAGATTTCCGAAGTTGTTAATGAACTCGTGGAGATTAGGTGTTTGTCATCACTGACCAACTGGCCGATCATTCAGAGGTGATAATAATCGTGTTGAAAAGATACTGAAGTAACATCATAGATTACTGTAATGTGTCACAGCTAAGTCAGGGTTAGAACTGAACTCAAAAGCTTTACTACTAGCCTGGGTAAAGGTGAAATACCCTTGCAATGTTAAAACAATGGGAAAATTAGGAAATCTATACTGGCCCCAGGTTTGTGTTAAGTTCTATCCCTGTAAGTGTATCTCACCATGACCCTACTATTGAGGTGAGTATGATATCGTGACTAAATGTACATTACATGAGGTGAGGTGAAATGGGGTTTAACGTCGCGTCCAAGATTATTGCACTTAAATAGCGACGTGCATGTACGTGTGTGTGGCTGCTTGTACTAGTCCGGACTGATGCCGATTTATAGTGCTAGCTCACTGAGATACCATGCTGCAGTTTAACATGAATACCCCACTCAGACACAGTATACTGACTCCGAGTCGACCAGTCCTTGTTTTTGGCCCTTAATACCGAGTGCCAGACAGGGTAACAACAAGTACCATCTTTTAACGTCTTTTGGTATGACGCTGTCGGGGATCGAACCCCGGACCTTCCGCTCTCCTGGCGGATGCTCTACCACTAGACCACAGAGGCGAACGTACATTACATAACCCTTATATAGAGACATGTATTATATTGTGGCTAAATGTACATTACATTACAAAAAGACATTACTGGTAAATTTATTACCATGATTACCCAGATAAATATGGCAATACGTACAAAATTAAAAAATCAACATTTTCATGCATATAAACCAGACAAAGCGAACAAATGTGTTGATTTCCCATTCAAATAGAAAAGCTTCAAACACTATTATAATTAAATATGTGCAACAGGTGTTCAGGCCATCAGCGTATCGCTGTTTGAATCTACAAAGCCAGAAGTTACACCTTTCAAAAATGTTGTCACACGTCCCATACATCAATAGCACATAACGACACAGCCTTGAGGTGGAGTCAAACCGCCTAGATCTGTGGGGTACATTCTCTGTTCCAAGACAACCATCAGTCAACATTCACACACTGCATTAGGCTCATTGAAAATGTGGGTTGTTTCCTATTTTTCCATCAGGAAACACTGCTGGTGGCAGCTGTAACACATGTTGTTATTTGGTCTGTTTACAATGCTTAAGGGACCAGTTCAAAAGTTTCATTTGGAAAATGTTGAAATTCCGAGTTTTGTGGCCTCTTCTGGTATGCATTCTTGTGCTTTGTCCTGTTTTTTTGTGAATGTTTATCAAATGAAGTTCATTTATTTGGTATTGATAATCACTTAAAGGGTATTTATAGACCAAATCTGTTATCATATATTACGCACTGCACTAGTTGACTATTGCCGGTGATGATAAAACCCTACCTTGTGCATAGACAACTCCTTACAGCATATGAATGAAAATAGGATTGGCTTAGTTCAGATACTGTATAAAACAATGAGAAATCAGGTAAGTTAAGTTTTTGGATGGAAAACTTGCAGGGCCACTAACCACCACCTCCCCCTCCCTAAACTTTAGGAATTAAGATTTTTATCTAACATCAAACCTTTGAACTGGTCCCTTAGGTTTCAATAAAGAATATTATACAGAAGGTCACAGGAAAAAATGCTAGTTATGGTTGAGGGAAGATAAATGTAAAACAATAGAAAAAGCCTGTGCAGACTTACAGAAATAGTCAGGCTATTATGTTTATTTCTATAGCTGAAATGACAACAGATTCTACTGATCCTGGGCCATAGATAAAACTTACTCAATACGTCTGCACTAAAGACTACTGACTCCTATTTGGGCCATTCTTATACATATATTTGAATGGACCAAATATATATATCTTGAAATTTCAACATATCTTGACAATTCAGCTATTATCACGTATACTATACAAAAAGAGTGAGTATTGTTTTACGCAGCTTTTAGCAATATTCCAGGAATATTACGCAGGGAACATGGGCAATGGGCTTCACACATTGTACCCATGTGGAGAATCGAACCCGGGTCTTCGGTGTGATGAGTGAATGCTTTAACCATTAGGCTACCCCACCGCCCCTACTACACGAAACAAGTTAAAGAACACACACAGCTGTCTATTGTAATACCTACCAGCCATGACAGATTACCAAGTCAGACGAAAAACCGAGACTTCTTTTACTCCTTTTGAGTAGGGGTGAATGATACATAGGTCACGATACAATACGTATCATGATACATGGGTCACGATACAATATGGATCATGATACGCACATTTACATAAAATCACGTTGAAACTTCTTGACTATAAATATTTCAGAGCAGATTCCAAAGGAAAAGCTAGCTGTAGACACATGTTCATAGTGGCTTTTTTTAGAAGTGAACTTGCAAAGCTAATTACAACAAATTTTGTAATATCTGAATGACAAAAATACTGGGGTGGGGGTAATTAAACAAGTAAGTAATTTAGTTTAGCAGGTACATGATACAGAAGAAACGTATCGTATCGTATCATATATCGATCGTCGCATGAAAACTCACGATGCAATGGTGCGCTGATGTACCTCTATGTCAGGCAGGTCAACAACGAGAAACAGGCTTGTTTCATTGATAAATCATTGTAACACTTCCATATGTGGCACATGCTTCTTGGACATGGGATGAGAGCCAGTTGACTACATTTCTTGGAATTTACTACTACAACAAATATGACTTTTAACGAGTCAAACTATGGCATTTATAATATAAGTATCCATTCCCTGTCAACTTAAGTTTTTTTCAAGGCATCAACAGCAATAATCTGACCGTGGTTGCTGTAAATTAATCTGACAACATTGAATGAAATTTTGAATAAAATATGCTACAAACATAAGTCCAGATATACAACGAACATGTTTTCATAACCGTATATCATCCATAGTGTAATGATAGGACTAAATTTTGGACTTCAGTTTGGATTTGTTTATTAGTATTTCCAGTGTCTTCTGCTCTCAGTGATCAGCTGGTAATGTTGGTTTTTTTGCGATGAGGAAAAGAACATTGTGTCAGCATTGATCAGTGTAAACAGAGCTCCAGATAAGCTGCGTATCTGCGTAAAATACACCTCAGAAATGCAGAAATATGCAGTAAAATAAAATCCAAGCGTATGAAATACGCAACGAACATTACAGATACGCTACAAAAATAAAACTTGTGCTGTATAAAAATATTGTGAAGTAATCCTGCGTATTCGATTAGCAAATCAGCAACTTATTTTGAAATTATATACGGACATTCCGTCAACTTTGCCAAATGCCAAACTCCACGATGACAGTTACATCATGATCATTTGCCATCACACTTTCTTGTGGAAGTATCGTGGTATTTTTGAGTCCTACAAAGCTCTCGAACCCACAAGACACCAATTTGCAGGGACTAGATGAATAGTGTTTTTAAATATTTAACTTACATACCCACATGTGTAAAAACTAGTGGGTAACAGAAATTTGAATACCCAGATAGCATTACTGATACCCAATGATTTTAAAATGCATGGGTAAAATACCCACAACACCAAAAGCTTATCTGGAGCTCTGTGTAAAACTTGAATTTACTAAAAATATATATAAATAGCTGTATTTAAGGGGGCAATAGCGAGGGATCACTGTATTGATCTTGAATAATAAGACAAATGGGTCAGTTGCACTCTTTTATAAGAGAAATCCATGGAGGACAAGTGTATCTCTGATTGTCAGTTCTGTGGATGTAACATTTTACTGAGTTTATTAGCTTGATTTTGGGCAAGTACATTGTAAAATAAGGCAAGTAAGAATGTTGGTCATACTTGCCTTTGGTCAAGTAACATTTTTCATAAATGTTCAACCCCTACTGGTAGGCAAAAACTGGGCCACAGATTTATCATGATATCAAATCAACACTCCAACACGTTGCCTGTCTGAAATATTGATATCAGTTAATCAATTGGCTTCCATCTGTGCATGAGCAGAGATTATGTACAGCAATGTTGACACATGACGTAGATTGGAAATCTGTGACAGCACCGCTTCCATGAAATCAATAGGGTGGGTAATAACACCTAACTTTATCATGTTGTAAATATATATCGGTCTTATAGATAGGAGAAACTGTATCAGGCTTCTCTCTCGTGTGATCAAGACAAGTTTTGTGTGACAATCTTTCGCAGACATATGATAGAGTTAGAGTATGCTTATCGTAATAGGTAACTGATGGGATCAAGTAGTCAGACTCACTGACTTGGTTGATGCATGTTATCGTATCCCATGATGTCAATCACTGGATGGTCTGGTCCAGACTCGATTATTTACAGACCACCGTCATATAGCTGGAATATTGCTCAGTGCGGCGTTTAACAACAAATAAGGACTGTAACGAGATTGATATAGCACCAGCAGATTATAAATGATTTATGTCATTCATAGACAGTTGCAAACTTTGGATTCAGTGCCTTTTTGTAAGTATTTTATGGTGATATTATCCAAATGATTATTAATAATATCAAACCTGGATACTGGTTTGTACATTTTATAACCCATTATCAATTCTGATATAACTGCAGCTGGTTATCCGAGAAATCCTGACGGGTCTAATGACAATTGTATTTAAAAAAATATTCAAGATCGTTATGCTCAGCTGAGACAACACTGAGTTGCCCATGTGAGGGGTGCATGAAATGAGGTGCCCTATGTGTGAGGGGCACATGTGAGGGGCACATGAAATGAGGTGCCCTATGTGTGAGGGGCACATGTGAGGAGCACATGAAATGAGGTGCCCTATGTGTGAGGGGCACATGTGAGGGGCACATGAAATGAGGTGCCATATGTGTGAGGAGCACATGAAATGAGGTGCCCTATGTGTGAGGGGCACATGTGAGGAGCTAATGAAATGAGGTGCCCTATGTGTGAGGGGCACATGTGAGGGGCACATGAAATGAGGTGCCCTATGTGTGAGGGGCACATGTGAGGGGCACATGAAATGAGGTGCCCTATGTGTGAGGGGCACATGTGAGGAGCACATGAAATGAGGTGCCCTATGTGTGAGGAGCACATGAAATGAGGTGCCCTATGTGTGAGGGGCACATGAAATGAGGTGCCCTATGTGTGAGGGGCACATGTGAGGAGCACATGAAATGAGGTGCCCTATGTGTGAGGGGCACATGTGAGGGGCACATGAAATGAGGTGCCATATGTGTGAGGAGCACATGAAATGAGGTGCCCTATGTGTGAGGGGCACATGTGAGGAGCTAATGAAATGAGGTGCCCTATGTGTGAGGGGCACATGTGAGGGGCACATGAAATGAGGTGCCCTATGTGTGAGGGGCACATGTGAGGGGCACATGAAATGAGGTGCCCTATGTGTGAGGGGCACATGTGAGGAGCACATGAAATGAGGTGCCCTATGTGTGAGGAGCACATGAAATGAGGTGCCCTATGTGTGAGGGGCACATGAAATGAGGTGCCCTATGTGTGAGGGGCACATGTGAGGAGCACATGAAATGAGGTGCCCTATGTGTGAGGGGCACATGTGAGGGGCACATGAAATGAGGTGCCCTATGTGTGAGGGGCACATGTGAGGAGCACATGAAATGAGGTGCCATATGTGTGAGGAGCACATGAAATGAGGTGCCCTATGTGTGAGGGGCACATGTGAGGGGCACATGAAATGAGGTGCCCTATGTGTGAGGGGCACATGTGAGGAGCACATGAAATGAGGTGCCATATGTGTGAGGAGCACATGAAATGAGGTGCCCTATGTGTGAGGGGCACATGTGAGGAGCACATGAAATGAGGTGCCCTATGTGTGAGGGGCACATGTGAGGGGCACATGAAATGAGGTGCCCTATGTGTGAGGGGCACATGTGAGGAGCACATGAAATGAGGTGCCCTATGTGTGAGGGGCACATATGAGGGGCACATGAAATGAGGTGCCCTATGTGTGAGGGGCACATGTGAGGGGCACATGAAATGAGGTGCCCTATGTGTGAGGGTCTACTAGTCCAAAAAAAACGAAAATGTTCAAAATTCTACTAGCCCTTATGATACCTTTAACACCAACGAAACTGGTCTGGGGAAGCGGACTAGTGGTAATTTCCATTTCTGTTTTATGTAACCAAATATCATAACTCCCACTGCATTTCTTTCAAACATAAATATTCCCCTTCTGGTCTTCTTGTCATTTTTTCTTTTGTTAACCACTTCAAAATGTTCACCCTTGACTTTTTTCTAAATCGAAATTTTAGATATTTCTTTGCCATAACAGGGTCAGTGGTCATAAAATAAATATAACTACAATACAAAAACTATCCAAATGGCTACAAAATATTATCATGATTATAGTTGGTGGGGTTGAAAAATACATGACAATATATAACTTTCATAGCAATTGTCATGGGACCAAAACACTGAAATATGCAGACATCATTCAAAATGAATGTGACAGCTACAAAGTGCCATAACCATGAAGTCCTTCAGATTCCACTCTTAAAAGACTTGGGTGAGCTGATACCTGTGAGTAATCCCATGTGAGACGTATCCTTTTCAATTACGGTACGTTTGTCTGATGTGCATGAGGATGGAGAAATGTGATAACACCTTGAGAAGGGTATAAGTTAGGAATAGCATTACTTTTCTTAATGTAATTGCCAATAACACCAACAGCTTTACTTGTCAAACCTAATTGGTGAAGACACAACTGTAGTTATATTGGCTAATCATGCCAATGTACCTTGAAGTACTTTATCCTAGGAAATGGCCGTTCCTCATGTCATATTTGACAACAATATTTTAGGAGCCAACACAATTTCACTAGAAGAAAAATTCAAAAATGAAATACGAATCAGGCACCCGGTTCACTTTTCACTCTGATAGTGAAATCATAAAACATGTTATATTATGGAGAACAGCCCAAATTCTGAACAACCTGGATTTGTTATCCAGATGATATTACTGTTAACAGTTCCGTCCTCGAAAGGGTTTCACTAGATCAGATATGGCTTTGTGGGATCATAATAATGTAACTGCCTCATCTTTTCAGCAGCAGAAACACAGAGACATGATCAAGTACACTCACCTTGATGTCACCTTGAGCATCGGCCAGCTTCTGGCGGAGATCGTCGGCCTCGAACTGAAGCGATTTGTTGTTCTCCTTCGTCTCACACAACAACTTCACCAGACTCTGCAGTCAAAACATTCCGTGAAAAAAATGACATTAAATTTTTTTTTAAATGAGTGCAAATGGTGCAACCAGTTGATTGTTGTAAGCATGGTGAGTTAATGGTGAGTGTGGCAGTTCCAGCAATATCAGGTGATCTTGGGTTCCATTAAACATCCCCGAATGTTCTGTGAGTGAACATCCCAAAACACAATCAGCTGTTGTACAGGACGAATATATCTGGCCAGCCTGCACATCATGAAGACTGGAGCAGATACCCAGAGGTTGATGGCATGAGCACCATTGCAGCCAGGGGATAATGACAGACAACACGCCATTGCAATTAACCCCCATTTCAGCTGCCTCTTGTCACCAGCATGGAACAGGTGATTCCCCACAGGCAAAACCTTGGTAAAAGTTTCAAGGATGTGTCTTACATTTCCATAATTTATTTCATTGTAATTTATCTCTGTGTGTCTTTTTGTTTAATGCCGCACTCAGCAATATTGCAGCTATATGACACGGTCTGAATCGAGACAATCCAATGATTGACATTGTGAGCATCGATCTACACAAATGGGACACAATGACATGCATCAACCAAATCAGCGCGCCTGAAGACCCTATCCTATTAGTTCATATTAGGTCATACAACAAGCATTGTCAGGTCATACAACAAGCATTGTCAGGTCATATGACAAGCATGGGTTGCTGAACACGTAGTCTAGCCGGATCTTCACAGGCGTTATGTTTGTCATCAGATTTAATAATGAATCTCTGCGACACACGTATAGCCACAGACATGATAGACACAATCTGATCCACAGGCAACTCAATAACATGATCACATTGGTGCATGCTAAAATGCATGACTGCGTTATTACCCTGATTAATTGACCAACATGTACAATCAGTGTCAGTCACTGTCAAACACTTTAGCTCCCAACATATCACAAAACATCCTGCAATATAATAGCAATACAGATAGTTTGCCAATGCACAGCAACTACAAAATACAAGTTCAGGCTGGTAGACTGACCAGTGTTTGACACAGACTGAGGCCACATGACCTAGCTGAGTTAGAGGACTACCTGATTCTGCATGTCCATGTAGTATCCTGCGTCATGGTGGTTGTTGGCCTGGCCGGCCGGAGACTGTGGCAATGCAATAAATACAGTGAGACACAGAGACAATTTATATGTGGGAATATTGTTAAATACTGTAGTCAGCCATAGTCACTATACATATATGACAAATAATCAAGTCTAAGCATGTCAAACAAAAGGTTGACAGCATGAGCACCAAATCCTCATTATATTGAGGCTCTTACAACAAACCCTCAGCTCCAGATTCCCCACAGACATCTTTCATATGCATGGAGTTGTCAGAATAATGAGATCTGACTGGCCTAAACATGCTAAATGATCTTGATGAATCACGCCTTGGAGTTGGAGGGAAATAAATTTTTCAGCGGGAGAATAAATCCCTTATACCCTGCCATGAACAAGACAGGCTGCAGTTGATTTCTGCGAGGCAGCATATATCCCTTATACCCCGCTTCAAAGTAAAAAGCTGCACACTTTTTCCGAGTCAATGTAAGTCCTTTGACATAGCATAAGTTATCTTCATCTCAATTGAACAGCTGTTTTGAATTTGTTTTAATTCTTTTACAATGTCATATTAAAAGATGTCGGTAAGATAAATTGGTTAAAGAGGGATCACTCGTGGTACATGGAGTTTTATGCATCCTGTGCTAGGTTTTATACCACGAGCCGGAGGCGAGTACCATGTACTCATTTGCCAAATTTTAACATGTTTAATTGCTTCATGACTGATCATAGACAATAGATTAAAGACAATGATAATCATGAACATGATGAACAAGACTAGAAACATTTTTATGAAAGAGAATTTGTATTTCAGTTTGGGCACCAACTATGCTCATGCCATTTTATTTACTGCCATTTTCTATTTTCTCATTTCTACTTTTATATGAACACAATGAATGATGAATAAGACTAGAAAATTATAAAAAAGTTAATTTGCATTTTATCTCTCCTTCATATATAATCTGCAACACAAACAAGTCTGCAAAGGTCTAGAAGAGCTATCAACATGATCAACTGCAACAGGCCTTGAAAAATTGTCTATTGTCATAATTATCAGAATTTCATTATTTTAAAACATGTCAATTTAAAAAAAAAAATTACTGTCATAAATAATTAATACAATACTACTCAAATGTTTGGTAAGTGTCCACAATGGTCCAGGTTTGGACTGATTTTGACCGATTGCCTGGAGTTGTTTTCATACCAATAGTATTCAGTATTGCCACACTAACAGCTTCATTCAAACATAAGTACACATTCCATCAATGGTTTTTCCTGTGTTCGTTTAAAGTAAGAAAAATATAAGTACCCCTATCAAGGGTTGAGTAGTAGACCCAAAACCAATCATGAATGAAACATACTAATTTGAACACATTACCTCTACCAACCACGAAACATAAACAACAATGAACAAAGCTTCAAGACACTCACATTTCCCACAAGTTGTTTCTTGAAAGCCTGGTAGCGTTCCCGGAGCTGCTCGGCCATCAGCTTGAACTGGTCGCGCTCACTCCGGCACTCGTCCATCTCCTTCTTCAGGATCATCAGCGCTTCGTTCTTGCTCTCCAGCTTCCGCCGGCAGATCTGGAACTGAAATACAGCAACCAATGACAGGTTTCCTAATGTAGGAGTGAGTCAGGGTTTACTCCACTCTTAGCAATACTCCAACAGTATGACAGTATAACACCAGAAAGAGCTTCACAAATTGTACCCATGTTGGGAATCGAACCCTGTTTGTCGGCAAATGTACTTATGTGAAGCCATCTCTGTCAACATCAGAGCACAACCTTATTACAAGCACGCTGATACTTGGAACCTATTCTATCCTGTATCTTCCTGGACTGTATAATTGTAGTTGTGCAATATACCATACTTCCCCTATTAGATGCCTGTGTGTCTATTTATTTTACACAAGCCGTTGACCTACCATCTATTAGAGACATGGCGTCTTTCCTGTTTAATGCTGGCACAGTGGCAACGCACTATCTTACCATGCTTACCCAATCCCAAATTCTAGGCAGTTCTACAAACTGAAGTGCCATAAATTAATATGATCATCAAATGATGGACCCGACCTCTATTAGAGACATGGCTTCTATTTTTTGGACAGAGCGTATGGCCAAATCAGAGGCCAGCTTGCATTGGAACCCTGGGGTCTAATAGAGGAAATACAGTAAGCAGTATAGGACGATGAAACCCATGGTCCCAGGGTCCACATCACACTACCATGACACAGGACCATGACAAGACACAACAGACGTGCGTAGTAGTTTGTCAAAGTGATGGAGTTGGTGACTCGAGCATGTTTAACCACGAGCCTGAAACTGGAGTCGGTATAGACTAGTCAAATGTCCGCCAGACTAGCAAGCACAGCTGATACTAAACACTAAAATCCATGTCAGGTGACATATTCCAGCTGAAAGACTCAAACAGCTTTGGTACAGACTGTGTTCAAATCCATGCTCAGTGGCCATTGTGTTGTAGACATCAGAGTAACTCCAGAATGTGAGTGAGTGAGTTGAGTTCTCACTGCAATATCTAGGAACATCAAGAATGTGCTTGTTTGGCTTAATGCTGCCTTCAGCATGGTCAGCGTTCAAGGTACATGAGGGCGAGCTGTAAATAATAAGTCCAGACCACACAAACCAGTGATTGAAATTATGAGCAACAATTTATGCCGTTCAGGTGTTTGACACTCAATCAACCAAGTCAACCATTAAGCCACCATAGATTGAAGGGGACCTAAGTTCTCCATGATACCCAGTGGTGCTTCGCTTGACAAGCCAATACGTCCCTCACTGCCCCTATAGCCATTATAGACCCGTGAAGATTCTGGGATAGAATAGGTCTTCAGCAAAAGGCGACTAACAGGATCGGGTGGTCAGACTCGCTGACTTGGTTGATACATGTCATTGATTCCAATTGTGTGGATCGATGCTCATGATGTCAATCACTGGATTGTCTGGTCCAGACTCGATTATTTTACAGACCGCCGTCATATATGCGGCGTTAAACAACAAACTATAGCCATTGTATCCCCTTTCATAATTCCTGATATGGACCACTACCAGGCCAGCGGTAGAAACTAACATTTTTAGTCCACTAAACAGACTTGGCAAGCACTAGTGCCAATTTGTAATGCTGCAAGACCCAAAATGCTGAGAGATATATCATTGAGATTCAAGGAAATTCTCCTTGCACAATGCTTCAAAACATTATTTTCAAGAACTGCCCCTATCCACACCTCAAGGTAGATCTCAAGGCTCTCCATGTCCTCGGGGCCCAGGAGACTCCTCTTCTCCTCCCCTCTGTCCTGTAGTGGTAGACTTGCCATTGGAGCAGTCAGTGCAGTGGGTGTGAACATCGGCTTTTGTACACAGGTAAACGATGACCTGTACACTTGAGGTCATGGAGTTAAGTCTTCATGATTATTAATATCATCTCCTTGTTTGAGATTCACAGTTCTTAGTGTGGAATTCCCATGTTCAGACACAAAATACACAAATCCTTCAGAAATGATCCAGCATGCATCAACATGATAAATCTTCTTTACTATTATCACTGACTTAGTTGATCTGTAGAATCTTTCCTAGATTAGCAGGACAATTAGAAAGAATGTCTGATGCAGGAACTTCCGATGTATGCACCGCTCCTCTGTTCAGTTCAATCAGGGAACCATCTGATGTGAATCAAGAACAACACCTTGACAATCACAGCCTGTCTGTCGTCATCCATACAAGCAGGATCTGATATCTCCACTGGCTGACCTTGATGTTAACTATCATCAATAACACCGGCCCACGTCAACCCTCCAAGCTGTGCCACCCAGGAAACTCAATCAAGGCACCACTCACAATCTCAACACATTGAAGACATTTACCACAGGGTCCAAGACTTGACGTAAGCATGCTCTTCTTCAACATATTGGAATACATTTTCGCAAAATGTACACATGGTACGTAAAGTAAAGAGTAATATCTTTATCTAATATCTTTGAAAGCTCTTTCTGTGGGCAGTCCAGCAACATGCTGTTGTTCAAAATATTGGATTATATTTTCACAATATGTAAATGACAGACGGTAAAATTGATTCATTTTTTTTATTTTTCTGTTGGCAGTCCAATGTGCATGCTGTTGTTCAGAATATTGGATTATATTTTCACAACAAGTAAGTAAAAGAAGGTAAAAAGTAACATATTTTTATGTTCTTTACATGGCCAATCCAGTGTGCATGCCATTGTTCAAATATTCGATCATATTTTCTGAATATGTTTACGTTGTAGGTAAAATAATGTTTTTTTATGTCTTTTTTTATGAGCCGTCCAACACGTCCACTGGCGTCCAGTTGTTCCAAATATCAAATTACACCTTTACAACATATACATGACATAAGATAAAACATTATGCTGTGTGACGCTGTGTCAGTGGATGTCCAAGCACAATTCAAGGTAAGCAGTACGAAGCCCATAAGAGAATTGTATGTGTGAAGCAAAGCTGATCAGAATATATTTCATAATACTTCCCAGCATGGTTACCATGGATACTGTTCCACCTGTCAAGCACATAATTATACATATATTCACCACTGTCTCTTCAACATGTTCAGGGTCTAATGTTTCTGCTATTGTTATGCATAGAATGTTGAATAGCCAATAAACATGGTTAAGATGGGAGCAGACTGTGAAAGACATAGTATTTCCAATTGATTTTGTAGGACACATTGTAGCTAAAGCTTACATGAATTGTTCTGGAATATTGGCAACATTAGAATCAGTATTTCCATTTTCCATTTATTAAATTACTGTTTTTTGACTGATGAAATCTGTTTACAACTCAGAATTACACATTTTGTGCCCGAATGAAATAATGTAAAACGTGCCTCCCCATGGCTCGGAACTTACAAAATTACTGTATTCGAAGTACATGATAAGCGCCCCGCTCTAATAAGCGCCCTCCGTGATATTTGCTAATATAATTGTTAGTGAACAATCCCAATTAGCACCACTTCCGATAGATCAATGTACACACGACTTATTTATTTGTGTATAATACACACTTGTGTGTTATATGCACCCTTAATTATGGGCAATTAAATTCTGGAAAAATGTATCTATCATGTATAATACACACAGACTTTTCTTTTGTATCATTTCAGGCTGTCAGCAGAAACCACAAAATTTACGGTCTTTGAACTCTGTTTTTTTTCACCAAAAGTATATTCTGATAAGAGCCCCCTATTTCTAATTTTGAGAGCGCCCTGGGCGCTTATTATGTCGAATACGGTAATTTACTCAGGACATAATCTATCCTTTGTCAAAGATCAGAGGGTATTCTCCAAGTTTCTAGCGCACGATGCTCCATATTTCCTAGGCTGGCTATTGGGGCTATTTTCACTATGCAATTGTATTGCAATAGCTGCCCACACTATTGAAGTAGGGCAGCTATTGCAGTATTATTGCAGTAGTTATCAACTATTGCAATAGAATTGTGGTAGCAGTAAACCAACTTTAAGGCTTGATAATCATGACAATTATATTAATCAATGTAATAGAAATGAATTACCGTATTCGACGTAATAAGCGCCCTGGACACTCTCAAAATTAGAAATAGGGGGCTCTTATTAGAATATTATTTTGGTGATAAAAAAATACAGAGTTGAAAGATAAATTTTGTGGTTTATGCTGACAACCTGAAATGTTTATATACGAGAGATACATTTTTCTGGAGTGCGTATTATACGCAAATAAATAAGTGTTGTGTACATTGATCAATCAGAAGGGGTGCTAATTGGTATTGTTCACTAGCCAATATATTAGCAAATATCGCCGTGGGCGCTTATTACGTCGAATACAGTAAGTATAGATGACAATCACAAAGATGGCCATTTTCCTCCCTGTCGCAACTCAAAGAAAAGTAGCTCAAATCTGAAGTTGTCGTAATCCTTGCTAACAAACCACACAGACAGGTTTGATATTAGCATAAAATGTATTATTTATAACTAATTGCAACTATTGAAACTATTGATAGTTATGCATACTATCAACGATACTATTGACATTTTGTAAATTCCTATTGATATGGTTCTATCACAGGGCAAATAATTGCAATAGTTCAATAGTTTGACATATCGTTACACTCCTAATATTTTCAATCTTCATTGCCTTCTGAAACATCACTGGCAGTCCTAGCCTGAGTGAGTCATGTTTTATGCCCCTTGAAATATATTTCAGTTATATCATGGTGTCTCAGCTTGATGCTGAAACCCATGAGCATGAGATTGGTGCTGTGTCAAACATCATGGTAATAAAACCTAATCAGAGGTTTCTGATTAGTCTCCCAGGCTCGAGAGAGAAATTTTAAAATTTGGCAAGTCTAGACTACCTCAGCTCTATGAAATTAAGGATTGTATTAGGCTCCATTTGGATTTTATTCTTTTTATTTTGTAGATATATATTCTTAAATAAGATACCTTTATCATGCCTATTTCACGGACTAAATGTCAGTCTAGTTTCTGATACACCAAATGGGCCCCAACTCTACATGACCCACGAAGATCCGGGGTAGAATAGGTCTTCAGCAACCCATGCTTACCGTAAAAGCTGACTATGCTTGTCATAAGAGGCGACTAGCGGGATCGGGTGGTCAGGCTTGCTGACTTGGTTGATGCATGTCATCATATCGTTACCCGTTAGAATCATCAATTCAAGGTTTGTACAGATATGGAACATTACATTCCAGGGCCTTTTAAAGGCTTTTCAAGTGTTTCAAATGTCATTTTCAATGCTTTTCAAGTGTTTCAAATGTCATTTTCAATGCTTTTCAAGTGTTTCAAATGTCATTTTCAATGCTTTTCAAGTATTTCAAATGTCATTTTCAAGGCTTTTCAAGGGTTTCAAATGTCATTTTCAAGGCTTTTTAGAAGGGTTATTATATCCCGCTTACTATATATTAGTCACCAGACCTATATACAGCAGTATGAACATCACAAAGTCTCCAACAAGATTTATTTCACAGCCAACAAATAAAATAAATAAGTCTGTCATGATTTCTGTCATTTTGTAAAAATTCAATGCTTTTAAAGCAACTTTGATGATTTTCAAGGCTTTTCAAGGTTGACACAAAAAATTCAAGGCTTTTCAACATGTTCAAGGTTGACTTTTTCAAGCTTGTATGAACCTTGATCATGATGCCAGACATGCAAGCACTTCCTGGGGTTGAAAAAGATGGAACCTTGGTGCATGTAGTCATAAATACTAGGTTGCATGTTTCAATAATAGTCTGCACTAGTGCATGTTTTATATAGTAGATTCGAGCCCTTGAGTCTTTCAAAATAAAATTCATTTCTAGTCATTACTTAAAGTATTGAGTATTTCTTATTTTGACTGGACATGATAGTTCCAGTTTCTCTTTACTTGTACATATGTTGAGGACTGACATACTTATGTAAACCCAGGACAAAAAAACTTTATCCCATGAAATCAATCATTTAAATGAAAACAGTTTGACACAGCAAGTCGTACATGAAGATTGATAAAGGCTAGCAAGGTGAATGTGACCCATAGTGGCCTATAGCGATAGCGTCCTTGACATGTATGTTACCATGGCTGCAGTTAATGTGTAAATCAGTCAAACTTGTGCCCAATAAGAACTGATTAGAAACAAAGAAAGAAATGTCAAAGATGCAATGATTCTGATATTGTTTAATGTCAATCAACATTGACCATCATTTTCTTGTAATCCTAATATTTTCAGTCTCTGGGTGATGAGATTCAACATCAACACAACTGCAATTCGTTATCATACTTTTCAGTCAAACTGTCAAATACATGGACAGATGTTTCAGTCAAATTATTAAAAGAGAGAAATATTTAGGCATTTTGTAACTTGTCTTAGTGAATCAGGCAATTTACAAATTGACTCATTTTACACATTGACAAACCCCACACTGAAAAAAGTCTCGCCATTCATTTAGCATGTTTAGCAGACGATGTAGAGAAAGAATATTTTATCTATAGCCGAGCTGATCGGGTTTTTTCAGTACGGGGTATGTCAGGGCCAAGGTTGTCTATGGAGGACTGTGCACAGCAAAGGGCTTAATGAGATGAACAAATGTATGTAAACGCATTATACCATCAGAAAAAATGATGATGGGTGGGCTGACAGGTGCCATGGATTCAACGTGTTTCGCGCGTGGTATTTGTGTCCACAATCGAATAAACAAAAAAATCTGTAAGTAATGGTTCAAAATCTGAGCAGGGATTTTGGTTTGGAAAAGAAAAATCACAATATTTGAGCTTCTGAAGACACTAGCTACAAAAGTATGGCCTCGATTTTCTTCATTTATGTCTCATTGTGTAGCTAAATGTATTGGCTTGAAATGAGTGTATAGTTTTATGGGCTATTTAGTGTTGACATTGTTGAATTTGTCACAAAACGTACTTAGTGAGTTGTCCCCGGTACATCCCTTTCCTTTTTTATAGTATACTGACATTAGGTGTGACAATATTGTAGCTGCTATTTTTGCGTTACAAGCCCCTGTGGTACCACTTCAACTTACAACTTTTGAGACACTACTACAAGTCTAAGTAAAGTGAACTCCGAACGTGCAAAAGTGTTTTGGTCTACACAAACAGCTCTAAATACAACTAAAGCGATTGGAGATATGATATTGAAATAATGTTTCAGTTCACCATGTTTTTTTCCCTAAAAATATCACAATATAATCATAAAACAAATATTGTCTCTATAAATTAAGTTCTGTCATGTCAAACACAATCTACATGAGAAGTCTAACATTCATATCAACCTACCTTTCAATGATAATTGTGTTTGATTGGATAAAAAATGGAGCGTATTAAATGAATATGTCACTATTGATTTGATCGAAAACAGGACAATGAATGAAGCGATGTGTCAACAGATAACATACGTACCTCATTTGCCAGAAGTTCATACTTGGTAACCAACTCTTTGTGGTCATATTCAGACATTTTCGCGTAATTAAGTACATTCGGCCGTGTATACTGGCTTTTAAATTGAGGACAAAACATCAAATCGACACAACAACTGTGTCAAGTACACTGTCACTGCCACCGGAGTCGGCCATCTTGAAACCAATTCTAAGGGAGGTAACTCTCCAGAGGGATTGGTTGAGGATGCCCGCGTGGAACGGAATCTCTCATGAAACAATAACATTTGAAAAAAGAAAACAAGAATATATGTTCTTCAGTTTTAAAATAAGTAAATCACAAACTAAGACAAATGCAAAAATAACCCATTTAACTGTTTTCGTCTTTCCTAGTTTGGGCTAATTTTCGCCCGGGTTTTGCAGAATTCCGCTGTACAATGCTGAATTCGTAGAAGAGAATGCAATACCGCACTATTTTTCATATTTGAAAATTTGTGTAAATATACAAAGTACAATCAAGACTCGTAAAATATGTCACTTATGTTTGGATGATGTTAACATGGTTGAGCTGTTCAATCCTATGGTCACTGATGCGCCATAAAATAATATGACTGGGTTGTATTTCCGTCTGTACAAAAACCGATCACGATTCAGAACAAACCTTGAAATTACCAGTAGTCATAATTATCTATTGTTTGTCGTGTATGTTGGGAAGGAAAGTGCATCCATGCACACACTATATTTTTAAATAGTACATGTGCATTTTGGTGTCGCCTGAATCATAAAAAAACAAATGTTATTGCACACGAAAAACAAATGTGACTGTTAACTTCATATCAAAGTTATGTCAATCACATCATCACGGGTTAAACATAGGTGGTATGTGGATTCTTTCCTATACTGAATGATAAATATTACATGCACAATAATAAAAGTCCTGGGGCGGTCGGCTAGCCTAGTGGTTAAAGCGTTCGTCTCGCCGAAGACCCGGGTTCGATTCCCGACATGGGTACAATGTGAGAAGCCCATTTCTGGTGTCCCCCGCCGTGATATTGCTGGAATATTGCTAAAAGCGGCGTAAAACCATACTCACTCACTAATAAAAGTATGCGTCATGCATTTTTTTTTACCTCAGTGTACTTACATTTCATTTTCAGCTCCCTGAGGAGTATGCAACCCAAGCTGCCTTATGAAGTGGTAGGTTTCTAGTCACACGTCCATCTAATCCTATCATCCTATTCACTGCTAGGTGTGTTTCCGCGTTTTTCGAACAAAGTCTCTTGGCCAAGGCGACACCACATGTAACCCGTGTTTCTGTTTCGGGCAGGAGCGAAGCAACGGGAACTCTCGGGAATGACGAGCACGTGACAAGTCTGATTTGTGACCTCTGTGCAGTACATAGGCACGTGCCTCCGGTCTAAAATGAATACTTAACATAAACTGAGCCGCAATAGAAACCATACCTCTCATTTGATTTCATCATATGTTTCATTTTCAGTTGAAAATATCTTACGTTAGAGATCTTATATTCCCCAAATATAAAAGCACAGGAATGTTCTAACTCTCAGGCACAATATAGTAATAATTTAATAAGTGGAGTAAGATTGAACACTATATATAGTCTTTTGAACCAATTACTTTTTATACAAACTTATCCAGCCATAGATTACCTTTTACAAACCGCAGCAGGAATGAGCGATGGTTAAAAAGACATAATCAAATTTAAGAACAGTTCTTTCATTTACAGACATTGCCTCCTTCCCTACCGCACGCTTTTTCGGAGTCAATGAACGTCACGTGACATAGCACCAGCTAAACTCCGTTTAATCGAACAGCTGTTTTCTATCAATTTTGAATTTGTTTCAATTCTTTTACAACGTCATATCAAAACATGTCAGAAAGATAAATTGTAGCATTGTATATACCTCTCTGATGTACAGACTGTCGTCATATAGCTGAAATATTGCTGAGTGCGACGTTGAACAACAAACAAACAAAACTAGTTCTGAAGCTAGCATGAAGCGGGCATTGATACCGCTGTATTCGCCTTGATATTAACTGCATTATTGAAATCTCCTTAAAATGAAACCTAATTTTAAGTGCCCGCTACCGCTAAACCAAGATCTGAGGACATCCCATTACAGGTCACGTCAGAACGACCTTTCGCGAACTTTGACCGAACAATTAAATGAATGACAAGAAGTCGACATTAGCCAATCAGAAAGCAACTTGCTCGAGCTTTACGACACTAGTTTCAAACTAGCGACTTCCATTCCAGACTGCGCTTTGATTAACATCCTTCAAAATTTGGCAACTGGACGAATGAAAAATGGGATGTCTCCTGGATGCCCGAGATTGTGTGGCAGTACTTCTCACGGGCTATGGAAAGTCTATCCGTTTCAAATATTAATCCCACTGAAGCGAGAGACGGAATCAGCCGTGCAGCCCGTGACTATATCCTTCGGAACACCCCGTGTTAACCTTTTCGAGGCTGCATGATTAGAAAACACACTCCGACTGTCATTCTCCTACCCAGAGTTCCAGCATGGTACCTCTGTCACAGGCCCGCTGCATGTGACGACTCGTCACGCATTACTCAGTCCATTCAAGATATTGCATATGTGTGTCACCTGTTTCATTTTTGACACACATATGTCATAGAATGTCAACTTTCGTTGAGAAACTATCCTAAAACGGGAAAAACTATTCCATGTGCGTAGTAATCCTTTGTTTACATTGGTTGTACGGCTCCACGTGCTGTCATCGAAGCCATACGGAAAGCTAGCGATACGGCCACTTTGATCTATAAATATATATTGTCATGCACCTCACTGTCACAGTTGTGATAGCACATTTGTATATTTATGCAAATTAATATGTTAAACGCACCGAGAGGCTTGCATTAGGCCAGTCGCCTTGTTTACAAACAAGAGAATGTTCCCGTGATATGCAAATTAGCCTGTGGCAGTGGTGTTATGCTAAGTTACCACTGCGGTGGAGTGTGTCCGACTTTCACTTTCCCGATCTGATTAGTCGGACAATATGTCGTTCTTACGTCCGCCCGCATTAGGATATGTCCTCAGATCTTTGTGTATCTTTGCTGCACTAACAAGGAACTGAAATGAGATTTGCATTATGGGGTGACGTGTTGCTAATAAAATACTATAGGCGTTTGATGTGGATCTATTTATAGCTACAACACAACAACAGATTAAGGACGGATTTGAATCTTACGAGCGGTTACCCCCGACGACATTGGCGTTCAAGCTTGTTCATGTAGGTGCATGTGCACGTGATCTATATCATACTACCATGGATATATCAAATACGGAATCACAAGAGTCTGTGTGTACAGATGGTGCAGTACTGCGACAAACAGGAAGTGAAAGTCGAGGTAGACTGCCTGGAGTCGATAATCAGCCGACCCCAGAGAAGGACAACCTGACTAGGAGGTTGAGAACATTCGCAAATTGGACTGGGAAGATTAGAGCAGTAACACTAGCCATTGCCGGGTTCGTGTTGATCGGACCCGGGGACAAAGTGGAGTGTGACACCTGCAAGGTCAAACTGTACAACTGGACGGAGAAGGACGTGCCTCTTGACGCACACAGGAAACATTCTCCAGACTGCAGCTTCCTCAATAAGTGGTTTCCTGTGGTCACGCCTAAGATACGGTCTGGGTATGACCTTGCAAAGGCAAAGTATAGCAGCTTCGCTGACCAGGTGAAGAGACTTGGCACATTTGAAGCATGGCCCCTTAAACTGGATATTCATTCTCCTCAAAACATGGCTGCCGCCGGGTTTTTCTACATTGGTTCTGCAGACCGAGCTCGGTGCTTCTACTGTGGGGTGACATTAAGGGACTGGGATACTGGTGATGATCCGTTCGATGCACATCTCCAGTGGTCTCCTAGATGTGAGTACATACAACACACCCACAACAGCAAACAGGGGAACGAAATTGACATGCGTGAACAGGATCCTGGACACGCTGGAGCGTCTTGTGCACCTGGTGTAGTTGTTGCAAACCTTGGATCCAGCAGGGACAAAGACGGACCTGGAACTGGATGTCCCACAAAGAATCAAGGACACGCAGGTAGTCCTCCGAGTAAACCCAGGAACTCTCCACAGGTGGAGGCAGTGCTTGCCATGGGCGTCTCGGAGGAGCTAATTCGACAAGCTATTGCATCAAGGAAGCAGAACAGAGGGGAAGACTTTCCTGACGCCACGTCATTGTTTCTGGCGGTGGAAGACTTGATGTAAAACTCTCGAGACGATGCATTTTCAGCTTCAGAGCCGTGTCAGAAGAATGTTGATATTAATTAACTAGATGTTAATTTAGAATTACTTCCTTAATTCTACAATGTTTAATAAGGATATACAATACTGGTAGATATAAGCATATAAATATATTCAGATGTTAGGCTTGAGTTCATTCGAACCGCATCCGATGTTTGTATGGTAAATTTACCTTGTTACTTTGTCATGTGGGTGTTGTTTTATCGGTTTTTATTTGTTTTAATTGTTTTGGAATACTTTATGTACTACAGGTGGCGCAGATGTACTCGCCTAGGTGACCGGGCCACATTATTTTGCGAATACTACTACATGCAGTAAGAACTAAGATTTCACTTCTCCTGGAGGAACCTGCATACATCTGTAGTAATTATATTATCTGATATGTATTGTGAAAGCAAACAATACCAATCTACAGTAATCCAATGTGTGGCCATATAACATAAATGTGACGCTTTGTCTATGCTTCGATACTGTTTGAAACTGTAAATGACTTAGTGAAAGAGTGTTTATAGCATTTAAGCGTTTTAGCTATGTTGATGTGTATTTGCCATTTTATTGATAGCAGAATAAGGGTGCCTAACTACGTAATTATTTCGAAAATTATTAGTTTTAGGGCAGACATTCAGATTCCTTTTTCAAGACTTTTTGTTTCGATGTTATCATTGCAAACGAAGGTATTTACACTTCTGTAATGATTTACTAACAGGACAAATTAGCCTTGATAATTGCTCTGATTTCGCATGTTCAAAACCACCTATCTCCTGTACCTGATACCTGACGTTCTGTGTGTAGTAAAGATTGTTTATAATTTGCTCGCATAGAGTTTGTATTTTTAATAATTGCACGGATATGATTTATCAGTTTTTGCATAATTGATAGAGACAATGACTGATCGTTTTCAATAATACGCAATAGAATTAATAAAACATGTTTTAACGTTTATTCATACCTATGTACGACTGGTTTCATTGTTTGAGAAGTAGCCTATAACAACGAAGCATCTGATCAGTGCACTGTCACGAATAAAAGAAAATGCCATAATCCATGAATGCCCATGACGTCACTGTTGCCGTCATCTGAAAGAAAGGTTAACCAGTAACCGATCGGCCACTGTGGGTAACATATTGAATACCCTACTCTGAATTACACCTCAGGGGTACCTTGTAGAAGCCAGTGATTTACTACATTAATTAATCTGTATATTAGTTATTATTTTTCTTTCTTTGTTCCGATGTTTTATGTTAATTTTTATTACAACTGGCAGAAGCCATGATGTACAATTATTTTGCTTTTATTCAGCCATTACTTTAAAACACGCATGTTTTATATGTGAAAGGAGTAGAACCAATGTTTTCACAAGATATCAATACAACACAGGAAATGCAGAATGCCACGCGAACAATGGTTTCATTTCTTTCCGAAAATCTTACAAGATATTATTTTTTTCTCTGTTTGGAATCCCTTGTATAGCAAGTGACTAGTACAAACTGATCAAACAACATCCAAAACATGGCAAAAGGTGAGCTGTAGAGCCACACCTAGAAGATACCTCTTAGCCTTTATCTTACATGGTGCTATTGTAGTTTGTACTGTGCTGAATGTTGACACGGCTCGATATTATCAATAATAGTTGGTTGGTTGGTTGGTTGGTTGGTTGGTTGGTTGGTTGTTTAACGCCGCACTCAGCAATATTCCAACTATATGACGGCGGTCTGTAAATAATCGAGTCTGGACCAGACAATCCAGTGATTGACATCATGAGCATCGATCCACGCATTTGGGACCGATGACATGCATCAACCAAATCAGCAAGCCTGACCACCCGACCCCGTTAGTCGCCTTTTACGACAAGCATGGGTTGCTGAAGACCTATTCTACCCCGGATCTTCACGGGTCTATTACTTATACATCCAGCTACAGATAAATACCACTCTGTGGTTATTATAAATATATACACCAGTTTAAAAAGCCTGATTTGAAATCTAAAACATCTACCAAGCTGGATATTATTGACAAATATGAGCCTGTAATGACAAATGTTAAGAACTATAAGTTCTAGATCTTGTCACAGCGCCACATAAGATATTTTTAGACTCTTTTAATTATTATCCAATCATCTTATTACAACTTGTATAATCCTTATCCTCCCTGCACATCTGGCCTCATTACCCGTGTGCCATTTGTTATACTTTCTGCACTTTGGCTTCATCCATTTGCCTGGATGCTTCTATTACCTGTTGTTGTCAATGTTAATCTGGTTCTTTTCATAACATGAATAAAGATACTTTTCATCACTTTGTTGTAGTCACTCCAGCTTTATAACAGTGTACAAATCTACATCGCTACGTACAATAAACCAGAAGTTGTTATCCATAAAGTGTTATAAAGTGTTATTATAATATTTTACTTCTGTTAAAACTTCCACAGACCGACTTGGGTCTTACATGGTGCGACGATTACTGTGTACAATGTGTAAATAAGCCACATGGTCAAATCGTGTTGACGTGGCAGTTCCTTATGGACGTTAAAACTAAAGGATGACGACTGCGTTGATGTGTCTACTACATAAGGGTGCCCCAGGCATGATGGTATTCAACTAGAGGGAGATCGGGAGAGAGAAATGTGAGAGGAGATAGTTGAGGAGAAATATTTAGGGGCAGGGAAAGTGATATATCGTGGCGCATTGATAGTTTGGTAGAAATTTGTATACGAGTTATATGCAAACACAAGGCAAGACTACTGACACTGGAATTAAAGGATAAGAAAATATGAAACAAGCTAGGCTTACCCATTCATGGTTAAGTTACAACGTGGTAGAATGAATACCTAACAATTACCAATACGACGTGTTTCTTGTTTAACGCTGCACTCATCAACATGACAGCGGTCTGTAAAACATCGAGTCTGGACCAGACAATCCAGTGATTGATAACATGAGCATGCAATTGGGATACGATGACATGCATCAACCAAGTCACGAGCCTGACCACCCGATCCTGTTTGTCGCCTCTTACGACAAGCATAGTCGCCTTTACCGGCAAGCAATTGTTGCTAAAGACCTATCCACCCCGGATCTTCACGGGTCAGTACCAATAAGAAGCCAAGCCAAGCATGAACCATAGTAGATTACGGCTTTGGAAACTTCTACAACATTTTGTCCAAGACGACGGGGTGCCATCGGTTGGTAGCTCACTCGGCCGATGGAAGGCAGCAGGTAGGTTTACTTCTTGGTTAGCACGTGACAGAACACAGACCGTGAGCTGTACAGAATAAGATGGCGCAAGGTCATTGACCCACGTACATAAACATACGTAAGATCCGGGGACGTGTTGGGGTGATAACTAACACTTTATTTTAAAGATAGGTGGATGAGTGGTCCTAATAAGAGGGGATTTTTGCAGAATGTATTAAACAGACAAGGGAGACTTTGGAAAAATATTGAAACAATTATGTATTTTGGATAAATAAACATATTGAAACAATTATGTATTTTGGATTAAAGCATTTTAAAGCAAAAATATTGATGCGGTTTCCACTATGACACTACTTTTGTCCTCAAAAGCCCTTAAATAATTACAACACAGAAAATACAAATAGATAGTTAAAATTCATATGTGACATCGATAGGCTGACAACGATATTGCTTCAGGCAATAATCACGATTAAGACCATTAAAATGACACTAGGTAAGATATACATGTGCGGACAAGTACTTAAATAAGCGATTTGTCGTTGAGGTGGTTATATGATATGGGGAATAGAATTTATGGATGTCAACTTCTTTATTATGAGGAACACAACGTAATAAAGAAGTTGACATCCATTAATTCTCTTCCTTATGTGTATCACTTTTAAATTCTTTTCAAAGACTTATATGATATTGCATGCACTTTAAATAACATAAAGAAAACACATGACAATAAGAAATTGAACCGAAGTTCCAGTTCATACACGCGAAACACAGACGAGGGAGGTTCCGGCTCGAGCACACAAACATTGGACTTTTCCATCGAGCGGCAAATACTGTAACACGGTCCTCCGTTCGTTCAGATTTTTGTGGTTTCCATTATAACTAAATAGTGATGCATATAAATTTAACAATCTTCATAGTTCACTAAGGAATAATAAATACACCCATTTGTACTTTCATCTCATATTTATTAACGAAAAATGAACTTTAACACAGCAAATGGACAAATATGCCTTACTTATATCTGAACAGAAACACCCATTGTCCTGTACTAGCAGTGAAGTGAAACATTGTGAAAGTTTTAAAACAGGTTTGCCGAAGGTGACCTTAACTACACTTTAACCAACAACAATAAGGCAAGTCTTTCTTTTGCAAATCCCATATTGCTTTCAAAGTCATAGGGACTGTTGTCTGAATAAAGAATCTAGCATCAGGCTTTACATACAAAACTCATAATTGTTCGAATGTTAAAACATGGGTTTTAAAAAATATTTTAACATTGTTCATTTCCTCCTTTCAATCTCCTTATAAGGAATATGTCCGAGGGAGCATGCTTACCAAATGATGGTGTGCGTACGTAGAGCACTGAATGTTTTCTCAATCTGATTATATGTTCAACGGTTATACTTATAAATTACAATATAATCAATATGCAAAATAAACACAACAGAATAAAGAATAAAAACATGCGTAAATGTATTCAATAACAACATAAACAGAACAAAGAATAAACACAGATAAATTTAATCATTAATAATATATACAGAAGAATAAACACATACATATATTTCATCATTAACAATATAAACAGAAAAAAGAATAAACACATGCATAGATTTATTCAATAACAATACAAACAAAAGAATAAACACATACATATATTTCAATAACAATATAAACAAAACAAAGAATAGACACATGCATAATTTTAATCATTACCAATATAAACAAAAGAATAAACACATATAAATATTTAATCATTAACAATACAAACAAAACAAAGAATAAACGCATGTATAAATTTTATCATTAACAATATAAACAAAACAAAGAATAAACACAAGCATAAATTTCATCAATAACACTATAAACAAAACAAAGAATAAACACAAGCATAAATTTCATCATTAACAATACAATATAAACAAAACAAAGAATAAACACGTGCATAAATTTCATCATTAACAATATAAACAAAACAAAGAATAAACACGTGTATAAATTTCACCAATAACAATTTAAACAGAATAAAGAAGAAACACATGTGTAGATTTATTCAATAACAGAACAAAAAATAAACATAGATAAAATTAATCATTTACAATATGAACAGAACAAAGAATAAACACATGTGTCAATTTCATCAATAACAATTCAAAGAGAACAAAGACTAAACATAGATAAATGTTATCATTAAAAATAAAAAAACAAACAGAGAATAAACACATGCGTAAGTTTTATCAATACTAATTTAAACAGAATATAGAATAAACACATGCATAGATTTATTCAACAACAGTATAAACAGAACAAAGGATAACACATGCATAAATTTAATCATTAACAATATAAACAGTAGAATAAACACCTGCATAAATTTCATCAATAACAATTTAAACAGAATAAAGAATAAACACATGCATACATTTATTCAATAACACTATAGACATAACGAAGAATAAACACAAACATAAATTTATTCAATAACAATATAAACAAAACAAAGAATAAACACATGCATACATTTCAGCAATAAAAAAATAAACAGAATAAAGAATAAAAACATGCGTAAATGTATTCAATAACAACATAAACAGAACAAAGAATAAACACAGATAAATTTAATCATTAATAATATATACAGAAGAATAAACACATACATATATTTCATCATTAACAATATAAACAGAAAAAAGAATAAACACATGCATAGATTTTTTCAATAACAATACAAACAAAAGAATAAACACATACATATATTTCAATAACAATATAAACAAAACAAAGAATAGACACATGCATAATTTTAATCATTACCAATACAAACAAAACAAAGAATAAACGCATGTATAAATTGAATCATTAACAATATAAACAGAACAAAGAATAAACACATAGATAAATTTCGTAAATATCAATACATTTAACCAAAAAAATATACACATAAATAGATTTCATAAATAACAAACAGAATAAACGCATTGATAAATTTCACAGATATACCGGAATAAACACATGGATTATTTCATAGTGAGTGAGTGTGTATGGTTTTACGCCGCTTTTAGCAATATTCCAGCAATATTAAGGCGGGGGACACCAGAAATTGGCTTCACACAATGTATCCATGTCGGGAATCGAAACCGGGTCTTCGGCGTGACAAGCGAACGCTTGAACCACTAGGCTACCCGACCGCCCCATTTTATTTAATAAATAACGAACAGTAAATAAATAAACAGTATAAAGAGGGGGGGGGGGGGGGGGGGGGCTGTCTAGTGAGCTGTTCCCCATAGATGTAGCTCGGCAACGCAAATAAACGCGATGGCCGAATGACCGCATCCAAAAGCGGGAGGGACATGACAATCGGTATTGGGAGAAAAGGTACAGGTAATCGACCTGTGGATTGTGAGAAAATGCGGGAAATACCCACCTGTACATAAAATCGTCTTGTCCGACAATGCCGAGGTGTCATCATAATTCAAATACGGGTAAATATTTTTAAGGCATGTACATTTTATTATCATCCTTAAAGAGCCTGTACATAATGTTGATATGTCATATAATAAACGACTCGTGGTCGTTGTTTATCGTACAATAAAACAATGTAGGAAGAATAAACCACTCGTGTTTTATTGTACGATAAACAACTCTCACTCGTCGATTATTTCTTAAATACCACGACCTCGGAATTCAGGTGACAGAACTTTTTGTTTTCAAAAGTTCTGTCGCACAGTTCTGTGAAATATCACGTGTTTTTTTTATAAAATTTACGTGGTTAATTGCGATGTTTGCAGTACATATTTCGGGATATAAATATATCACACGTAATTTAACACCAAACTCTCATGAGACAACGCCTCCAGGTGTTATTTTAAAACAATTTTAATAAGCTACAGTCCTTTAACTGAACTTTATTTGTACAGTTAGCTCTCTAGCGGCTGTGTACTCGATCCAGGAGTGCGCGACCCACGCTTAAATCAGGGACCGGGGCATTCACACTTGACTTCACATTTTAAGACCTTTCCACCAGGGAAAGAGAGTTAATAATAAAATTATTTATAATATTCCCGTTACCAGGCCGTGAAGTGTTTACCGAAAACTTGAAGAGGCATGGGAAATGTGACACTTCGCCTTCATTCAATCGATTTCTCTCTGGTCAAACTGGATCCTATGTTGCCAAGAAATGCAGCTGCAATTAAAGAATATAATGATTATATTGTTGAATTTAAGTAAATATTTATGAAAAGGAGAACATATAATTAGGTTATTTTTTAGACCATTGGGAGCTGCTTATGTATTCTAGAAATGAGGGAAAGCTTTCGAGATCATTATGTGTTCGAATCAAAGAGAATTATACATTGTCTGTTTTCGACAAATGACAAAACAAAATGTGGAGGTAAGACTAAATGTGTCAGAATTTTTATTATTTTACGTCTCCAAGAAACGTTTTCAATACATTATCAGCTGCAATTTACGGCGTCAAAATGTTGCTTAGAACTTTCGCCATCAAAGACCTTGTTAAGTCATTTCATAACTTTTATGGAAGACATTCTGAGGAATTGACTTATATGACGCGTTGCTTGTTACCATGATTCGCGTCGATATACATGTACCATGATATTACCTTTCACGGGATTTTCTAACCTCGTTACCCAGGTTACTTTCACATACTATTGTGATGTCGTTTGTGTGAGTGGCGGGTGCTATAGGGAGAGCAAGATATGCTCACTCTTTTCACGAACATCTGGTGGCATCACCGATTTTCAGTGATAAATTCATAATTATTTGGGTTTTTTTGTTTCAGCAGATTGATATTCACTGCGCTACACTCAATTGGGAACCGAATGCGATACGTGCGACTTCAAATGTTAAATTTTCATGTAACCTAGCTCAAAACTGTATGTTTATCTCCATTCTACCATGACTAAATAAAAAGCGAACTCTTTGAAGTTAGAAAATACATTGAGTGAAACAGCATGGGTTGAGTCCAGTGTTTTGAACATCTTCCCGAGGCAAGGGCGTTAAGACTCTAAAAGCCAAGTTTCCACCCTTGCGGAACTTGGCTGGAATTTCTGGGCTAGATCGTAGCGCCGCTAGTAGCTTTTACGAGTAATGTCCCTTCTATGCCCCTCCTATTGACCATTCACATTCCACCTCTCATATCATAAAAAATATGGCGCTTTATATGCTCAAGCAGTTTGTTTGCACCGTTATACTTCACGAGAACTTATGACAGGCACTCAAAGCACGTATAGCACGACAACTTCGTTAGCTAACATGAGGTAGGCACCCTTAAAGAAAACTAAGCAAGCCTTGCAAAGGTTTTGTTCTACACCGCACGTCACAATAAAAGAAAAGCGCCAAATAGCAAAGCTCTCTGTTGTCCTCAAAACTTGAAATTTCTCTTTGTAGATTTCTGTCGTGTTTTCTGCACGAAATGTATTGCCACTCACCCTTTGAATATTGTAGTTACTGCAACATTGCATTTTGTAGCCTATAATTGTACATGTAATTGTTTGGATAAGCCTACTGACAATGACTGTAAAAGAATAACTATCCTAAAAATATCGCGGTGATGCTGTCCCACCGGTGGCACCCGTCAAAAACACATGCAAAGGCAAGTCAATTGTTCTCTCCCGAAAAACACACCGGAGTGTCAAAATAGGTTTGCATCGGATATCATTTATGCCACCGAAGCGTAACATTTGGAGATGTCCTCCATCAAACCTTTTGAAAGATCGAAAAGCTGTAACCTTGATCAAACAACATTTTAGTCGTATGGCGCTCTTTGAACTCTTGGTAGAAAGAGAATGCTCGATTGTACATCAAAAGTTGTGAAATGTGGACACCAAAGGTTTGAACTGCTGGAATATTGGAAATTAGTTCAAATTACACTATTGGAATATTTATGCACAGCTCTTAAAGTGAAACAGATGAAGCTGTTTCAATGTCCTCTTACATTTCTGGATCAGGTGGGTAAATTAGAGGAAGGGAATTGGCTATTTAACCGTTAGTGAACGATATCAGATCAACGATATACCTGAAGCCTAAGTTAAACTTCTTGGCCAAATTTCCTTGCTTTTGATTTTGCCAGTCCGAGCAGAAATTCCGGTTCGTATGGATAAAGAAACATATCAGCAAGAAGGGGATCACAATTTTTGCTGGTGGGGGGTGCCTGCTTTTTGCCTAAATGTCTCACCCCCAATTGCAAAAAGATGTTATCAATGGGGAAGTCTAGCATTTAACATATTGTTTTCTCATAAACTTCAGATGACATTTGCTTTCACATTTGACAAATTATCCTGAACCTCTGAAGATACTCGTAGATATGTAACCATGTTCATGATCACCACCTTAGTCACTAACGTTTTCGCTTACGTTTGTCATGTGGGATAGTGGTGAACAAAGATGAAAAATCAATGGTTTGGGCAGAATTAAAGTAGGTTCTTTTCTGAGATTGGAAAACTTAAAAGCAAATTATTGAGTTTTTGAGAATATACATGGTAATAGTTCCACTTTTACCTTGAAAGAAAATCACGGGGGTAGGGTGCACGGGTGGCCCAGTTGTCTAAGGCGCCGCAAATCGCTGTGCAGAGTTGCATCTCTTGGGCACGCCAGAAACCTATGACCGTTAGTTCGAATTCCAATTCGCCCCGATTATGTTTCTAGGTTTGTCAGCACCATACCCGTGTTCGGGTTTCACCCAAGTGGATAAAGTCTGAGACCCGCATCACTTCGGGCTTTCCTCCCCCATCAAGCTGACACGACGTGAAACAACTGGAATACTGTTCAAATCGGCTTTCAGCCCAACTCCATCCTTCTGTTATGTATACGATAGACTCTTGAGAGGCCTATTTGAAACAATTTCATTAGGAAAATGTAAACGTATTGACACCGATTTCTTATTTTAATAAAACAAAGCGAAACTAAGTAAATTGATCATATTACAAGAAGACTAATCTCAGAGAAGATCTCACGCAAGGAAAGAACATATACTGATACCATGACCTTTATCAGGTTTTAGATCATTGAAATTAAACCCACCGAGCCAATCGATCATAACAATACGATTGTCTCACCATCCTCGGTATTCGGGTATAGCACAATTGGTCCATCCGGCACGCATCCTCCGCAGAAGCCACCGCAGAGGAGTTCAATCTTCTCTCCCCCTGGTGATCTAGCGACACGCAGTTTTCCCTTATGGGAAAAATCATGCAAAATCCAGTTGAGCTGAAAAGAATAAGAAATTATTTATTATTTTGAGATGCACTTTGCGATGCTTTTACCGTTATTCACGGCACTGGAATAATAAACAATTCATTAAATCGCTACTCAAGAGTCAACATGCCTATATAACATTACATACAGTATAATATATATATATATATAATTAAATAAGTGGAGTAAGATTGAACACAGTTTTAATAGGCTAGCGCTTTCAACTCGTACCACGTACGAGTCTCATCAGGCCATAACTGAATAACGGACACACACACACACACGCACGCACGCACGCACGCACGCACGCACGCACGCACACACACACACACACACACACACACACACACACACACACACATACATATATATATATATATACATATATATATATATATATATATATATATATATATATATATATATATATATATATATATATATTACAGTGTAATATATCTTTCTTTGTAACATTGCCTAATAAGTAAACATGGACAGATTCTGCAGTGTTTCATGGAGTATACTGCTTTACAAAGATAAAACTTTGGATTATATTTGGATGGACAAGATAATTTTGTTTGATGTATCAATATTTTAACGTTGTAAAAGCTGGTCTTTCAAGGATGAAGTGATTTTCATCTTCGTCTGCTATTAAATCACAAAGTTGTCAAATTCTCTATTCTCTTTTACTATTTATATATCTTCCCTTTTCAATGAATAAATCATGCGACGAGCATTGAAAACGTGGTAAGATTGTCCTTAATGTTTTCCCCTCTGCTAATTACAGTCATATACAGAAATTACTTCTATACATTGAATAGGAATAACATTTACTTAATGTAGATGTTTTTCAGACCAATTTTCTATATCAATATCTATCAATATTTGTATTAATACTTTTATGAATTCTGTATGTAATGCTACATTCTGTTTTTGTCAAATATAACCGTATTCAACTTTAAACAATTCTGCCGATATCCATGCAAAATTAATACAATGATGAATTCGTCATTTCTGCATGGATTGGGATTTATATTTGTGGAAAAAGGTACTGCAGAAATTTGGTACGTGAGAGCCTAGCGCCGAAACACACCAATATGACATGCACGTCGAACATCACTTGTAGGCCTATGAAAACGTTGGGTTTTCATTTGCACGCTATCACAATAGTAGAGCAAGTGAACAGCGAAACCATCCATGACTGACTGACGCAACAACGTCATCGGCCGACTGCATACAGACGAAGCACCAAGCATCATCACAAGACTTTGGAACTGTTATCAGACACACGGGGCAACAAGTAACCTTCCCGTATCACTACTACAGCACAGAACATATTCATATGGCTACGTCACTTGCGTGAAAGAACCACTACGGCCATACCAGGATTGCGAAGGATATCAGCCCAGGCAGTGAGGAACGTTTACGCGCTGAAGGTATGACCTATTCGAGGGGTCATTTTGACGAACCTGCATCGTCGGCTGCGAGGTCAAAGGTGTCAACGTGTCAAGGTGTCAGATTTGGCGGTGGTAGTGTGATGGTGTGGGCAGCTATCTCCTACACGGGTAGAACAGGATGAGATTCTTCGGCCACACGTCCTTCCCATTATGCAACAAGAGAACGTCATTTCCCAACGGGATTTATGACTGCGAGCACGCCAGCAACATCCACAGAACCTCCGACAGTTGACACAAGCACTGCAGGAAGAGTGGGTAAACATTCCCCAGGCCACAATTCCAAATCTGATTGCTTCCATGGGACGACGATGACAGTCAGTTTTGAACTCTAATGGTGGACATACAAAATAATGAGCACAGGTGATCTTCACCTTGAAAATGTACTGTTTCATGTGTGCCATAGGGAACCTAGGTCAATGAGAGTGATGTATGCCGATTTAGAACAATTGATTATCATCATTATTTATATGATATATACATCCACAATCACTTTTGCGTTGTTGTTTTTTGGTGCAAAGTATATATAAAGAATATCTGCTACATTCACCACATCATAATGTTAGGTGTGTTTGTTTTTACACCATGGAAATTCGGCAACAATGCATTTTACGGGGCGCAGCTAATATATGATCCGTTGGGTTAGCTCTCTTCTAAAGAATTAATTCATTGTAATTTGAGGAAATTCCATACAATTTTCATCAAGTTCCGTGTTTCGCGGAGAAATTGGCTCCTTGGCATGCGCATAAAGGTAAACATTCGGATACTCTTCACTTGGTAAACGAATACCAAATCAAAAGAACCCATCCCTCAAGCATAGTTAGCAAGATTCTCCATTCTGAGCCTCCAGGTGAAGAAGGTACAAAGAACATATTAGTAATTCCCGTTGTATGGATTTAATTGTCATTCTCTCTTTAACAACCAAACAAAAACCACATGTGTTTTCAATAACGTACTGTCAAGGTTATTGTTTTATTTTACACCCGATCCTTCGCCGATGTAAAGGCAAGTAATTGGGGTATTCCCCAAATTTTATAGACCGTCGTCTTTGTGTTGTAAGAAGCGTCAATAAAATGCGTTAAAGACACCATTGACTGCAAGGGGAACTGGTGTAAAGTTGGTTGGTTTAGTTGGTTTGTTGTTTAACGCCGCACTCAGCAATATTCCAGCTATATGACGGTGATGTGTGATTTATTGCATAGGCGATTTAACGTATGTCTTTGAAACAGTTTACATACGGACACAGTACCTGTTTATCCACAAGCATCCCCGTTCCCAGGGTGTTGATGTGGAACGTTCCTTTAGGACCACAGGTAGCTTGGTAAGTGTAGCAGTCAGACGCTGTGCCGTATGGGTAAGTATTCCCCATGACCACATTGACAAACGTGAAGTCATCTGCCTTGATGGTCATGTTCTGAAAGACAGGAGTGAGTACTTCATTACACAGAATAGAGTATCATGTGTGAGATGCCACGACTTCAATAGACTCGATTGGCTGGTGTAGGATGTCAAGGGGCGATAGCAGCAATGAGAAATAGCGTGTTGGGTAGTGAGTGAGTAAAAGCTTTACGTCACATCGGCAATATTTCAGCCATATCGTGATAGCGTGTTGGGTAGGATATCAAGGGTAAATGACATCAACGTATTTATTACATGCAAGGGACCGATACCACAAATGATTTCCGTTGAATGTAATTGAGCAAATAATAGTCAATAGTTGATAAAAGTGGCTATCGCAACTCACATAATTTAACTTAGACTAACGACTGTCGTTGCGCTACAGTACGATCACCTTGTGGAACGGGGCCTTGCACCTCAAAGTTTACAACGACGTCACAATACCCGATGACGTAATTTGTGGAATTTGGTTGCAAGATCCATCGGCGAAACAATGCCATGTGACGTCAGCCTAGCAACAAGGTTGCTGGGGTCATCGGGTGTGCATAAGCTCCCCCCAGTGACCTATCATCTCCACACACAATGTCGTTGAATACGCCATGAGATGTTGAGAGCTTTCAATATTTGTTCGTGAAACGTGTTCCGAGAGTACATAAGCACGCGTTTTGGTATTACACAATGTGTAATACAGCTGTATGTTTATTAAACGGGTGATCTCTTCACGTGTAAGTAATAAATCGCTTGATCTCATCCAAGCGATATCTCCTGTGGTAGCCAGTTTTGGATGATAAATCGCATGTGTATCACATCTGCTTCCCTTTGTTGCAATAATCGACTGGTCGTTGGTTGGAATCCCACATAGGACCGGTATTGATAACGATCATTGGTCTACCAGCATCCCTATCCGTGTTCGTGTATTTCCCACAAAGGGGTATACCTCTATGGCTTCCATCATTCTGAGCTTTTACCTGACCTTAAACCCAACCTAGTAAACACTCTCCTACATGTATATCACACAGGATTAAGTGTCGACTACCTCCCAAATATAAGCGTCATTACAAACTCTCGACTTAATGGTACTAGCGTTGCAGCTTCCTTTTCTCACCTTTACATGGATTCGTATTTTAGAGTATAGATAGTTGCCTTCACTTCCAACTCCAAACCCAGACAGATAGGGTATCTCTTCAGTGCAGTTCATAGTGTGGACCTCTGGGTAATTTCCTTCGTTGAGTGTTGGTAAAGTCACAAACTCGAGCGGGGATCCAGACGCCATGTTACTGCAGTATATCTTAGTAGGACACCCATGCATGGAGGCAGCTGTGGGATATAGCACATACTCCCCGTCACCAGCTGTCGGGTCCCTGGTCTTAATGTCTTCACACATATGTGGCTGGTCACCTAGAATCAAATGTTCAAAGATGACTTTCCGTTGTTTCCCCGCAAGTGTGATGGTATTTTCAACTTCTCAGATCGATGAAAACAATGTTTTGTTTAAATAGCATATATATTTTAATTTTATAATACCATGACATTAACACCCTATGGCTTATACCATGCCGTTTTAGAGTATTGTTGCTGTAACAATATATAACAAAATGAGGAGATGCCAGGAGGAACACTTCTTCCTGCACACACTACATCTAAATGATAAAACGTGATGATCCCCAGTGACCTATGCTTTAAGGGGCGACAAAATGGATATGTGTATCTTATCAAGTTCAAAAGGTTTATACTACCAACATTTAAAAGAATTACCAAAATTCGAAAACATTCTATTACTTCCCAAAACTATCTACTAGCACATTTTACAATTTCGCAAATCCAATCATCATTTACCCATTGAAACCGGCCGATGGAGAGGGTTACTGAGAGAAGACCGTGTCTGCACACTATGCAATTCATCTGCTGTTGGACAAGAATTTCACTATCTATTTAGCACTTCTCCAACAACCATTTCTTTACACCCCAAAGAATTGTTATATCTTGCCAAATATGTGTAAATTGTGTAAAACTTTATCACCTAAAGTATATCCACTCTGAAACATCTGTCCAGATTCATCGTACATTTGAACACAGTATTACATTAAGGTGTCTAATTTTTATTTTTATTTTATTCTATTTTATTTCATTTTATGTTTTTACATTTGTTTTATTGAGGCTTGTTACCATCTTGATCTGCATTGTATATTATATGCTGTATATATATATATACTCTTGTACCACCGTTGAAATATACTTCAAATTAAATTTACAGAGGCAATACCACTCAATCTACTTTTTCCAGTACAACACATATATCTTATCATAAATGTCGGTGGCGATATAAACCTGAAAATGATGTCTACACTTGAATCGACCTCGGACATGATTGGCATATAGACCCCGAACACTCAGTCGTCAGTCTGTGACATGGAGCAGGAACCTGCATTTGTCCGACCAATGAATTTCCCACCAGGTTTTCAGATTCCAAACCGGTCGCGCTAAACACAATGAACTTCTAATCTCGAGTGGGCACGGGTGGCCCAGACGTCTAAGGCGCCGCGATTCGCTGTGCAGAGTTGCGTCCCTTTGGCACTCCAGAAACCTATGATTGTGGGTTCGAATCCCGGTTCGCCCAGATTATGTTTCTCGGTTTGTCAGCACCATACCCGTGCTCGTGGGTTTCACCGAAGTGGTAAACGTCTGGGACCTGCATCACTTCGGGCCTTCCTCCAACATTAAGCTGACACGCTGTTATATAACTGGAATACTGTTACAAGCGGCGTTAAACCCAACTCACTCACCTACCAGGTATATAGCTGGATTATTGCTAACTGCGGCTTTAATCACGTCCAGTCATTTACTGAAATACATTTCTACTGTACCTTTTAGATAGACAAAATAACTGACAAATACATGACAAAACGACTTGATTCTTATTGAACAATCCAATTTGCCTATTGGCCTTTTTAACGAGAAAATACCATTTTGAGGTCTATGTTGACAACCTACTAGAGTACATTATTTGAAGAAACCTTTACAAGCCTAGATTCCCTCCATAATAATTCTTGAGCTGATGGCAACCCTCTCCTTGCTCATTATCTTCACTGAAAGGTGTGCGCCCACCACCTGCGTCAATTGGGTCTTTTCTTCCACATTATGTAACTGATATCAAGAACACTCAATCAAACAAAGGTGTAACTTACGATGATAGATGATGTAGTCTGAAGGAGTTTCCGAAAGTGTTACTGGCAGAAACAGGCATTTGCTTCCGGTGCATGTTCTGCTCTTTGCACCATAGATGAACCAGTTGTACTTGGTGTACACCCTGTCGGCACACTCTAACATGGATACGTTATGGAATCGGTCCACCAGTGACTCATATGTTGATACAGTATCGGCGGAAGCGTACCCGCGTCTTCTAAATAGTATAAACACCCCACAGTGCTGCTCCGAACATGAAATGTATGATATTGCAATGGTGATCATCAAATGCAAAATTGTCCACAGATCCATCCCGAAGATGTAGTGTTTGCATACGTGAGTCTGTATCTTCACTGCCAGGTTTCCACAGTCAGTCGGTACAATGTAGCATCACTTAGCGAATTCTTAATGCGCACTCATTTATTCTTTCTACAGACAAAGTCCTGCACTGAATTCGTGAAGGTCTGGGTAGAATCTGCTTTGTGCTGGCGCCCACAGAAGCATACATGATCATTCAACCAACAATGAACATAATGAAAAACATGCTAGTGTGAAATAGGTTTTTAATAAATGTTCCCTTGGGTATTTCTATGCCTGACGTATACGTACAAGGCGATTTACTACATCGGCCAGACAAGAAGAGATATAGATAACGTATATTTACTTTTAATTATACCTATATTCTTGTCCTTGGAAAAATAGGTACCAAGAGCATACATGAGGTTGTTGGATAAGACGCATACCGTAATCGACGTAATAAGCGCCCCGCTCTAATAAGCGCCCACGGCGATATTTGCTAATATATTGGCTAGTGAACAATACCAATTAGAACCCCTTCCGATTGATCAATGTACACAACACTTATTTATTCGCGTATAATACGTACGTGTGTTATATGCACCCTTAATTATGGGCATTTAAATTCTGGAAAAATGTATCTCTCGTATATAAACAGTTCAGGCTGTCAGCATAAACCACGAAATTTATCTTTTAACTCTGTCTTTTTCACCAAATAAAATTCAAATAAGAGCCCCCTATTTCTAATTTTGAGAGCGCCCTGGGCGCTTATTAGGTCGAATACGGTATGCTCTCCGAGGATCTTGGAATATGCCACACCAGTTCTTTCATCAGTAAAATTACTGTAACAGCTGAAAGTATATTACTTTATTCTTTAAATACATAAATTCATTTCTGGGACTGTGCAATCTTTACTCAGATCCCAGCAAATTCCAACATATGGGGGTATACAAATCACTCAAAACTATAAAATTGGAATATATAATAATATGCGTTTCATTGATACAGGTTTTTTACATTAGGTTGTTATGTGTTCATGGGTTCTATCTAAAATAATAAAAACACAGGGAAATTGTTTTACGTTTTACAATGTTCTACGAACGGATGCCCACTTTCCGTCTAGGTATAGACGTGCTGATTAGTGACTCATATCTGAGGGATTGTGTGTAACGATTTGTTTACAGACAAACAAACACGTTTTGTATGATTTGAATGCAATTTCTGGGACTACCGAGAGGCTCCAAACTACTCCCCCTATCGTTGCGTCAGCACCACTGCAGCTGCTTGAGACTTATCTGTTAGTATCTGCCAGATATTAGAATATGAAATGAACTACACGTTTTATTAGTTTGGGCCTCCTTATAACATGTTACTTCAAACAGTAATATTTTACCTCAAAATGTTATCCTGCAAAGTTTTCATGTATGTTATCTAACACTTATCTTTTGCGTTGCGCATACATGCCAGGATCTTTTAACTAAGAGACGTGTGATTTTATATGGCTAAGTAATATGTAATAAACTCTTTACAAAAGTTGGGAATCATGAAATAAAAATGTTAATACCAAGTATTAGAACAAACATAAGTGTTGACGACAAGCATCCCACGAATGTATGTTTATGTCTGTAAAATATAAAACCAAAACACATCCGATAGTTTGCACCTCCCGCACGCAGTAGCGCCACAAACGTGCGTGGGTGGCATTCCTAATTTGGACTGTTTTGAGGAAGGTGGATTAATCTCTGTGGACCATTAGTTTTGTCAATCTTATTGATTCTGCTTATGATGCAGTTGTGATTTACTTGATTTCATTCATTGTATTTATATGAACTAGCGAACAATTCGTGTTTAGCAGGTACCAACAAACCCCAAATTTTGACGATGGATACTGTTTGGGGTGTTCCAGGTCAACGACAAGAGTACAGGGTCGTACAGTACCTGACCCGAAACCGGCACATACGGAATCGAGCTCAAAAGGCCAATCAAATTACTGCAAACGTTCATCAGTACGGGTCCGCCGATCAGAAAATCGTCTACATGCAGCTCATCACCATGCTCGACAGCCACGTGCTGTGCCGCCCACGTGCCGACGTCAACGTCATGTTATCAGATGACACCCGATTCACATGGCACTTCCTTCATAGGCGTGGTCGGGACTGGTGACGTCGAAAACGTTAAGCCAATGTCAACCTGAGACAGTGCATGGTCGTCCTTATGCCAGACATGTATGACAGGGTTACATTAGCCGAGAGTGGATATGCGTCCTTGCTGTATATTGATTACGTTTAATTCCGTAAAAGTAAGAACCAAGTTTTAGGTATTCCTTCACAATCAATACCAAAGATTATATTGAGTGTACACAAGGTGTAAGTAGAAATCATATTCCTAAAGATTTGATGTCATTTACTGTGTAATCGTGCAATACACAAAGGACTGTCTGAAATAGGTAATAGTGCATATAACTGAAGGTGACCAGGGAGTGGTTCTATGTGATTGGCTTTTTATATTTGTACAAGGCGCAGCAAATGCGTCGTTATTTCGTCTATTTCATGCTTGAAAAAACTCGACACATATTTTTGGACACTTTCTAAACGCTCAATTTAATCAATCTAACCGAATGTTCCGTCGTTTCTGGTGATGTAATAAGCTCTGTGAGTGGAATGGAGGTGATTGAGGCTTTGAAAACTTCTTTTACATTTTGTGGAAGAGCACTAGTTGCCCTCGGTTGGTAGCCCAGCCGGCCGATGGGAGACAAACCTTCAGAGGGTGAAGTTTAAGAAGACAGCAGCCAGGTTCGTTGATGAAGTTTGAATAGGGGTGTACGTGTTGGTTGGCACGTTATCATAAATAACAATATAAACGATATAAATAATACACACAGTGACATATAATTTGAAAAACAACAAAAAAGATTTAAAGATTAAACAAATGGATATATTTCATAAATACCAGAATAAAGCCCGAGCAAATGTATATCCTTGTCATGATATATGCCCAGTTCTAATAAACTGAATAAGTTTCCTCTGATTATAGTGGAGATTGCTAGTACAGTTGTCACGTTCATTTCGTTGCAGACATTATCCCAATATGGGACATTACACTTTTTTCCGGGATTATAACAACCACAAAAATTACATTAGTTGTATTTGTTTCAGGCATCGTATCTGTTTCAGGCCTCATATCTGTTTTAGGCATGATTATATCCGTTTTTTTGCACTATACCTGTTTCAGACATTTTACCTGTTCCCGATATTATCTCAATAGAAAACGAGGGACATTTAATTATCCAACTACATTTGATGTCACTACCTCTGATTTCAGGTGGCATTTCGAAGTGTCATGTCGCAAAGTTCTGTGAAATATCATGCTTTTCATAAAATGGACGTGCTTAATTGCAATGTTTGCTATATATATATATCGGTATAAATATACTGAACGTAATAAAACACCAATATCTCATAAGACATGATATAAAACACCTTCAGCTGTTCTTTAAGTACAAGTTTAGTAAGCTACAGTCCCTTAACTGAACTTTATTTCTACAGTTATAAATGAAGTTGGCTCTCCAGTACTCGATGCAATGCTTTGTGTGCATGGATTACAGTCCGTTTCATTCCATTTGAGACCGATGAATTGCTCACTAACTCAAAATGTAACAATTGCATCCGAACCAAAATGTGCACAGCGACATGAATTAGACAGACCAACTCTGATGGTTTGTCTCATAATTTTGGACACCCGAATGAAAAATATTGTTTGACAAACGATCATCATATTGTTGACATTTTTCGCCATCCCATACCAGGGAGGACCAGTCGCTCATAGAACAGCCAGGTGGGCGAGTTTCATGTGCGAAAGTGACGTAAGGCTTGCTGAGCAAACCATAGATGCGTGATTGCTATACCTGAAACAATGAGAACATCACTCGACGCGAAGTAAATTATTTGCAACGTCTTCAATTTTTTTTAAAAAGAATGTGAAAGCGGTAGACCATAATATGCTTTGAAAAAGTATCGTTTACGAACTGCACGTGCAGTTGGGATAACAGAAGGGAAATTAAAAACTGTTAAAAAAAGTGTACTGATTCAACCTGATGTGACACACATGAGGGGACCATCTCAAAACCCAAGCGATGTTTTAAAGTCGATTCATTTCAACAAGAGATGGTTAGAAACGCCATTAAGACTCTGTATAAACAAAATATCTATGTCTCTCTCCCTACTCTAAAACAATATATGTTATGGAAATTGCTACACCATTTTTTGTTTCCGTTACAAAAAAGTAGGCTCTGATAATAGACATGCATTATGCGAGGGGTCTGATATTGTTCTACTAAGGAACCATTTCTTACGCACCATACGAGAAAAACGTTACGAGGGTTATGAGCCCGTATACTTGGACGAAACGTGGGTAAACGCTTCCCATACCACAGGAACACAATGGTTCCCTAGCTCCTCTTCTGATACCTGTGCCAGGAAATTGCCACTTTGCAAGGTGAGCGGCTTATTGTGCTCCATGCTGACTGCAAGAGTCGGGGATTCCTACCAGGCTGTTCGCTAGTCTTCAAGGCAAAATCCAAGGACAACCGAGACTATCATACCAAAATGAACGGAGCGGTATTCCTAGAATGGGTTAAAACTCAACTGGTACCGATATTGCCCCCCAAGAGTCTGGTTGTCATGGACAATGCTCCATATCATGGCGTTCAGGTACCTAACACAAAAGCCCCAACGTCTAACAGTAGGAAGGGCGATATGATAGAATGGTTGACACACAAAGAAATACCGTATCCACAAAAAGCAACGAAACCTGTTCTGTGTGATATTATAAAGTCTAATAAAACCACACCTGTCTTTAAAGTTGACGAGTATCTTAAAGAACATGGCCATTCAGTTTTGCGATTGCCGCCCTATCATTGCGATTTAAACCCACTAGAACTAATTTGGGGTATCATTAAATCTGATGTTGCCAGGCAAAATACAACATTCAAACTGCGGGATGTACAGAAACTGGTTCAACAATCAATAGACACCATCACGCAGGAAACGTGGCAAAAGAGTGTT